ACATGGTTCTTTTCCACACACTGTTAGTCAGCAGCAAAATGTTTTCAATATCATAATTTTATTATCTATATCATTAAAAACATTTATATGCTGCCTTTCAGGACCATGTCCACCCAAGGCAAAAAACCCCACCAAAAACACACACACCCCAAAACCCAACAGAATGCAATACAACACTACAACAAAACTTCCAAAACACATTAAAAACCCCACATAATTTTCAGGTTACTTGAGGCAGAAGGCTTATATCAGGACCTCCACCCAGTTTATTTACTTTGAAACAAATAGAAGGAATCACTGTACATATAAAGCACACAGATTTTTCTTTTTTAAAAAAACCCAAAACACTTAATAAACTATTAAAATGATTGAGAATGTCATTGTATATTAAATATTCTGTCATAACTGCAGTATTTCACATATCTGCAGCAATACTGCAGCTGAAAGCAGCAGGAGATCAGAGTCAGTAGTTTAAATCTGTATAATAAATAATGCAATTTTTTTTAATTACTTCACTATCGTTAGAGAAAGAGAGAAAGCACCATTCACTTGGGGGAAAACATATGGGTTAACAAAAACAGAAGAAATGGGGTTTTTTTAGAAAATTGGGCTACGTTTCCGCCCAGATGCTGAAGCAGAATGAGACTGAAGATTAAGTTTTTACACCATGTTTTCTTGGTCCTCATGAAACGATCTTGCAAGCTTTGCACAGAACCCATGCTGCCTTGCTTTTCCAGTACAAGTACATTGCAGGAGAGGGGAAGCATAATCCGCAAGGAATTTTAATAATTAGCAAGGAGAACACTGATGACTCAATATTCCACCCGCCTTCCATCTGAGCAATTAAACTCTGCTATAAAATTAAATTATACAGTTAATGTTTCTCCACTGTGAGGTTAGCTGCTGTGATAGGCAAATGTTTGCGCTGCCCTGTAATAAGCAAGCCACTTCAATCCCTCGAGAAATGGCCCTGCGGCACAGAGAAAGACTGTAGGAGAGAAATAACGAGCAACTGGCCTCCTTTCCACAGGAATAAATAGAAGCAAAAATCAAACAGTTTACTGAATATACTGGCCTTTAGTTGTCTGATCAATAACACACTTGTGACCCATGAAATGGGAATCCTGATCTTAAACACTGGCGTATCAAAGGGTATATTTGTTACTTATAAGTGATGCCATTTTGGAGGTGCAGTTGACCTGGAGATTCTGCTGTACTGTCTCTGTTGAAGTTAATGGGACCTGGGCAAGAGCAGGGATGGGTCTTAAGACAGAACACTGTTTTCCATTCATGAACCAACTGACCTATGTCCTTTGCCATTCATGAATCCAGGTGGACTCATGAATCCCTTTGCTTGTTGTTGCCTTTCATGATTAAATGAAAGGTGCCCTTTGCCATTCATGAATTACTTTTCTTTTTATAAAACCAATTACAATACATAATCGAAAATCAACGAAACATGCTCTCCACTAAAACAAATTATCATAACATTACACATTACATTAACATTTGTAATACACGTATTACAAAAAATATGCTAGTTTTTCAAATTACTCTTTATATACGAAATGGCTTTGTCTTCACCCAGGCATAGACAAACTCAGCCCTCCAGATGTTTTGGGACTACAATTCCCATCATCCCTGACCACTGGTCCTGTTAGCTAGGGATCATGGGAGTTGTAGGCCAAAACATCTGGAGGGCTGAGTTTGCCTATGCCTGCATTAGGCCATCCAGACACTACAATGAAAGTCAGTAGTTCTTTAGGCTTTGAGGCAGGGGTTTCCCCCCCAGCCTTGAGATCCTTTTAAGTGAAGACGCCAGGATAGCACCTGAAAACTCCTGGATACATACATGTGGTGAGTTGGTTTCTGTGTGGCTAGAATGTAACCTACTGTATGAAGGTAAAATTTTACATCCGTTGCTCCACCTACTTTTATATCCGGCCCTGCCCATCCTGGGCACGTGGCCCCCAGGAGATTAGCTATGAGGGAATGCAGTTCTTGGGCTGAAAAAAGTTCCCCACTCCTGCACTGGAGACTGGAACTAGCAGCTGCCAAAACAAAGCCCACGGTTGGCAATCTTTTTAATCTTCTAGTTAGCCCACCCTGCCTACTAAAGACCCTGCCCAGTGTGGTCTAGTGGTTAAGAGCGGTAGACTCGTAATCTGGTGAACCGGGTTCGGGTCTTCGCTCCTCCACATGCAGCTGCTGGGTGACCTTGGGCCAGTCACACTTCTCTGAAGTCTCTCAGCCTCACTCACCTCACAGAGTGTTTGATGTGGGCGAGGAGGGGAAAGGAGAATGTTAGCCGCTTTGAGACTCCTTCGGGTAGTGATAAAGCGGGATATCAAATCCAAACTCTCTTCTCTCTTCTTCTTCACAACTTCCCTTGGCGTTTCACACGTTATTTTCAAACTGATTTTAATAACCTTAAAGACTAGAGCCATAGGATTCTGAATTCTGTCCACAATATCAGTTATTGTTGCTTATGAGGCAAAATGGCAGTTCATGGAGAATTTGCTTAACCAGGCCTTCTCAGTCTGTGTATTTGTAACTAAAACTGCAGACTTTCTCCAAGCCACCATTAACATTTTTATTGTCATTATTTGTATCTTTTGAACAGGTTTTATATATGTATATAGTTTTAATTCTATTAATGCTTTTTTTTTTTAATGATTGCTTTTTCTCTGTTTTTAGTGATCATTGTTTTTATTTGTAAGCTGCCTTGAGTCCTGTCAGGGAAAACGGCAGGGTGTAAATATATAAAAATAAGAAGAACAGCAACACTCTTGTGCGCTTTGGTTGGAGGGAAATGACCTTGGTTGGAAAGACTGTCCAGAACATCAAATTGCTTGGGCAAACTGTAGAACAGAAATTGCTATCAGACTTCACCCTCTCTAAGCTGGAGGGACAGATTAAAATAAATCAATATATGTGAAACCTATTAGAAGCGGGTTGTTAATCCCCTGGACTTCAGGTGGATCAAGGAGTTCATGCAGGACTTCTCTGAGGCTTTACTCCAGGAGAAGTCAGCATGCTGCCTTCCAGACACTGTCATATTCCAACTCCCATCAGAATAGCCAATGGGCAAGGATGGCAGGAGTTGACTGCAGTCAAAGGCAAAAACATATGGCCATGTGACAACTAGGAATTTAGGGCTTATCAACACTTACCTTGCCTCTGTTCTTTCCAGGCATGGTGTGCCATTTAAAGCTCTGTATCTGAACACCCTGTTTTTTGCTCCAGAGCTTTCTCTGCAAAAATCTGCTTTTTTAAGCTCAATCGGAGCAAATCTCAATCTGCAGTAAAAACCCAAGGTGGTGTTTGCTCCGATTCAGCTTCAAAGAGTTTTCAAGTGAAAAGCTTGGGGCAAAAACAAACAAACACTCAGACACAGAGCATTAAAGTGTGGACCTCTGGCTGAAAAGAGTGGGGCAAAAGGCAAGTTTGGATAGGCCTTTTCTCCCATCAGATGTCAAAGAAATAAGCAACTATCTGACGTTTAGAAGACATCTGAAGGCAGCCCTGTTTAGGGAAGTTTTTAATGTCTGATGTTTTAATGTGTTTTTAATCTATTGTTGGAAGCTGCCCAGAGTGGCTAGGGAAACCCAGTGAGACGGGTGGGGTATAAATTATTATTATTATTATTATTATTATTATTACAGGCTGAATTACAACAGTGCAGATGCAATTGTGCATCAGACTGGATTTACACATGAAGCACAGAAAGACCCAAATCAGGCAATGCAATGGACTGTATCCCTCCAGAGCAGGTGTGGGGAACCTTTTTTATTAGCCCGGGGGCCGTATTCCCTTCTGGATAACCTTTTAGGGGCCACATGCTGGTGATGGGCAGGGCCAGAACCAAATGTGGGTGCGGCAACAAATGTTAAGTCTTACCTTTGTGCAACAGGATAGCTTATACGCACACAGCCTTCATCCAGTCAAACAAGAGGCATGATCAGAGTTCAATAACACATCCCAGCAAAGCAAAAGCACTCAAGGAGTGAAGGGTATCGTTTTGGGGGAAGAGAGTGTGACTGGGGTGGGGAGTGCAGTACAGGAAAAGTCCCGAGAGCCAGACAGAACTTCCTCAATCCGGCCCTAAACCATAGATTGGTAGTTCACATTTTTTATGTTCCCGAATTCTACAGGCACACACTGAACCCTCAAGTCCGCGACTGAAATAAAAGAGAAATAAAGTTATCTTTGCAGAATGCAGGGCTTTTTTCCAGCTGGAACTCGCTGGAACTCAGTTCCGGCACCATTGCCATTCTAAGAGAACAAGGGAGGTGTTCATGGTGAGCTCCAGCACCTCTTTTTCTAGAAAAATAGCATTGGCAGAATGGATAGGTAAAGGTAAAGGGACCCCTGACCATAAGGTCCAGTCGTGACCGACTCTGGGGTTGCGCGCTCATCTCGCTCTATAGGCCGAGGGAGCTGGCGTTTGTCCACAGACAGCTTCTGGGTCATGTGGCCAGCATGACTAAGCCGCTTCTGGCGAACCAGAGCAGCACATGGAAACGCTGTTTACATTCCCGCCGGAGCGGTACCTATTTATCTACTTGCACTTTGACATGCTTTCGAACCTCTAGGTTGGCAGGAGCAGGGACCGAGCAATGGGAGCTCACCCCGTCGCAGGGATTCGAACCGCCGACTTTCTGATCAGCAAGTCCTAGGCTCTGTGGTTTAACCCACAGCGCCACCCGCGTCCCTCAGCAGAATGGATAGGTGGCAGTCAATTAAAGCCCACTCAGAGGAGAAGCATTAAAATTAAGGGGCCTAAGTTAGTTATGCCCAATAATTGGATACAACCATAAAAGTTAGCTAAGTGCATTCCCACAGCAATAAGTACCATTTCGTAAATGCTCAAGTTTGTTCACTTTTAGTTCTACCTTCATGTACACTCTCACCACCCCCTAAAAAAATGCAGCTGGCATCTGCCAACGCAGCTCGCTGCCTCCCTGACAGGTGAGGGATGCTTTGAACCAGCAATATATTTATTTCCCTGGCGGCATCTTGTCCGTGTCAGGTTTCTTGCCTTGGAACAACAAGAAAACTGATTTTGCAGTTCCGTCACCGCTTTGTTGGGAAAAGCACAGGAAAGTTGCCCAGATAAAACCACACAGGCCAGTGTACGCCGTCCTCCAATGCACCGGAACCAGGCTGAAGTTGGAAAGCTATTTGGGGGAAAGAAAAAAGAAAAACAGAAAGAAACCGAGTTAAACACACCAGAGAAATATCAGAGCCTTCACCTTGTCATCTTTGTTGCACGTCCAACTTGCTGCAAAATGAGTTTGCTTTGCTAAATTGATGTGGTGTGAGATTTAGTGTGGCGATGGGAGTTGGCCACAGGTTCCCAAACCGTGCCTAATAATAATAATAATAATAATAATAATAATAATAATATATTTCTACCCCGCCCATCTGGCTGGGTTTCCCCAGCCACTTTGGGCAGCTTTCAACAGAACATTAAAAACAGAATAAAACATCAAACATTAAAAACTCCCCTAAACAGGGCTGCCTTCAGATGTCTTCTAAAAGTTGGATAGTTGTTTATTTCACTACAGAATGGTGAAACTCTAGGATTTTCCTGTAGTTAAAAACTCCTCCAATCTGGAGTTCTAAAAGCTTTGAAAAGGGAAATAGAATGGGGGTAAGCCGAGGAGAATTTATTTATGTTGGTCTCTTTGATGGATGGGCCTTGGGCCAGCCTCCTGGCGACCAAGAAACCAATCAGAGCAGGAGTGTCATTCAATCAGGAGGGTGTGGAGAGTTAAAACCTGACAGTTAAACTGTCAGATAGGGCTTAACTGTCAGAGTGTATATAGGGCTTAACTGTAGGATAGGGCTTGGAAAGTGACGAGATAGGGATCAGTTTAGAGTCCAGTTATGGTCAAATTGGCAGCTAGCTAGGCAGGGCAACCCAGATTGTTTTCTAAGGGCAATGTAAAGATTCTAGAAAGGGCTGGGAGTGTTTTACTCGTAGTGCAAGACCAATAACCATTCTAGAGAGAGGTTTAAATTATGGGCTTTAAGTATGTTTTTAACTATATCTGCAAATAGTTTTTTTACTGAAACGAAGTATTGGGCCTTATCAGAGTAACCACTAAGCTACAGCCCGCCTCATGTGTTTAAATAAAATTCCAGGTTTTCCCTTCGCATGTGGGGAAAAAATCCTTGCTGCTGGATATAATAGCAGACGTCTCAAGTGTTACTGACAGGGTGTGTCTTAATTTTAAAGCACCTAAATCAGGCCATGAGGTAACCCAAGAGGGTTACCTTATTGAGGGGTGGCTGCCACAGTCAGGGCCGGCCGACCCATGAGGCTAGAGAGGCAGCTGCCTCAGGCGGCAGGATCCACGGGAACAGCAGATCCAGCACCCAAGGAATGCATCTCCTGCTGCTGCAATAACAGGAACAGCTGAATATTCAAAGGGGACACAGATAGGAGGTTTCTGGCTGCTCCACAACCTGACCCAGGAACTAGAGATATGGGGATGTGGTGAAGAATGAATGCATCAGGGTAATCTTCCGGGTGTGTTGATGAGCACATTGTTGTAGCTGCTGCTGTTGTCTTCCTCGTGAGTTTCTAAGGAGGGGGAAGGCAAATTTAAACTCACCTGCACAAAAGGCCAGTACATCAGCCCAGTCTGAAACAAAAGCAAAATATATTTAAAGTAGTTAATTGAGAGGGGAAAGTACCACGAAAAAATCCATCAAAATAGATGAGAGTTACCAATGTAAAGGTAAAGGGACCCCTGGCCATTAGGTCCAGTCACGGACGACTCTGGGGTTGTGGTGCTCATCTCGCTTTCCTGGCTGAGGGAGCCAACGTACAGCTTCCAGGTCATGTGGCCAGCAGGACTAAGTCACTTCTGGCGTACCAGAGCAGCACACAGAAATGCCGTTTACCTTCCCGCTAGAGCGGTACCTATTTATCTACTTGTACTTTGACATGCTTTTGAACTGCTAGGTTGGCAGGAGCAGGGACCGAGCAACGGGAGCTCACCCCGTTGTGGGGGTTCAAACCATCAACCTTCTGATCGGCAAGCCCTAGGCTCTGTGGTTTAACCCACAGCGCCACCCACATCCTTTTACCAATGTAAACATATTGTCAAAAGAACTGGTCTTGGAATCGGCAGTGGAAGAGACTCCCATGAGAGGTGGTGGACTCTCCTTCCTTAGAGGGTTTTAAGCAGAGGTTGGATGGCCATCTGTAATGGATGCTTTAGCCAATATTCCTGCAATGCAGGGGGTTGGACTAGATGACCCTTGGGTCATTTCCAGCTCTAAGATTCTATGATTATAGATTATCTTGGCAGCACAAATAGTAATTGCAATGGAAAACAGCCAAAAATCTTATGCTGCATGCTTGGTACTGGTTACTCTGGGATACACTGGAGAAAGTCATGCATAATTTGAGATTTCAACAAGACAAGAACCTCCAGACACCTTTTATATGGTTTGACATACAGCAAAACCATCATTTTCAAGGCAACCCTTATCACAAGCCCGGCAAATCTGGAACTAAACTTGATGATCTGATAGTGTTGATAGTCTTTATTTGTACTTTGTCATTTTAACTCGTGTGCAACTATTCATTCCATGTGCCTATTTTATAGTTTTGTTTTCCATCTTCTAATTTTCATCTGTTACGATCATTGTTCTCTCTGTTTGATGTACATCATAAAATGAAATAACAACAACATAGATGGGTGGAATTCAATGCTGTGCTAAGTTAAAGTCCCTTAGTAGTGTACTAGATGTGCTAGCAGAATGGCTCTCAAAAGAGAAGGCCAAGAAACCAGCATGATTCTTGTGGCTGGTTGTGGTAGCCTGGCTATTTCCTGCTAAAATCAGCTTCTGCTAGTGCCGCTGCTACATTGGATATCATATTGCGCAACCCAAAGGAGGTCCCCTTATTCCCCTCAGAGTTCCCTGGGAAGAGGGATGGATTGTTAAAGCACAGGTGGTTGCTCTGAGCAGGGAACAAGGTCTCCTCACAACTCTCAGAGCCCTTAACAAACTACAGTTCCCAGGATCCTTTGGGGAAAATCATGACTGTTTAAAGTGGTATGGTCCTGCTTTATTTAAATGTATAGTGCAGTTGGGGCCTATCACAAGCGGGAAAGTGGGTAATCCTCAAACTGCCACTTTAGGAACCCCAGAGAGATAGCACTGCTTCATTTTAAGCACAACAAGCACAGCATAGTGGGCTGCAAGAATTACATGATACCTGATATACTCACACATTTGCCAGATTGGCAAACAAAGGTATAGAGGAACAAATGCTTCCTTCAACCGCAGAGGACGGACGAATGCCTCTGAACAACCATATTTATTTCACACCACCTGCAAAACTCTTTTCTTCCTTGCTTTCATAATACCGTTTCTGAGCGTTACATAAATGCACGCTTGATGTAAGAGCTGAAATGCAGACTGGTTATGAACAATGTCATGGCCACAAAAGAAAGGGATGTGTACAGCCACACCTTGCATGCTCAGCTTTCATTAAAAAGAAAAAGGCAAGCCTCCAGCCGTTGCAGTTGTGGAGATACAAGGAAAAGCATACAGGCAATATTCTTTGAAATTGCTTACTAATACATAAATGCATTTCTCCTTTACAATGTCCTGAGTTGCTAGGGACAGCAGGCAATCAAGATGCTCTTGTTTACCTGCTTTTTAAAATGTGTTTATATGTTAAAAAATTGAATAACTTTCAATGTATCTTTCTGCCCCCATTTATGTTCTGGGTCTTCTGCATTGTCTCTCTCCATACACCCCTGCCCACATATCTACTGACTGGGCCTCTTCATCACAAAATTTAATGCTTATGATCCCAGTAAGTCTTTGCAGACTTACAGCAACCGGTTTGTGTCCTTAAAAACACGTTTCTAGTCCTTGCAGCTGTGAAAACTGGCTTGTATGCAAGTGGACAGTACTTGGTGAAATCTCAAATGGCAAAAGGATGAGGGGAAAGTTCCAGTGGTCAGCTCTGGGACCAAGGACCTTACCTATCTCCTTGCCCCTCACTACAAAATCAGGATGCATTCTGCATGTAATGTGTGCATAATTTGAGGGATGGGAAGAGGGCCAGACAGCCAGAACCACCACTGTAAGCTGAGTTTCTTTTTTTCTCCTCCCTAAAGTATTCCCCTTTTTCTTCACGTGTCATGTCTTTTGATGATGAGTCTGAGGGCAGGTAAAGCCCAATAAATAATTTTTGGAAGTCACTCCAAGCACCTTTTTGGCTAAAGGCTGGGGTATAAATGCTGTAAGTAAGTAAGTAAATAAGTAAAAAGGTGGGCATACTTGTAAGGTGTGTGTGGTGATGGGACCACGTCCAATATAGCATTGCACTTACCTTATAGGTATTCCAAAATTTATCCCTGCAGTCGGCAAAGACATCCTCTTTCCCCTGGAGTATACTCATGCCTGGTCACAAAATGTTTAAGGAAAGTCAGAATACAAGTAAAATCTACTAGAAATTCATTTACACAGCATTTTATACTATGCCACACACTTCTGCTTCACTAACCATTTCCTTCTGAATGCATCCTGAATAGCATGTTTGTCTTGCCATAAAATATGTATCTTGTGATCTCTTGAATTATTATTATTTTTAATGCATGGCTTCATGTTAAAGTCACATCATGAACTTGTCAATTCTAACCTAATTTCTTGAATTAGTTGCTTCCTGTCCCCCACCCATTTCTTTAAAAAAAAAAACCTCACATAGGAACACAAGAATCTGCCCAAGTCAGATCCTTGGTCCACCTAGCCCTGTATTTTCTACACTGGCTTGCAGCAGCTGTCCAACATTTCAGAACGAGATGTCAGGGACTGAACCTGGGATGTTTGAAGGCAAAGGAGATGCTGTACCAGTGAGCAGCAGCCTTTCTCCCTAACATAGGAACCTGCCTTAGGTCCACTGAGCCTTGGTCCACCGAGCTCAGTCTTGTCTACACAGGCTGGCAGCTGCTGGAGCCTTAATCCAGTGCCTTGGACCATTCATCCATGCTACTGAGAATGGTAATTTATCTGTCTCCTTGGCTACAACCAGCAAGGCTGTACCGGCTGCAGCTGATAGGAGTCATAGTCCAAACTCTGTGCACATGAAGAGCCAAGTGTAGTGGTTATAGAATAGTGGACTAGGACCCCAGAATACCAGGGTTCAAATGCCTTCTCGGAGCTCACATGGTGCCTAACCAACCAACCTGCCTGCCTATCTCACAGGATTGTTGTGGGGATTGAATGAGGAGCAGGGAGAACCATGTATGGCACCTTGAGCTCCTTGGAGGAGGAAAAAGGTGCGCTAGAAATGCAATAAAGCAATACAACACCAGTGTAACCAGGTCGGGCAAGCATGCTTTTGGGTGCTCCACCAGGGCTGAATTTAAGTTTGATGAGGCCCTAAACTACTGAAGGTAATGGGGTCCTTTATATGTCCAGCTGTCAACGACAAATTGTCGCTGGTTTTTGTGTTGAATATATGCTATCTGGTAATTTATGGACCTAATGGGTATCTAAAGCCATTTACACATAACAAAATAGGTATTTTAACAAGTAATTGTTGAACTGAAATACAATAAAGAAGTAGTATATTAATAGTGAAATTTGAGGGGGGAGGGGGCAAGAGAGTGGGGCCCTAAGCTATAGCTTGCTTAGCTTATACGTAAATCAGGCACTGGCTGGCTCCCTGCACTCTGCGTGCGCTCAGAGGCACAGCAGCCATTTCCTGGCCCCCTCCCTCCTTCCCCGTCTCGCGGCCTCACTCACCGGTGTAGAAGGCGAGCACGGCGACGGGCGCGCCCATGAGCTGGTCGCAGAGCACTTTGGCCAGCACGGCGCCGGGCGCCCGGCCGGGCAGCAGCCTCTCCAGCGCCCTCAGCCACACGTAGTTGAAGTTGCCGTGGAAGGAGAGCGCCACCAGCGCCACGTGCCGCGTCTGCGCCCAGTCCGCGCTTTGGCCCGGCCGGCGCCGGAGCCGCTGCTGCGCCGCGTCGCCCGCCGCGAAGAGGCTCCCGTAGAGCGCCACGTTGCACAGCCAGGGCGATCGCCGCACCAGGCGGCCCAGCAGGGCCATCGCTCGCCCGGCTCGGGGTTCAAGGAAGCCGGCCGGCTCGCATCGCCGGCTCCCTCGCCCTTGCAGCTCCTGCTCCTCCTCCTTCGCCGGAGGGAGACGCCTCCTTTCCCCCCTTCGCAGTCGACGCGCACGGCCGCTTCCTCGCCGCCACCCCCGTTTTTTGGCCAGGGGATCAGGTTCCCCGCCACACAACAACCCTGCGGGGTAGGTTAGGCCGAGATACTGGTGCTGCTGGCCCAAGATCATCCCGATTGCTTCACAGCTATGTGAAAATGGGGACCCAGGTTCCTCACTCGCCACGCGTAGTACATAGCTGTCAACTTTCAGATTTGAAAATAAGGGATCAGCAGCCTCGAAAATAAGGGATCAGCAGCCTTGCCTGTCCCGGGGACAGTCTACGGGATATCTAACAATCAGGGATAGCAGCGGGAAACGGCGCTGGAATAAGGGAATTCCCCGCAAAAAAGGGAAGGTTGACAGCTATGGCGTAGTATGGCACACCGACCCACCCAGCTCCCTGCACCCTGCAGAGGGGTGCGCGCCCAAATATGCACCATGAAATGAGGACTTGGACCCCGGAGACCAGGGTTCAAATCCCTGCTCCACCATGAAACTCACTGGTGGACCTTGGACCAGTCAGAGTCTCTCGGCCCAACCTGCCTCACAGGATTGGTTGTGATGGATGCCGATGGGGAAGAAGATAACCATGTGAACTGCCTTGAGCTCCACGCAGGAAAGGGATATAAATGTAATAAGTAAATAAATGTGGTTTGGTCTTTTAAGAGGAGTGGCCACAAGACTCCAGATCACTCATAACCACTATGGGATCACTTTTTCTCACCACAGTGTGGCAGCACAGCTCAGTTTTAAGACATTGGCAAAGTCAAGGGGTGTTCCCCTAGCATCCTTTGGGAGAGTATATCGCTTTTTCTGAATGGTCTTTTTTATCTACAAGTATCTCATCTTTGGGGAAGTCTTTTGCACTCAGTTGGGTTAGTGGTAGGAGCCCTGTGTATTTGAAAGGGATCCTGGGCAATAAGTTCATAGGATCAAAACAAAGCACAGGTGCAAGGCTTTTTATTTTACTTCCATGTGTTTCAAAATGAAATACTCCATCAGGAGTTACAAACGAGATATTGGGCAACGTTGATATAATGGTTCTTTTAAAAAATTGGTTGTATCCAACTTATACTCACAGTGGACACAGTGCTTTTTTCTCTAGAAAAATAGGTGCCGGAACTCAACACCATGGAGTTGCTACAGCAAGTGCCACACTTTTAAACATAAAAAATCAAAGAGGTGCCGGTACTGTGTACCTTTGAGTGCCCCCTGAAAAAAGCGCTGGGGAGACTCATTTAAATTAATGAACCTGTGAGGCATGTTCATTGATTTAAATAGGCCTAGTTTTGACTACAATCCATAGGATAATAGTCATGATGGTTGTGCTCTGCCTCCACAGTTGGAAGCAGCAATGCTTCTGAATACCATTTGCTGCAAACCAAAGGAGGGGAGAGGACTTTGGTGCTCCAAATCCTGCTTGCTGCTTTCACTCAGAAGCAAGTCCCGCTGTGTAAGCTGCTACCAGGAAATGACTATAGCTGCTATAGCTGGTTACTGCACAAAACCCAACGTCCTCTCAGGTTGAATACAAACAGAGATGAGAGGACTTTGTCCTCCATAAAAAAGCTACAACCGAATGAATCTACGCAGTTGTGTCGTCGAAGCGACGACGCCAAACGCTTCGCGGCCGAAGGCGGGACTCGAACTCTCAACCTAAACTTTTCGTCAGCCCATCTCGCCGTGTCACCAGCCCAGTGCGCAGGCCCAGCCGACACGGATTCCGTCATCGCCTTCTTGGAGAATGTTCCATTATAAACAGAAGGGGCGACAGCTCGGGGTCAGAAGATGGGGGCGGTAACTTTTAGAGGCGCGAACGCAGCTCTGATAGGCGAGCCGTCTCTCATCACAGCAGTTTTAAGAGACCTTTAAGCTTTCCGTTCCCGTTCCCACTATCCGGTTTCCCGCCCCCCAGATTTCATTTTTGGTATGCTCCACGAGGCCCGCGCCTGTGGGGCTCTTGCGCCCTCTGTCAATCAGAGGCTGTACGGAAGCCTGTGGGGCTCCCGTCTCCTAGGTGAGCGCGCGTAACTTCCCTCCCCTCGTCCTGGTCGCCGTCACGTGCCCCGCCCTCTCTTCCCTCAGCCGCCGCCTGGCACTCCGTCAGCCCTGCCAACGTGGAGCCGGCTGAGGCCGAAGCGAAGGCGGAAGTGTTCTGAGGAGAGGAGGGAGGAGGAGGAGGAGACGGGGGGCCTTTAACCAGCCGCCGCAGCTGCCGCTGAAGAACCTCCGGCCATGGAGAGCTCCTTGGAGAAGGTCGGCTCTGCCTCTGAAGTGTCTCAGGCGGGGAAGGCGGAGGGCGGGCAGGGAGGCAGGGACGGGGCGGAGGAGGAAGGGTCCGCGGTGCCAGGGGCGAGGGCTACGGGGAAATCGTGACAGGGGTGGTCGCTGCTCCAGACGACGGTCCGCAGTCAGCAGCCTTGCAAATACGAGTAGAGAGGTTTATAGATGTGTGCGCGCGCATATATATGTGTACACACACACGCATATACATGCATATATATATATATAGTCATTAGAATTCCTATAACATATCTACATACACACATGCACTCACATATATGTATATTATATTTGTATGTGGTACATACATATTTGTGTAATGTTTATATAGTCACACACATATTCACACATAGATTGGTACATGCTCACACATATTATGAGTGTGTGTGCATACATATATTGTGTTATATATATGTGTGTGTGCAGAAGCATATATGTATACATATATTATACACATACATGTGTGTAATATATGTATACATATATACTTAACACATATTTGTGTTTGTAATACTGTTTATGCACACACATATATGCATATATAAAAAACATACATACACATATAAAAGCACATCTGTAAGCACATGTGTGTAGAGTATATTACACACATAGCATATTGTGTGTGCAGAATATATACGTGTGTATGTTATATGAGTTTGTTGACTATACACACACACACACACACACACATTATATACAAATATATTATTTTTAAAGCAACATTTTGATGAGCTTGGGCTGGATCCTGAGTTAGTCATGCCCATTAATTTCGGAAGGACTAAGTCTGGATACAACCTTGTAACAAATGCATATGTGTATATGTACTGTTGTTAAATAGGCAGATAATAGCAACATTAATACTCGTCATAATATTAACCATTGAAAATGATTCCTCTTAGGGTAGCAGTGGGGCATAGCTCAAGTGGTAGAAGGCCACCTCCTTGAGACTCCAATCCTATACTCATGGAAGTGAGCTAGTCCCACTGAAGTAAATTGCACCTACTTGCGAGTAGATGTGTCTAGGATGGCACTGTGAAAGTGGTGCTACCATTAGCATATGCATTTAATATATTTCAGGCTTTGATTTGAGGTTTTTAAAACCAAAAGGAGAGGAGAAAGAGGAACCCTCATTCTTAGTGCTCAATATTGCTTGATAGGCATTTATTTTATTTATCCATCTATCTGGCAAGAATCATATCTTTTCTATGTATAATATATCCAACCTAGCTTGCAGTTGAGCAGGGCTGGCCCTACCGTTAGGCAGTGTGAGGCAAAAGCCTTGCACACCAGATGATGAAGGATGGGGAATGGACAGAGCTGCATGTGCCATGTGATCTGCCCTGCACCCTCCTAAAGTAGGCTTCTGACCTCAGGTGCAGTGGAGGAAGATGCTGTTGCCACTGTCAAAGTGTGATTCAGCTGTTATTCTTGCCAGTTTTTGTACAATGGTAGAATGAGGTGGCACCTTGTCCTTTGCCTCAGGCAGCAAAATGTCGCAGGTAAGCCCTGCAATCCAGCTGGAAACACACAGATTTTTTTTTAAAAAAGAAGCAGTCTCATTCACAGAAAAAAGCAGGAAAAAACCTTAAATTCTATTTATGTGTCAATATTTTACATATTGGCTTAAAGCGAGAGACTGTTTATGCAGGCTGTCTACCACATATTCTCTCTCACAGGAACTGCCAAAGGCCTTGATGTAATAATAGTGATGTAAGCCATCAAATAGAATATATCAAGCTCCCTTATAACTGAGGCAACTTTGCATTCAGAAGGTCTCAGGTTCAATCACCAGCATCTTCAGACAGGGCTGGGAAGCAATCCTAACTTGAACCTTGGAAAACTGCTCCCAGTCAGCGCAGACGGTACTGAGCTAGATGAACCAATGGTCTGGTTCAGTTCAGTATAAGGCAGTATAAGGCAGCTTCCTACGTTCACATTACGTTGTGCCACGGCTCCATGGGAAGATCCAAAACCTTGGCCTCTCCCAATATAATAAACTTGGCTATCAGGTGCTGGGAGTGGGGGAAAACTCTTGCCTCAGTCCTTGAGAAGCCACAGCTAGTCAGAACAGAGTGGATTACAGAATGGTTAGCTGGGCCAATGTTCTGACATGGTATAAGACAGCGTCATACGTTTTGTGAGGAATGGCAGTAGCTCCATGGGTTGGTGTATATGAGGTTGTGAGTTAAATTTGTGGCATTTCCTGTAATAAAGATCTCCGGTAGGAGGGCTGGGGGAGACCCTTCTTTAAACTTTGTAGAGCTACTCCCAGCCAGAATGGATTGACAGTCTGATTCCATATTAGGCAGCTTAACATTCATATCATCATTATTTCAATGCCAAATATACTCCTTACGGGAGAATGTATCTCTATAAAACATAAACACACACCTGTAGCTTTCTGTTCTAGTCTTACCTTTATGACATGCTTGTTTTTTGTGTGCAGGGATCATTAACTTGTGTTTGTTTAAGGGCACTTAATCATGTGAGCCCCTACCTGTTGTGTGAAGTAGTACAGTCATCAAACAGGTTTTCCTGCTCTTCTGTTCTTGAGAACTAGCAACAGGCTAACATAGATAGCCTTTTTAAGAAGCTGTGGGGTGCTTGCGACAAACACTGGGGATATTGCGTGGGATTTGGTGCAGAAGGGCAGAACAAGAAGATGCTTAGTTTTTTGCTTCCCCTTTAAATTGCCCTTTCCCTGCTTATATGTATGTAGTTATAAAATATGTATTTATAACTATAAAGTTTAAGTTGCCTCCTTTTTTAGTGGGGAGTTAGTTTCATACTTATTTCTCCCGTTCTTTATTGGTTGTTGTGTGTTTTTTTAAAATGTGGGTAGGTGAAGGGAGGAATACTGTTTTTAACTCTGAGGCACCCAAGTGTGTTCATTAGTAAGAGCCATGTAACAATCTATGCAAAATTTTAGAAATTAAAATTAGTAGGATCTATCCATTGCAACCAAAGAAGTTTATAAACTTGGATTCTTTGTGTAATCTACAGTGATTTTGAGATGCAAATTGTCACTTGCTGTTAGAGAAATATGTACTACCATTTTAGTTCAAGGCAGAGCTTACTCCCTATGAATCTTGGAACATAAGGGCAGAGTGGAATTTCAAAAGGACCAGCTCTCACAAATACTTTCTTTCTTCATGGGGATGTCTTTAAAACAGGGGAGGGAAAACTCTTCCATCCCAAGGACCATAAACTCTCAAGGTGAACGTTCCAGGGACACATGCTGGTGGTGGACAGGGTCAGAGTACACTGTGGCTGGAACACTGAATTTGACTCCTACTTTTGTATGGTAGGCTACATTCCAGCCATTCAGAAGTCAGAGGTTTCTACACACAAGCACACATCCTCTATCCAGGCAAGCAAGAAACACAGGCAAAACACATTATTGCGAGGCAAAAGCATTCAAGAAGGGCATGGAACAGGGCCACTGTTGGGTGTCCCCTGGGGAGAGGGGACATGACCTGGAGAGGACTGCAGACTCTGCAGAATCCCAAGGGCTGAACAGAGATAATTGGAGGGCCACATTTGGGAACAGATGAGGTTCCCTGACCCCTGCTTTAAAAAGTACCCCTGTTAGAACTCAGAAGTTTCTGTCGCCTTGTTTTGTGAGTCATTCTTTAGAAATGTTTCTGGGGCAGCTTCTTTCTAGCACAATAAACCTGTGGAAACAAGAGCAGCTGTTGGATTGTGGCAGAGACCAGTTCAACATGTCACCAGGGAACTGGAGGGAATAATTGTACTAGTACAACCAGGCATCCTTACTGTTTTTCTGCAATATTTCTCACTCATGTTTGTGTAGCTATATATAGAATAGATAATCTTACATACCATAGGCAAGCAGAGAAAATCCAGGTGTTGTACCTAGTGTGGTGTTCTAAGGCAGGATTTAAAAGATGCTGCTGATTTTTATTTTCAAGGCCACATGAGGGACCTTGGTGCTCATCACACATTTTATTCTCTTTAACATATGCACAAACACCCATAAAAAGCTTGTGTTGCTGCGCCGGTGTTTCTGGGCCAGGTTCAATGGTATTGCATTAATTTGTAATGATAACATCTTCATCCTTTGCCTGCCTGTCAGACCATTGAGATCTTTGGAGGAAGACTTCATAGTCCTCCATGAGCTGTGCACAGGGTTGAACTGCATGCTGTTTACAAATCTACACTCAAAGTGAACTACAGATCAATGAGAGACACCAAATGCTTCTGTTTTACAAGTTAAAACCTTGAAGACTGAGAAATAAACAATTATCACTAAGCCGAGCATGGTAGAATATATATTTTTTTATATAGAGAACTTGCTATTTATATTTTGTTCCAAGTTGGACGCTCTTGCCTATCTATTGCAAGTGAGCTAGAGATCCATCTTCTTCCTGCCCTAAAGTAGTGAACATTCAGACAATTACATTCAGGGTCTCCTATGTTTTAACAGCTTTTGGAGTGACTCTGTTTGAAAGCCGTTTGGACCAAAGAGTAACAGAAATGTGACTGTAGTTCTTGATTCTGAAGGATTAGAGATACTTCAGGAGTACTCAGTTTAAGAAATGAAAATTCATTTGCCAGTTGATACAGTGGGATATTTCCCCATTAACATTAGGTCTGTTACCTGCTTAAATAATTCTGGGTGCATCTAATGGGTTGATCTAAAAATACGTGTAAAAGCCATCATGCTGAGGATAAAAGCATGCTTCTATGTTTATTTTGGGGGGATATGGAGCAGCTCTAATTAACAGGAAGTGTCCTGTCATTATGGAATCAAGATTTCAAACAAACTTGTTTATCCACATTTGCAGAGGCCAAGGTTCTTTGATGGGGTGGGTAGCAAGTCAGCATGCCCTCTACTGCCACAGCTGATGCCTTTCTTAGTTGGTGCAATTCTAAGCATATCCTATTTCAGTGCTGAATTCTTGAATGGCTAGTGGGGGGTGGGACATTCCTGGTGGGTGAATTGCAGGGACCGCAGCCATGGAGAGCTGAGTTAGGTAGGGTAATGCCACAAGTCTGTTGCCCAGAAGCCCCGGAAACCATAGAGCTGGATCCCCTGAAATTGATGGAGGAGGTGGCAATGCATTGGTGGGACATCACTTTTTGCAGGCATAGCCATGGAACCCACTGAGCAGTCTCTAGGAAGCCGTCACTGTGCCATCCAGTCTACTAACTCAGCAACAGCATCCCCATAGTTGTGTTGCTTGCCCACTTTTTTATAACTTTAGGATATTTGTAGCCCGCATTTCAATATATGCAAAATTCCGCAGCAGTTGAGTTGACAATAAAACATGGGTTGGCTGAGATGTGAGTGACTTCTTTGTTCCTCCCATCCACCAATAATGTACGTATGAACACAGACATAACAATTTTACTCCATAGGGAGTGACATACTGCAGGCATTATTGTCTGAAACTTACCTATCTTGACCTTGTGTATGTTTGAGAAATTGGTTTTTAAAAAACTGAATTGAATTTGCCATTCTGTCCTGACCACCCAAATCAGTATGGCTGATGGAGGGTGGGGGACCTTTGAGGTATCTTCCTTTTAATAATAATAAAGTTCAAATCTCCATTGGTCCAAATGAATTAATCCATTTTAGGACATTTTCTCCTATAAGGAAACTGGTGTGTTCAAAGCTGCTTACTGTTTTCACAGCACTTGCTGTCGCATGAAAAAAAATATGCTTTGATGTCATAGGTTGAGACTCTTTCTGGGTTTTTTCTTTCTGTTATTCCCACAACATCATGATAGTTTTTGTTGGAAAAAACTGATGGATGAATCTTTTAAAAAAAGGACTCTGTGTAACAAGGAAGTAGAAGCAAGTATAATGAAATAGCAGTACATTTGTAAATACATTTTAAACAAATAAGGAATTGTTTTAGTATGTATATGTGTGTATATAAGAAGGGGAATTATACTAATTTATCTTAAAAATATCAGGATGTTGTAATAACATAAAGAGCCTCAAACCATGGCATCAAAGCATTTAATAATAAATAAAAATCTTAGAGGAATTTGTATAAAATTAATGTATGACAGTCGACAGTTTCTTGTCCTGCACAAACACGCAACACACGCACACAGAAACAGCCACTACTTGCAACTGTACTTTGTAAAATATGTCTGTGCGGAATTACCTATAGGCATTTTGCATTCTAATTCCTACATTGAAGAGCTTTCTGTATAGAACTTTGTGATAAGTGAAGCAGGCTTGAGTTGAAAACAAAACTTGTCTGGCTAGATTGCAAACCTGCTAATTAGTATCTTGCTGGCATTCTTAGCATAGGAGAAAGGGTGTTAAAAGAACAGAATGGAGATCCACTGTGGATTTGATGGGTGAAATGAAAGAAGAGGTAATGCATTGTGGTGTAGTGGTTAAGAGCAGTAGACTTGTAATCTGGTGAACTGGGTTCGCGTCTCCGCTCCTCCACATGCAGCTGCTGGGTGACCTTGGGCTAGTCACACTTCTTTTAAGTCTCTCAGCCCCACACACCTCACAGAGTGTTCTTTGTGGGGGAGGAAGGGAAAGGAAAATGTTAGCCGCTTTGAGACTCCTTCGGGTAGTGATAAAGTGGGATATCAAATCCAAACTCCTCCTCTTCTTCTACTTCCACATATTTGTTCTTAAGGAAAGCATTTGGCTGTATTAAGTCTTTTATGGGATAGTGAATGGAAGAGGAAGCTTCAGAAGAAATAATGAGGAAAGGGGACTGTGAGAACAGGTTGATCGTTGGACTCTTAGCTTTATATGCTATTTATTTGTATTTTTATCCCATTCTTCCTCCAAAGCGGTTGATCTTTGGACTTAACTTACATGCTATTTATTTGTATTTTTATCTCATCCTTCCTCCAAAGAGCTCAGGACAGCATGCATGGCTCTCTCACATTAACTTTGTGAGGTAGGTTTGGCTGAGAGATAGTGTTTGGTCCACAGTCACTCAGTGAGCTTCATGGCTGAGTTGCCCTGATTCCAGTCTGACTCTCAGGACACTTGCAAATCTTCAAATTGCAGTCTCTCACTAAGAGCCATTATACAGCAATCAACCCAGGTTTACCACCAAGCATGCACAAGTGTTTTCAGACACCTGTTGTGTTGCAGTCTTACTTCACATTTTGCAGTGAGAACATTTTTAATGTGTAAGGTGTACATCTACAATATGTACTATGTTGAAAGGTCCTACGAATCGCTCCAGGTAAATGATTATCATGGTTGTCTGGCTGCTGTTACTGCTGCTGCTGCTTCTTGTTGTTAGGTAGATCACTGGCTAATGGTCTAAGTTTGGTGGTTGATGTTTCCTTAATGTGAGCTCATGAATGATTAGGAAGTACTGTAGCTGGGAGATTTCCATTGAGAGTTAATCAGAGCTTTGAAAAAATGGCACCTACATTTATAGAAAGGGCTGATAAAAGTTAGGGGTATGTGCACTTGTATGTGGGTAGGTCACATCCACAATATGCATTTAAAGTACATTGCTTCCCCCAAAGAATCTGGAGAGCTGTAGGTTGTTACGGGTGCTGGGAATTGTAGTACTCTGTGGGGCAAACGGCAGCCCTCAGGATTCTTTGGAGTAAGTCATGTGCTTTAAAATGTATGGAGTTAAAGTGATTAGAGAGAAAGTGAGAGATGGAGGAAAGACTGGAAGTGTCTTCAGGTGCTGAGTGCCTCCCTATCATAATGACAAAGTGATGCCCCACTTTGAAACCCTGATTGTCTGGACTTCTAAACACAATGCAGGGCTTTCAAACAGCCCATTGTAAACATTCCCGTGCTCTTGTGGGAACTCTGGAGATATGTACAAAGGGCATTCAAATAGCTTCAGACTTCATCATGAAGGCTGTTTGAAAGGCTCCACTGCACTTTGAAGTCCTGAAAACGGGGGTTTCAAATCACAGCGCTGGGAGGGACATTCTGTTTCTATTGAAAGGAAACTGCTTCACCCTACTTGAGCAAGGCACATTCCTACTGCTCTTCAGCTGGTGGGTGGGTGGGGGAACACCTTGCTCCAGCAAAGGAATAATTGGGAGATCACTTTAAGCTCCCACTTGTTTCTTTGAAACCACACCTACTCATTTACACGTGATGTCATACATGTCAGGTACAGGGCAGATAGGTGTGGCTTCCTGAAAATGGCCTGAAGTAACAGACCTACTCCCTAGCAGGTGTGCATGCCACTTGTTTCTTTGTATGTTCCACCTGTATATTTGCATATCTCCAGTTCTGTCTCCTTTCAGTGAAAGCACTGCTCCCCTGAAACTTCTCACTGCTCTCAATCCTATTGTCTTTTTCATTCTTCGAGGCCAACATGGCAACAGTTTGTTTCAGAGTGTGTACATGCATGCTTGTATAATTACATTTTCCATAAAGGCTATTGTTCGTAATATTCTTAATGTAAAACTTTTTTTGTGTGTGTAATCAAACCATGCTATTGTTTTCATCATTGAGATGACTTCAGGATTCTGGGGCAGGTTGTATTTTAAGGCAGTGTACATAGCCTTTGAATATTTTATCATGTTGGAAAACTGGTAGAAGTTGATGTAAAGTTTTGCCAGTGGTACTACCAAAAGGTTTTCAAAGATGACAGTGTAAAAAGGTTTGGTCAATGGTGCAATCTTCCACATTTTTACTCTTGACGTCAATCTCATTGTGTTTATTGAAGCTTACTTCTAGATACTGCATGTGTGTATAAATACCTGAAAATATACATTTTATAGCATTCTCGCTTCTGGTTGGCTGTGGTATAAAAAGATTGCTGGACTAGATGGACTGTGGTCTGAAGATTGTTCTTACGCTCTTCATTTGTGCAGTTTTCTAAAACCCAGTCCCATGATCTGTTCCAGATGCTGAACATTTGATAAAGCAACTCCTTCCTTCATTTCAGTGGAAGGCATTGAACTGCATGTTGCATAGGCTTGTTCAGTGGAAATGGGAGCACCAGAAAGTTAGGAACTCCAAATAAATAGATTCTCTGGTTTTTACCTTGAAACTGAACCCACAAGGAATCATTCTCACATCAGGGATTGATCATCTGGTGAGAGGAGCACTTGCAAGCAGGGAGAAATTAATTTGGATCCTTTGGGAGTTCTGCCTTCCACTTGGAGTATCTTGATAATAGATGCCTACAGACCATTGGGAATAAACTTCCTAGAGCTTCTGCAACCAAGCAATGCATTACAGCATCTGTAAAATGCTATCTCTCTGCTGTCATTTAAAAAACTAGATTAAAACCCTAGAACTAATGAAGAAATTTGCCACTGTGCCAGTCATATGAGGAAAGAGGAGTCACACCATTTGTTCAGGCTTATGTTTGGCTTCCTGACTGCCTTATCTGATTTGTATATTACAATTGTTGACTCGGCTCTCCCTTTTCATACATGTGCAAAGGTTGCTACAGGTTCACCTTCAAGTGTCTCAGGTACCACACGCCACCTGCTAATCTGAAGTATACACAATAATTAGGCGGATGTGTTACCATGGCTTCATTTTAACTTCTATGTGCAATCATATTCACTTTGGACCTGTTTCCCTTACAGTGCATTGTCGTATTGTAGAACATTTTTCTCATTTTGGATATTTTCTTTTCCGGAGCTCCAGGCCACATAACAAATGCAAAAGCATGCTTACGACACTTGGAACCAATTTGTACCTTATGAATTGGCCCTGTATGAATAGGCATTCTCACAAATGGCTTGCTCACATGAGTGGTGGAAACATTGAAGAGGGGCTTAAGGAACTTGCAGCAGTAGCAGCTTGTATAACTGAGTTGTAGTCCAGCAACATCCAGAAGACCACGGATTCCCCATCCGTGTTTTATAAACGAGGGTTTCCAATCCCCAGCATACCTTGCTCATGGAAACCATTGTTGCATCTTTTGTGAGTGAGCTTCTTTGGTACTGTACCTCTCCTGCAAATAAACCATTTATGTGAGCAGATACTCATTCATCAGAACATCCACAGCTTAATAGAGGACATGGCTCAGGGGTAGAGCACATGGCTTGTTTGCCAAAAGTCCTAGATTCAATCAGTGGCATTTCAGTGCAGGGCTGGGAAAATAGACTTGCCTGAAACCCACTCCTAGTCAACAGAAGATGATTCTGAGCTTGATGGACCAATGTTCTGACTCTTTATAAGGCAACTTCTTGTAGCAAGGAGAACTTTGTTTTTCATTTCTGGACAGAAGAAACTTCCTTGAATGAAAAAAGGGATGTTGGATTTGTAGGCCTGAGCTTTTCGGACTATTGGAGGAAAGGCATCTCAAAGAGCCTCTGCCTGAGTGGCCACCAAGACATGTAATTCTTGGAAGTAGAAGTGGGCTTGCATGACTTTGGCTTTGTTCAGATGTAATAGAATTCCATGGTTCCCTGTGGTGAGGTCCTGCTTATCACAAGCCTTGGGCCCAGGTCCTCCTCCTTCGCACACAAGGGGAGAAAATTAACCCTTTTACTATCTTTCTCAGAACATTTATGCAATTAATGCTATTTGCTTGATTTATTCCATATTGGTGTGTTGAAAAGCTAACATAAATATTATTATTTTAATAACAGATGGTTGACCCTACCTTAGCAGAAATGGGAAAGAATCTTAATGAGGCGATGAAGATGTTGGAAGACAATCAAAGGTACCTACTAATAGCAGCCTTGAAGAACATTCAGGAGTGTTAAAAAGACATCATTGCTGATACATTTTCTGCTCAGTCCAGCAGAGCCTATTGTTGTAGTTGCAATAACAAAATCCCCTTTTGATTTTGTAATGAACAATTAGATTTGTCATTGAAGGACAGCAGTCGTGCTCCCCTGACCATATCCCGTGATTTGGGGAAGCAGCAAGATAGACATTGCATTCCTAACACTTCACACAACCTGGAAGCAGCTTCATAGGGTGGGGTGATTTTCATTAGGACCACAGCATGGGTACAAAGGGTTAAAATAAAAAAGTCTACATCCCCGTGCATCATAGTTCTCATCCACCCTCTCCACACCTGCTACATACTGTTTATAAAAGAGGCAGGCAGACGCCAAGTTTTTATCATCTCATGTAGTTTGGCCCTGCATGAGAACCACTGAGAACTCACACAGCCTCACTTGCTCATCTCTGGTCCAGGTGTTCAGTCTTCGTGATGCACTAGAGTATGAAAGAACTCTGGCAGCTGGCCAAGACAAAAATCCCATTGCATTTATGGTGGGTTAGGTTGCTTTGCAAATATGCCTAGTCTAGAATTTCCCTTTAAGCTTACATTTAACTGTTCTGAAGACAACAGGTGTTTCATATCCTTTTGCAGGTTCCCGACCCCAACCCCAACCCTAGATTTTATAGTTAGGAGAAAATGATTCTTGTATTGCATAGGATGTGAGAAATAATTAAACTGGCTTCTGTTGTAGCAGCTGGATTGGAAGCACTCAAGAAAATACAAGTGAACTATCTGTAGGTCATAAACCTTAAGCTTTAATTTTTTTTATAAAAAAACGACATCACAAATTGTCAATAGGTAGTGTTGTATTTCCTGTTTTGAAGTTCATTTTATATGGCAAATTGTCTGCTGACAAATATTTTAAACAATAATTTATCATTTTTAATATACCTGTTTTAGTCATTTCTTTCAGTCGGCGTTTAACCTTTAACATCCCATTAAAACAGATCAGGTTCAGCACTTTAGAAACTACAGAGCTACTAAAAAAATGAATGGCTTTTCCTTTGAAATCAAGTTGTAGTGGAAATTTTGTGTGGCTTAACCAAGGGCAGGATTTAAACATCTCACTGTGGTATGTTCAAACTAGGAAAGTGGAGGAAGAAAACGAAAAAAAGTATACAAGGAAAGATATTCCTGGACCACTTCAAGGCAGGTGAGTAACATGATTGTGAATCATGATTTTATAGTGTATCCTTTATCTTCCCATGCTATGCATACAGAAGGTCTCAGGTTCCGTTCCTGGCATTTTCAGATCTCAGGCACTAGGGCTGGGGGAGAAACCTTGCTTGGAAGGTCAGGGTAGACAATATTTCACCAAATGGACCATTGGTATGTATAAGGCAGCCACATTTATCTAGCCTACAAGCTGCCAAGAATACACTTAACCAGGGTGTTCTCATTCAGTAGATTGTATTGGCAGAGTGGCATAAGCAAGGAGACTAGTCCCCTGTCAGCAGCAGCAAAACAGACAGTCTCTTATTTGGTACTTTTGGCACACTGTTCAAATAAGTCATTTCATTTACTCACTCAACTAACCTGCCAATGCATTGCACAAATAAAACGACTTCAGTGGATTGTGCTCCTTGTGGCTTTTTTAACAGTGAGTCAGGGGTAGAGGAAAATAACCATTGATGATTTCTTTTTCCAAGTCCCCGGAATGTATTTACATTGTGTTTCTAGAGAAATCATAATCTACATTATTATTTCAGAGTTCACGGTGCATTTCTAGACAAAATATTAAAAGCCTCTCAACAAATTACCAAAAAAACTATAGTGATGCATTGGTACATCAAAAGGGCCTGATTTTTGCATTCTTTTTCTCCCCTTAGTGGACAAGACATGGTGAGCATTCTCCAGTTAGTTCAGAACCTTATGCATGGAGATGAGGAGGAGGAATCGTTGCAGTCTTACCGGTAAACAATTGTACATGTTGGTTTGGACCCAAAGGTGTTCTGCTTGCAAGAGCGGCTGTCTTAGAGTGTTGTGTTGTGTTGTACTGTTGTACTGTTTTATTGTTGTTAGCCGCCCTGAGCCCGGCTTCGGCTGGGGAGGGCGGGATATAAATAAAAATTTATTATTATTATTTATTATTACACCTGCTGCTAGAGTGTTGCATGAGAAAAACTGAAAGCACATGCAGTGATGTTGCTCCACCTGCTACATCATACGTATGACCTCTTGGAACAAGCAGCTGCATAAGAGCAGCTTACCTGTTATAGCTCTTACCTGAGCTTTCAGTCAATGTTTGTGGAATGATGCTAGGGGCCATTTTACTTTCCACTCATTGGGATTCATAATAATAACAAAGTTTTCCTTTATTATTAAATTCATAACTTATTTAAACCTATTTGTATCGGAACACAAGAGGGCACACTTAATTAAAGGCTTTGTATATTCCTGATACAATAGATACTCAGATAAAGCAAACTAGATTCATTTTTTTCAGACTGCTCTCTCTTAAAGAGATACGTGCTTTGCTTCATTACATTATTAATGGGAAATTACATGCAGCATGAAATAATTTCTGCTTTGGTGGCCCCATTTCTTCAGATTGCCTGTATCTTTCAGAACACTGAATTGATGACAATATGAACAATCTGAATCTTTCGGGAAAGAGATTCTAAGTGGACTGCAAGCCTAAATTTCTGCTGGAAATAGCTCTTTCTGAGGAAATGGCTGCAGCTCAGCGATAGACCATAAGCTTTACATGCAAAAGTTCCCAGGTTCTACCCCTGGTATCTCCAAGTAGGTTTGGAGAATATTTCTGTCCGAAACCCAGCAGTAGCTCATTATGATGGAGGCGTAGAGGCACTGGATGGCCACTGCTGCTAACGTGGAGCTCCCCTGTTCTCACTGCTGCTGACTTTCCTGTCCCAAAGAGGGCACCACTGCTGCCCGTGGGAGCATGTCACTGCCTCCTCCACCACAACCACCTGCCCATGAGCCACAGCTGCTGAACCCTGGAGAGCTGTTGCTGGTCAGTTCAGGCAGCTGCTTACATCCTGCCTTTCCAATAAAACGTTCAAGGCATCTTGCAGTGCAGCATTAGCATACAATAAAAGATTAACCAATAACATTTAAAAAACCCCACAGGGACAGCAAGTAAGATAGCTTAAAATCAAATACCTGTCTAAAAAGAAAGTTCTTCACAGAGCAGCAGAGGAACATGCGAGGGGAGCTGTTTTGTTGGCTTTAAATATTGTATCAGTTTAAAAAAATTTGTCATACATTTCTTTGGGATATTCACAATATCAATATTTGAAATACAAATACGGCTTAAACCCGAGTTCCAGGGAAATCAACGCATGACCTATTTTCAGGAGGTTTTCAGAAGGATTTGCTGAGCAAAAATGAGACGCATGATTTCTGCAGCATTGGTGGTCGTTCTAATGTGTTTCTGGCTTGCAGGCTTCAGAACGTTGGAGAACAGGGTCACATGGCTCTTTTAGGACACAGCCTGGCAGCTTACATCTCTGTGTTGGACAGAGAGAGGCTCAGAAAGCTCACATCCAGGATCCTTTCTGACACTACACTGTGGCTGTGCAGACTTTTCAGGTATCCTGCATTATGAATAACTTGATGTGATGGGATGATAAGCTGCTTGTGCGTAAAATCGTATCCCCTCAGAGTTTGTTCAAGTCCACAAACCTCTGTCTGTGACAGAGCCCCTCAGACATGGCTACTCTAGTCACTAGCAGATTCCGACAGTGGTTGCTTTCGTAATCGCTTCCAACATAAAAAGCTCCTTAACGGAAACACGTCTTCTGGAATCTCTGCGTGACAGTTTCCGGCGAGGAGTGGGTGTTCTTACAGGAGGTCCTGAAACCTCTCCACTGTTTTCGCTGGAAGTGTCTCTGAGCCATCCCTCCAGCTCAGCTCCTCTCCCCTGCTGGTTCCCTCATCAGCTGCTGCGTCTCTCCCAACCTGTGTGAGCCCTTTCACCTCCCTGTTGGTTTCCTCTTCAGCTGCTGCGTCTCTCCCAACCTGTGTGAGCCCTTTCACCTCCCTTCCGTCCGATGGCAGTTCCCTGACATCCACCTCCCCTCCAGGGCCCCCTTCACCCCTCTCGCCCTCCTCTACGGGCGGTGAGGAGGCAAAACCCCGGAATGAACTTCCTTCATCTTCCGATGTCTCGAACACTTCTCTCAACCTGTTGCGGTTCCTGGTCTCGAAGTATACCTCCTCCTCAGAGTCCATCTCCCTTCCCCTTCCGAGTCCGGGAATCCTTCCAACTCCTCCCCTTCATCAGTGGTCCCAAAGTATTCCCTCCGGAACCTCTCTACAGGCTGAGGTTTCCTTGGGAACCTTTGATGGAACGTTTCTATCAATACCTCGTCATTGATATCTTCAGCCATTACCCAAGTGTTTTCTGACTCCGGTTCTCCTTCCCACGCTACCAAATACTCCACCTGATCCCCCTTCCACCTGGCGTCGAGGATTTCTGCCACATGGCTGCTGCATTCTCTTTCTTCTACGACCGGTCCCCGAGTGGCCAGCCCTTCTCGTCCCCCTTCGTACGGTGACAGTAACGACCTGTGAAATACTGGGTGCAGTTTCATGTGGTTGGGTAACCGGAGCCTGAAAGCCACTGGGTTGACCTGTTGAATGACCTCAAAGGGACCCAACCTCCTGGGTCTTAATTTCTTACAACCTCCTTTGAACGGCAACCCTTGGGTTGACAGCCACACCCTATCTCCCACCCTTATGGTTTCACCTTCCCTTCGGTTCTTGTCTGCCTGCCTCTTGTATTCTTCCTTCGCCCTTTCTAAGTTGAGTTGGAGCTGACGATGGATTGCTTCCATTTCTTCCACAAAATGCTCGGCTGCCGGGACGCTCCATCTCTCCCCCTCTCCCACACGGAAAGCCCTGGGATGACACCCATAATTAGCCAAGAAGGGGCTCATCCCTGTGGACACATTCTCGGCATTGTTGTAGGCAAATTCCGCCAGCGCCAACTTTTCTACCCAGTCATTCTCTCTGTCATTGACATAACACCTCAGGTATTGCTGGAGGACACCGTTTGCTCTTTCCGCCTGCCCGTTGGTTTCAGGGTGCCGGGCAGTCGAAAAATTGACCTCCACCTGCAGTAAGCTCATGAGCTTCCTCCAGAACCTGGAAGTAAATTGTTTTCCTCGGTCTGAGACCACCCTCAATGGCACCCCGTGCAACCTAAAAATGTTTTCTACAAATAACTTCGCTGTCTCTTCCGCCGTGACTGCATGCGAGCAAGCTACAAAGTGGCACATCTTTGTTAGTAGGTCTACCACCACCATGATGGCTGTTTTCCCTTTGGACTTCGGCAGATCAGTCATAAAATCTATCGACACTGCCTCCCAAGGTCGTTCTGGGGTTGGTAAGGGTTCTAATAGCCCCGCCGGCGCCCGCCTTTCCCCTTTGGCTCGCTGGCATTGCTCGCACCTTCTTACATACTCACGTACATCTTCCCTCACCTTAGGCCACCAAAATTCCCTGGTGACCAACCACATGGTTTTGTGTTGTCCAAAATGCCCCGCCGTAGGGCTGTCGTGCAACTGCTTGAGTACCCTCCCACTTAAGTCTCCTTCAGGGATATACAGTGCCCCTTTGTAATACAAAGCTCCATTTCTTTCCTCGAATCCACCTGCTTCCTCTCCATCACCCCTAAGACCTCTGAGCTTATTCTGGGCGTATTCATCATTCTCTGTTTCCTCTACCAGTTCTCTTTGTCCCACCAATGCCGCCCCACACACCCAGCGGTCTTCTGGAATGACATGTCTCTCTTCGGGTGCCTTGCTACCTTCATTATCATTGGGACGGTCTGCAAGCTGACTTCTCCACCCAACAGCTCCCTGCCATCGATCGTGGTCACCTGCAGGGGGCTGCTTAAAGGGATTGTCTGTATCTGGTGTTCAGCTGCAAACTCTTTGCTCATGAAATTGCAGGAGCTGCCTGAGTCCAACAGCGCCTTTATCTTTAGAGGGTGTCCGTTTGGCAGCTCTAGCGTCACTTCTATCACTAGGGCGGGTTTAGGAGGTTCTGGCGTGGGCACTCTCACTGCTCTTTGGCCTGGCTGCTGTGCCCTGACAGTGGCAGCCAGGCGTTGGCTTTACTTGCTCCGGTATATTTTCCTCTCTTCCATCCACAGCCCCTACCATCCCTTGCCATTCTTTCCTCTGGGGGCAGACTCTGGCAAAGTGACCTGGCTGTTGGCAGAGATAGCATTTCCGGGCGCCTTTTCCTCCTTCTTGCCCCTCACTGGGCTTTGAAACTGCGCGCGCGCGCGCTGTTCCGATTTCCATCGGCTCTGCCGGTGGGAAAGTTGGCTCTGGAATGTCTGGAATGCGGAACTCCTTCCAACGTTCCCCTTTCCCTTCCCGCCTCTCCAATGCTCTCGCCTCCTGGCGCGCTCCTATGGCCAGCGCTGATTTGGTCAGCTGGTCCATAGACTCCGCCCTGGGCGCCCGGGAAAGTTCGTCTTTCACAGCCGAAGAAAGCCCTTCTTCAAAGAGCATTTGAATGGGTTCCGCCGATAAGTCCCACCCCAATCTGTGAACAAGCATGGTGAACTCAGTCCAGTACTCACGGACAGATCGGCTCCCTGTTTGCAACCCATTAACTGTCTGCGCACCACTCCCTTTTCAATATCGCTGGAAAACATCAGATCCATGGCGCGAAAGAACTTCATCGTGTCTTTTAAGACGTCACTATTCGCTGCCATCAGGGGTCTAACCCAGTCTCTCCCCCCCTTTTCAAGATGCTCAATCACGAAAGCCACTCGTGATTCCTCGTCAGGGAATTCATCAAACTGCAGATTGAGGGCATATTGCATTTCTGTCCGAAAACCATGATAGTTTTGGGCTCCCCCAAACTTCTGCACCAATCCTGGTACCTTTCTGGCGAACTGGGTGGCTTTCCCCTTTTGTCTGCATCCTGAGCCCTCCTCTCCTCAAGCCTCGCCGTCTGCATCGCTAGCTGGACCTCCAACATCTGGTACCTTTCTTCCAGGCTTGGACCCGCTCCAGCTCCTGCTTCTCCGGTTCCGGCTGGGTTGCTCATGATACCTTCTCCTGCACAAGCTGCTTTCAAAGACTGTCGGAATGCTGTGATGGGATGATAAGCTGCTTGTGCGTAAAATCGTATCCCCTCAGAGTTTGTTCAAGTCCACAAACCTCTATCTGTGACAGAGCCCCTCAGACATGGCTACTCTAGTCACTAGCAGATTCCGACAGTGGTTGCTTTCGTAATCGCTTCCAACATAAAAGCTCCTTAACGGAAACACGTCTTCTGGAATCTCTGCGTGACAGTTTCCGGCGAGGAGTGGGTGTTCTTACAGGAGGTCCTGAAACCTCTCCACTGTTTTCGCTGGAAGTGTCTCTGAGCCATCCCTCCAGCTCAGCTCCTCTCCCCTGCTGGTTCCCTCATCAGCTGCTGCGTCTCTCCCAACCTGTGTGAGCCCTTTCACCTCCCTGTTGGTTTCCTCTTCAGCTGCTGCGTCTCTCCCAACCTGTGTGAGCCCTTTCACCTCCCTTCCGTCCGATGGCAGTTCCCTGACACTTGATTATAAACATTACAGTAAAAAAAACAAAAAAAAAAGTTCTGAGTTATAATCCCAAATATATGAAAATGATACAGTCAGTTGGAGTGGCAGTTTTGAAGGTATGAGGCAGCCAGGGTATTCATCGACTTGCGCAAACCTTCTCCGGTGTGAAACTGCAACCGTTCAGAGGCAGCTGGACTCCTCCTCCCATCATCAGCCACGGCTAGCATGGTCAGGAATGATAGGGGTTTCAGTCCAAAAACATTAGGAGGACCATGGATTCCTGACCCCCTGCTTCCTTGAATCTTATTCTGGACAAATAAGTGAACCTTTTTATGCAACTGTTCTGTTCATTTTAAGTCGAAGGACAATACCTCCCCCTCCCCCCCCCCCGCCTTGAGCATTCAGAGTAGAAAGTGTCTTCCATTTCTGCATAATTGTAATGTTTGGTAAGTGAACTGGTGCCTTTTCTGTAAGCTCATATTTACGTAATAATTTCTCTGAACAGGTTTGAAAATGGGTCAGCGTATTATCATGAAGATGACCGTGAGGGCCTTTTAAAAGTCTGCAGACTCATGATTCACTCGCGCTATGAAGACTATACAACGGAAGGCTTTAAAGTGCTGTATAACAAGCAGCCTGTTATATACATTAGCTCTGCAGCCAGAGCAGGCTTGGGACAAGCTCTTTGCAATCAGGTAAAATGGAACTTTTGGGGTCTTATCTGTAAGTGACACTTTCTTTATCATGTTGTCCCCTTAGCTGGTTTCATTACGCATCTATACTTTCTGTTGAAATATCCTTGCATCTGTGAAATAAACTTGTGTCCCTTACTCACATTCAGATGGTATATTTTATTCTGATGTCCTGTTGTTGCAGAATGTTATAGCTGAGGGAGCTCCGAAGGTTATTTGGCCTGCCTGCCTACATTCACATAGAATGTTCTGTATTCCACTTAGTATGACCGCAACCCTGCATACAGGTTGGCTTCAGTGGGATTTAACTCACCTGACTGGATGCAGAATTGCAGCCTATATCTTATCCAAGTTAAGGTGCTTGCCATTGTACCTACTGATGGGAGCCAGTGTAGTGTGATGAGACCCCTGGTTGACTCTGAATCCAATGTGGATGCCCCCCTGCCCTGCCCCCAATTCCTTCAGGCAGGCTGTTGTTTCGTTTTTAATTAAGGTCCTTGGCATGTGTTCATCAGTTTAAACTTTTTATGTTGTTTCTTCAAATAAAAAGCTTAGAGGCTGCTTGTGGGGAGTGTGGGATGGCTTCATGGCTGTCAGAAGGAAGAGCCAATCAGCACTCAATATAGGCTGCTTATGCTGGAAATGGGAAAAACCGATGGCTTCTGAGCTCAATTCAGTTTGTAAAATTAGACATCTGGCCCAAAAGAGCTGTGCAGTCCACTGGGGGCTCACTGCTCAAGATATAAATAAAAAAAATTTTAAAAATTGTCTAGTGTATCTGAAACAGTGTATCTGAAAAAGTGTGCATGCACACAAAAGCTTATACCCAGAACAAACTCACTTGGTCTCTAAGGTGCGACTGGACAATTTTTTATTTTTTTTATTCATTTCGACTGCATAAGACCAACACGGCTACCTACCTGTTCAAGATACGTATACATAGAACTTAATGACCTCCCTGCTGTGACACACTTTACCTGTGCCAGGTGGTCCTTCTCTCAGATTTCCACATATGAACCAAGGTTGGGTCCGTTGCATTTCAGTTCTTTTTGAACCTCAAAGTTATGGTTAACGTCAGTGGCAGTTTTCTTTTCTGCCATGGCATACCTCCTCACTTAAATTACACACACATTATACTTCATCAGTTTAGATTTCTCAACTTTACTTTTGTTTACATGTTGAGAAGCATAATAGTGCTTTGACCCCTATCAGAAAGGTTGCCAGCTGGGTATTCCACTAAAAGGGCATCACAACGGATAAGGCCCATGGCTAAATTGCCATCTCCTTCCCCACCCACCCCGCAACAGTATCTCTGGCCAGACTGTCACCTACTGGGAAAGGTGGTCCGGAAAGTGTTTAGACCCCCAGCCATTTAGGGCTTTATAAATTAGTGACCTTAACCTGTGTTTAGAAACAGTGCAGATCATGGTGAATGGTTGCAACATGGCTCTGAATAAGCAGATCTGAATAAGCCCATCTTAGCCTTCTTCAAAAACATGCACAAACATGGAAACCTGAAACGCTCGGATCACATTAGGGATATAACTTCTGTCTCGTCCCTCTGCAGCTTGGTTTGCCTCTTTCCTGTATGTGCCGGGTGCCTTGTAACACCATGTTTGGATCTCAGCATCAGATGGTAAGTTTGAGCAGAAGCAGCAGCACACGGCCTTGTTCCATTTGTGTACATAAATAATTGTTCCCTCCTTTGCTTGGTGGCAGGATGTTGCTTTGCTGGACAAATTGATTAAGGAGGACATTGACTCTGGAAAGCTACCAATATTGCTAGTGGCCAATGCTGGTAGGTATCTTTAGCAGATGAAATTTGACTACTACTTCCCCGCCCCCGCCCCATGCACTTTCTCGCCTACTCTCAATAGAACCTCAAATTTCTAATTTATAGATAGAATGCTGTTAACTGACTGCTTTATATCTGAGTTGCCAGGCTTGGTCCTAGTTTTCACAAAGGTAGCAAGCCAGTGTCTGGGCTGTTCCACTTCACATTTGCAGGTGGGGGCTCCCATGATGGAATGCCCCTCCACACTCACTAACTAAATAACCTGACTATGAAGTCTAGAAGCCTCTCTTCTTTTAAATGAGAGCTAGGATTGTGCCCACAGCAGAGAGGGAGGGAGAGTAGGGAAACCTATGCTTCTCTGAGTTAAACTGGCCTCAGGCATGGGAGTGCTAGCCAGTGCCCAGATGACAGCACCAGGAGTATTCCAAAGAGGGAGAAGCTCCCACTCTGGTCCCTCTCATTGCAACATTAATTAGATTCTGGGTGGGGCCTGCATGCAGCAGCGCAGCTGAGCCACACACCAAGTCTCAGTGGGGCTGGTTGACCGCACCCCTGGCTATTCCTTTCTCAGCACCCCCATATGCTAGGTACAAAAAAAGATGCCTGCTGAAGGTGGGGGATCTTGGTTTCCCAAAAATTAGGGCTCAGATGGTCACTGAGTTGCTTGGACAGTTGAAGTGCTCCATGCAAACATTCTTATCAAAATAAAGCCCCCATTTATGGGCACCGTACTGTTAAAAAAACACACAAGGCTACTGGAGTGTAGCTTGAGGCAGGACAAGCGCATCAGCTGGCTGGAAAGGGAAGCCATGCTCTCATGTCTCCACCATGTGTTGACTGGGAGGCAAATATTCCTTAACACAGGAAGCCTGCCTTGGGGCAGTTGTTGCTAAAGGAGTATTGGAAAAAGAAAAGACTGAACGCTGCACTACTTACTGTAAAACTTTACTTTGTTGAAATGGAATTCCAACTAATTCTGAGCCTAACAAAGTGCCATGTTAAGTGGCTGCGGCCGTTAGTGACATCTTTTTTGCATTTGGATTGTTCTTTTTCCCTTTCAATGCAGGTACACCAGGAGCAGGGCACACAGACAAACTTGGGCGACTGAAAGAACTCTGTGAGCAGCACGGCATGTGGCTACATGTCGAAGGGTACAGTGCCATTTTAATGTAATGTTAAGTTGACTAACTGTGCATGAGATCCCCATGAAGGTAAATAACACGTGCACAAATGGCATGGCCAGGTTTGTGCATGGTTTTGCATCTAACTTCTTCATTAGTCACTCCCCATCCTGAATTACAATCCCCTTTTAAAAATCTCCTAAACTAAAAACAAGTGAAGTGACTGTAAAAAAGGAGAAGGCAAGAGATGCCATTTTTTAAAAATTGGGGAGATTTTGATGAACAGGTTTTCACAGAGCTGTTTCAGGGAGAGTTTTAAAGGACAGCACAGTGCTGTACAAGAGCTACCTCTGTTGAGAAGAAGGGTTTTACCTATATTGCCAATGTGCAATGCCATCCCTAAGAAAAGGAGTATGCCAGACTGCAGCCAACTGAGCATGCTTTGTCGCCCCACCACGGCCCATGGTTCATAAAGACATTCCAAAAAGCCTATTTCGTTGCTGTGTATTTGTGGAAAACAGAGACACAGGAAACTGCTTTGTGCTAAGCCAGATGCTTCTTCTGCGACAGGTTTACAAACTGGAATGAAGTTACAAATGAAGTAGGCAGACAGAAACATTAAAATCTAGCCCTTAACCTGGGGTAGGCCACCTAAGGCCCATGGGCCACAAACGGCCCACGGGGGTCGTTATCCGGCCCATGAGCCACCCCCGAACCGAGCTGCCCACTCCATGAGTCCCCACGCGCTGTGCTAAATTGGTGCAGCGCAGCACGGGGACTTGCTTCTGTGGCGTTGAAAATTGTGTTTGTGCATGCGCAGACGCCAAAAATTGCATCCGCACAGACACCGAAAATCACGTCAACGCAGACGCCAGAAATCACGGGGGGGGGGGGCGCTCATGTGCATGCGCAATCCAGCCCACTGAGAGATTTCTGCTGGAGTGAACCGGCCCAGGCAAGGTAAACCTTGCCGACCCCTGCCTTATCCACTAACTGGATTAAAACAAAGTGTCTCTTTCAGATCCAGAATCTTGGAATAAATTCTACAGTATTTGCATTAAATATACACATACAGCTTCCCTAAGTACAGAATCATAAAATATTTAAAATGAAACTAAAGCGAAATGTTAGCATTTAGAGAAGGGAAGGAATATCCAGTGTAATCTAAAACTGAGTTTTCTTGTTTCTTTCAGGGTGAATTTGGCTACTTTGGCTTTGGGTTATGTCTCGTCATCTGTACTGGTATGTTTCTGCTTTCTTCAGTGTGGGTTTAGGGCTGGTTTGGGGACTGAATTTATTCTGTCTCTTTTCAGACCATTGATCATGATATCCTCCTGAACCGACTGTTCAAGATGGGTTTTAGAGGTGCAGTGGTTTCATTATACCTACAGTCAAGTCCAGATAGTAACGTTAGGGGAGTGCTTTTTTACTCCCTTGAACTTGTGCTATGGGGTCCTGCAGGGCCCTCTTTTTGGTCCCCAGTGTTATTTAACATCAACACGAGGCCATTGACAGCAGTCATTTCAAGTTTTGGTTCAGGTGTTGTCAGCGTATTGACAGCAATATACTGATGACAGGCAGCTCCATTTCTCCATTGGTAACTTCAGCTCTGAGCTACTTCAAAGTGAGGCTGCCTTGGCCTGGAAGCCCCAGCTGCTAAACCACTGGTGAAGATAGATAACCAACAGCATGCAACACCTCTGTTGAAACATCTGCAGTGGCTGCCCATATGCTCCAGGTTCAGGACTCATATTAAAATACAAAGCCCTGAAGAACTTGGATTCAAAATACCTTAAAGACTGCCTTCCCCTTATATCCCAACTTGATCACTGAGATCATCTGGAGGATGTCCTCTGTGTTTCTGAGGCCCAGCTGTCTTCAGCTAGAAGTCAGGCATTTAGTGTTGCCAAATTCCACAAAAGTGGACTGCTCTTCCAGCAAAGATCCAGGAGGCATCCTTACTGCTAATTTTCAGGTGTCTCCTAAATACCTTTTTATGCCAACAGGCCTCTGAATTTGTTTAATCCCCACCCCAAGTTGAGCCAGTCATTTTCATTATTGTTTACTTTTTTTTAGGCTGGTCTCTCATTTTTAGAAGTTTGGCTCATGGGTTCCATTGTTTTGAGTTGCACTCAAATAATATAACTCTGCCTTCCTTTCTGCAGGCCGCAACCAAATGTGACAGCATGACCCTGACTCTGGGGCCCTGGCTAGGTCTCCCAGCAGTGCCTGCAGTGACTCTCTACAGACATGAGGATCCTTCTTTGGTAAGCTTATTTCTTTGTATATATGCTCACTGCTTGATCCAAACTCCAAAAGGTTGGCAACCCCTGCATCCACCCTGAATTTTTCACATACGATGGAATAACAAATCCAGCAAAAAGTAATGAATGCAAATATGTTGTTGTTTTGTTCACAGTCCTTGGTTGCAGGCTTGACCTCTAGCCAGGCAGTTGAGAAGCTGCGTGCTCTGCCTCTGTGGCTCTCCTTGCAGTACCTTGGACACGATGGGATTGTGGAAAGAATAAAACATTCATCTCAGCTGGTAAGAAGTTTGGCATTGCTTTGGCTCTTGTGCATCTCCATGGATGAGCTGGCATTTCACGTTTTACGTACATAGTGGTGTTGCTGCATTCTCAGTCTCCAGCCAAAGAAGAGATGAGTTATTTGTGTGTGTCATATGTGTGCGTGAGATGTAACACAGGATACCTGTAAATGGGTCACAGAAAGTGTTTTTTATTTTATTATCCATCAAAACAGCCATGTAGGGCTGATTTTGGCCAGAGAAAAAATGTTAGGAAAGGAGATTTTAAGTTTTCCTTCACACACCTTTGCCCTGATCTGAATTCCTCCAAGTAGCTATTGGCCCTCTTTGGGGGCAGGGCAGAGGAAGAAAATACAGCTGAGTGTTTTTGTTTACAGAAAAATCCCCAGTGGAGATAACAGAGACTTGGGGGGGAGTCGGGCTTTAGATTGGGGAAATGATGCAAACAAAGACATTTAAAGACCCATCTTCATATGCTGCTGCTCCATTCAAAACTAGGGTCTTTGACAGCTGCTTTGAAGTAAGTTTGTTCAAGCACAGAAATCTAATCATAGGTCCGTCACATAATTTATCTAAGTCTTGTAATATAATGATTCACTATTTGAAGGAGGCAGCTGACCAAACATTTATGGTCTACAGCTTCTCCATGTTCCCAAGGAGAAACCAAGGTGGTGGAGCAGAGCAGGGCTTGATTGGCAAACTGCAAATGGTCGCTTATATATGAGCTTCCAGTAGAGGAAGTCTTTTACAGGCTTCGTATAATTGTTTGCCAACCCTCTGGTGGTGAGAGCGTGAAACAGTTGACACATCTTGTCACCAGTTCGGAAAGACATTGGCCACTGCCTTCCTGCGCTTGGGGCCTTGCCCTTTTGATCATGGGCCTGCATGCTGCAGTGAGTCACCGCTGTGCGTTTTCCCAAGGCACTTCCTGTCATAAAAGGTGTCAGGAAGTAGGGCTGACATCAGCAGGATTTTTTCCTTTTAGTTGCTGCTATTTTCTGTATTGTTTTAAACGGCCTCTTAGCTGTTGTATTCTGTACAGCACCTTTGAGATGTGGGTGGGCCATGATTAATAAATGAACAATCAGGCACTTGTTAAACCTTGGCAGAGGGACTGCTGCTCATCTCCCCCTGCCTCTTGTGCTACAGCCTCACTCCTCCTTGCTTTGCTGTCTGCTGACCTGCCTTCCCCAAATGTGAAAGCAACAGCAAGACCAAAGAGAACATGCAGGAGCAGCAGCAGCAGCAGCAGCAGCCTCCACTTGCCTTGTGGAGCAGTGAGGCAGATTGGGACCAGAAGAGGAAGAGCAAGGGATTGGGCAGGGGTGGCAGTGGGAAGGAGGAGGAGAGGGTGGCTGGGGGGGACCCCCTTAAGGCATCTTGTCCCAAAAGCCCCAAGAGTCAACCCTGATGGAAAACCCCAGCTGATGGAGGCGGGGGCGAGTGTTGGCCATAATACCTCATTGTTTTTAGCTGCTTAGTGAGTCATTTTCAGTCCCCTGCCGCCTCCCCACAACATCTCTAAAAGCTGTTAAAAAAGAAAAGAAAAGCCTGATCAGGCCTTCCTTTTTTCCCTCCTTTCCTTGGTTTTGGAAGTGGTCTTTTAAGTATCCAGCTGGCAAAGATGACTGGCACCTGCTCTATATTGTTCTTGCTGCTTGGAGAAAGTTCTCTTGTTATCCCCCTTCCCACTGGCATTAGTGTGTGATGTCCACCCTTACCAGTACATTCAGTTATCACCGTTGAAGGGATACACTTTCCCCACTTATACTCAGGACAGTTGCATGTACTTGGGTGGGTACGCGTTGTCCTTTTTAATGAGCACTGGATGAGCATCTTGCGTATTTTGTATTGTCATTTGTTTTATATTTTTTTCTGGTTTCAGTTTGCTTGTCGTTGATTTATTCTGTCAAGTCAACTTGAAACACCTTCTTTTGTATTAAGTGGCTGAGAAATGTTAATGATGATGATGATCCGTAATACAGTGGTACCTCGGGTTGCGGACGGGATCTGTTACGGAGCTCCGGTTGAATCCTGAGGTTTTCGCTACCGGAGGTGCTTGTTGTGCGCATGCGCGCAGCGCGGTAGAGCACTTCTGAACATGCGCGTGTAGTGAAACCCGGAAAAATACTTCCGGGTTTGCTGTGTTCGCATCCTGAAGTTTACGTAACCAGAGGGTTATGTAACACGAGGTACTACTGTACTTAAGGGGTGCCCTCATCAGAGCCCTCAGAAACCACCCTTTGTGTATGCAGTAATTGACCAAAAGCCAGTAGAGGTGAACAGTTTGTGTTGCTAAGGAACACGTCATCCTAGGAAGACTGTGAATATTGCTCTGCTTTTTAATAATTTAATTGATTCTTAGAAAATCTTCATGCTGCAGCTTTCAGGCTTCCCAACAGGGGCCATTTAGGAAGCTTTATAGGTGGCTGCAAGAGCAGCCTACTTGTCTTTTGACCAGGGGGAGTGGTGGTGTTGATGACTTGAGGCGCTTTTAAATTAAAGCAGCTAAAGGCAAATTCATGTTGCCATTTATCATTTTATGTTGCATTTTTTAAAAAAGTGTGAAGTGCTTTAGGATCTTGATTTCAACCTCACAAGGACTCGTTGAGCAAATTTGTTGTTATTCCATTTACAGATGATGGAGGGACCACTAAGACTAGTCTGCATCTTAGATTGATTCTGGCTTGCCACTACAAATTTAAATCTTGATCGAGCTGTCACACCCATCAAGAATTTAATGAGTTTTGTAATGCTTATGTAGTTGTTGTTTGTTTAATCTCTTTCCCACTCCCAACTTTCATCTACTCTTTTAGAGTCAACGGCTGTTGGAAAACTTGAAGAATCAGGATTTTATTAAAACCTCAGTAAGTTTTCCTTTTGCACCTTAATTTTTTAAAACAATAGCAATAATATATTAAGCCCATAACCCACCCTATCTTCTTGCCACATTCCTGTTTCAGCTTAGGAAAAGTGGTCTTGTTGCATATATAGTACAGTGACAACAGTGGCAGACCTTGAGGTCTCAGATTTCAGTGGTGCCCTGTGCGACGCCAAAATTTGGCACCCCCTCCCCGCCTCTCACGCTCCATTGCAAATCATAGTTGCAACGTCCCTGCAGTGCCCCTGAGGCTCGACGCCCAGTGCAACTGAACTGGTCACACTTCCCTAAATTCACCTCTGGTGACAGATTTTAGACAAAATCCAACGCAAACAGGCATGGCCTTCTAACGAATCTGGACGGTTGTGTAAAGAAGTATGTTTGAAACCCTCTGTGATTCTTTGCCTGCATAAACTGAGCTGTGGGTCTGGGATAATAACACCTGGCATAAGTGGGAGGTGTTTTACCACCTTGGGGAATTCAGTGGGTCTTACACTTGGGAAAAGGCTTATTGGATTGCAGCCTTGGTTTTTATATTTTGCTTTATCACATTTATAGCCTACCTTTCTTCCATGAAGCTCAAGGGTGGCATATTCTCTTTGTCCCTATTTTATCCCCACAACAACTCTTGAGTCAGGTTAGGCTGCAAGATTGTGGCAGGCCCAAGGTTACCCAGGGAGTTCCATGGCTCAGCAGGGACTTGAACCCTGGTCTCGCAGATCCTAGTCCAACTCTGTAAACCACTAAGCCACGCAGGCTGTCTTTCAAATCTGGTATCTTGGTTCTCTTGCAATTTGAATGTTAGCACTAATGCCAGTTGTGGTAATGACATGGGCCCTAGAGAATTAATTTTCTGTACACAGCCTTAAGATGCTCTCGCAACATTTTGGAACGTGGGTTTTATTTTTATTTTTATTTTAATGTCCCATTTCTAAGGTTGAAGATGAACTTGGCTCTCCTGTGGTGGTATTTAAGTTTTCCCCAGAACTGTCACCTATAGGTGAGTAGAGTTCAGTGAAAATACATTATAATCACAGATAACATTGCTTTTGTTGGTTTTTATTATGAACACGTTTGAAATTTGAATTCTTATAAAAGAGATCTGTTTTGACTAAAATAATAGCAAACACAAGTTCTTTCATTTTGTTGGATGGGTGTTAATATCAATATTGAACTTAAAACCCTATTTTTGAAGTTTAGTCATCTGTATTCCCCCCCACAATAGTCTCCTTCCTTGGAAGTTTTTAAGCAGAGGCTGGATGGCCATCTGTCATGGATGCTTTAACTGAGATTCCTGAAATGCAGGGGGGTTGGACTTGATGAGCCTTGGGGTCCCTTCCAACTCTACAATTCGATTAATCTTCCCACCCCACCCCACCCCAGCTTTTCTTCAAAGGTGCTTCAGAGGCTGCAGCTTTGAACAGAGGACTGTTTCCCTACCATAAAAGTCTGGGGTCTTTTAAAAAGCAGATTTGCTGTTGAATCCACTTTAATTCTGCAAACCCAAGAGTTGTATCCAATGAAGTTTCATTCAGAGTACACCCACTTAAATTAGTAGACCTAAATATGTATGCCTTGCTCATTAATTTCAATGAGAAGAACTGCTCTGAGAATAACTACTGTTGGGAACAACCCTACATTTCTGATTTGGATTTGAATCCCTCCCACAAAATACTGACAGTCTGGAGGGCACTTCAAAGGCAGGATACAACTGTAACAATAGCAGATCCGTGTCATTTAATCACTTGCTAAAAGTTCAAATAAATACAACTGTCTTCCTAGGGCAAATATTTGGCAACTTGTATCCTGTGGGTGTTTCCTTTCTAATATGCAAAATTAAAGTGGGTGGTTGTCTTCTTTTTCTAATGATAAGCTTCAAGCACAGCATTTTTACATGCATTACAGTGAATTTTAGCTCTGGAGCATAAAAAGGAATGAAAATGCAATTTACTGTAGAATCAGTTAAGAGGTCATTCTTAAGATATGGTTTGAAAACACACAGGATCACTTTTTGCTACGGAAAATAAAGGAACACTAGTTGGAGCAGCTAATACGTGCAACCTGTACCCAGTTTTAGTCATACTCAGAGTAGACCTATTAAAAACGAATGGGCCATAATTTCAGTGGGCCTACTCTGAGTATGACTTGGCTGGTTACAGCCCATAAATGTCAGAGCTCTCCCCAATCTCATGCATTATTCCTGTGGACAATTCCTGTCACATTTTCGCATTCTCCCCGATGCTCTCCCCGATGCTTTTCAACATTTTTATGCGCCCCCTCGCCCAGCTTGTCCGGAGTTTTGGGCTGGGTTGCCATCAGTATGCCGATGACACCCAACTCTATCTGTTGATGGATGGCCATCCTGACTCGGCCCCAGACACACTGACCAGATGTTTGGAAGCTGTGGCTGGATGGTTACGTGGGAGCCGGTTGAAGCTAAATCCTTCAAAGACAGAGGTCCTGTGGCTGGGACGGGACGATATGGGATTGGGGGGGCAACTCCCATCTCTTGCGGGGGCGCAATTAGTGCCAGCACCGTCCGTTAAGAGTTTGGGTGTAATCTTTGACACCTCCCTTTCCATGGAGGCGCAGATTGCAGCTATAACAAAGGCGGCATTTTTCCATCTCCGCCAAGCTAAGCAGTTGGCTCCTTGCCTCTCTCGCCCTGACCTAGCCACTGTGATCCACGCGACGGTCACCTCCAGACTGGATTATTGTAACTCACTCTACGTTGGGCTGCCCTTGAGACTGACCCAGAAACTCCAGCGGGTGCAGAATGCTGCAGCGAGACTCTTTACGGGGTATTCGCTGCGAGATCACATTCACCCGGTGCTATACCAGCTGCACTGGCTCCCGGTGGAGTACAGGATCAGGTTTAAGGTGCTGGTTTTAACCTTTAAAGCCCTATACGGCCTAGGACCCTCGTACCTACAGGACCGCCTCTCCTGGTATGCCCCACAGAGAAACTTACGGTCTTCAAATAAAAACATCTTGAAGGTCCCAGGCCACAGAGAAGTTAGGCTGGCCTCAAGTAGAGCCAGGGCTTTTTCGGCTGTGGCTCCGATCTGGTGGAACACTCTGTCACAAGAGACTAGGGCCCTGCGGGACTTGACATCTTTCCGCAGGGCCTGCAAGACAGAGCTGTTCCACCAGGCCTTTGGCCAGGGCACAGCCTGACTCTCTCCCTCGGCAATCTTCGCAGAGCTCTGGCCCAATGGTTGCCAGTGGCTTGATTTGAATTAATTTTATAATGAATGATTTTAGAGTGTTGTTTGTGCTGTACTTTTGTACTGTTTTATTGTTGTTAGCCGCCCTGAGCCCGGCTTCGGCTGGGGAGGGCGGGATATAAATAAAATTTATTATTATTATTATTATTATTATTATTATTATTATTATTTATTATTCAAAGCTGCCATAAGTCTCTTGTAAATTTAGATTATGTGTGGTTTCAAATCAGAGTCAGGTCAAGCATTTGTTACGACCTGTGCATCAAAGTGCTGAACACGTTGTGCTTCAAAACCTAAACCTTCCAAACTTAAGTTCTTGGTTCCATGTCCAAAAAGTGCATTATATAAAATATGAAGATATGAATGTTCACTTCTGTATCAGTTCAAGGGAGAAAAGTAGGATGAATGAATTATTCTTTAGCATCAGCCAAAATGTTTTTAACTCAGGAAATTCAGTTTCCCTTTTTCTTTGAATTCAGATCATATGTTACATTCTGCCCAAACACCTACAATTACTGGCAATGAGAGATACATTTGTGATACTTTTAATCAGTGGGTAAGTATTCTTCCTTATCTCTTCATAGGCATGCCAGACATCGGTCAATCAAACATTTCAAGTATAATCACTGACCCCTTTGTGCAGAGGAAAACAATCCCAATACACGCTGCTTATGTCAGGTCTTTTGTCTGACAAGCATTTCATTTGAACGGCTTGAGTGGGTTCTAAAATTTACTGATTCAGTACAGGAGCAGCTGCTATAGTGTCCCAAAAGCAACATCCAACCCTGTACACTCTATGTCAGGCATAGGCAAACTCGACCCTCCAGATGTTTTGGGACTACAGTTCCCATCATCCCTGACCACCTGTCCTGCTAGCTAGGGCTCATAGGAGTTGTAGGCCAAAAACATCTGGAGGGCCGAGTTTGCCTATGCCTGGTCTATAGTGTTACAACAGAGCATAGACATGGAGGCAGCTCTTGGTGACCTGGCCTTGATTGATTGAGTTTACTTATATGCTTCCTTTTCAAAAAGAGCTGTGCCCATAGCAGCTTACAGGCTTGTTTTCTGTGCCCTCAATTATTGTGTTAATCTTCCCCATGAGGTCACGCTGCTGTTGGGAGCAGTACATTCCACCTGGTCTGCTTTCTGAACTTGGGGATGGGGCTCAGAATAGCTAATCCTTTTCCCCCCAGTTACGTGTACAAGCAGTCTGATTCCGAACAGGCTTTTAGAGAGAAGATGGTTGATGGTCAAGATTCCTACGGCAGAAACTAGGGGGACAGACCAAAGCATGACGCAGCAGCACTCGCAGAAGCTTAGCAGATCTGGAGGCTCATGTGTTACTTGGATGGGAATCCCATGTACGTTACCATGAGCAGGGAGGCCCACAATTTGGGACTGGCCTCAGTAGCCAAGCAGAACGTTGTGGTTGCCTCTTTCTTCCCTTTTGGTGGTGTGGCTTTCAAGGCACATCTGCTGAATTGGAACCCTGCATGGTGTGCTCTCAGGTGGAACCAAGGGCATGGTCTCTTTGACCCTGGGGAATTAGTTCTGAGCCTTAGAGCTGATTTATATTGAAACAGAAGATTAAACATAAGGCAGTGCCTAGTGTTTTTTGTTATATTTTTGTTATATTTTCATGTATGTAAAATACCCTCCTATTGGGTTTTTCTAGCTGCTGTAACGTTATTTGCTTTTATTTATTTATTTATTTTAAAAAATTAAAAAGCTAAGCTGGGACCAAGGAAGCTCTGCCTATCTTTCTCATGGGAAAAGGAGGCACAGAGCTTGCCCATCCTTCTGACCCACAACTTGCCATGACCAAGCAGCAGCCAAGGAACACTGCTGCCCCCCCCCACCTCCCTGCTTCTGGAGCAAGAAAGGCTGGCAGACTGCATGGCCAGGGCATTCTGATTGCTTTGACAATGCAGCAGCCAAACTACCCCAGCCTTCCTTATAACTCCAGGGATGCAGAAAGGGTGGGGATTGCTTTGCAGTTGCTGGAAAGACACACGCACACGCACACGCTATTCTGAGGCTGGGAAGATGGCTAAGACTCCTTGAGCTGAGCAAAAACCACAACAGAAACTAAGCAATGTGGAGCAAAAAAGGGGGACTGACTGGGAGTAGTACATAGGTAGATGAGGGAGAAAAAGGGGAGGAGTAAATAAGTTATGAGTAATGGGTGATCAATAACACCCCTTTAATCTTGCTTTGTCTCATCAGCTGGGAGAGCAGTTGTCTCAGTTGGTGCCTGCCAGTGGAGTTGACTTGGTAGAACTGGAGGATGAAGGCGCTTGTGTGCGTTTTAGCCCATTAATGACTTCTGCAGGTAACTGGACACATTTGACTAAATTTTTTTTTTGGGGGGGGGGGAGGGGGTTGTTGCAATCCATATACAGGCAGTGACCATTTCACAGGGGGATTCCATTCTTGACCACCGTGTGCATTGGCGGAGTGCTCCTAAGTGCCCCCCACTCTGTTACGCCCTGTTCTACCCTCATCTGGTTCCAGAAGGCCCCAGATGTCTGTGATCTTGCATCAGTTGTAGCCTGTATGTTATTTGGGTCATACCCAACTTTGAGTCTTAGCCAGTGTTCAAAACTCCTATTGTTCTAGACACATTTTGCAACAGAGAATTTTATTAGCGCAGGCAGTTTCTGAGCTGTGGGCACAGTATTGCGCCTAAGATTTCAGTTTGAAACTGCAGAGTGGAAGGAAAGGAGGACCTTTTTCTGCCTCCCCACTTCCAGCTACTCTCTGAAGACTGGAGAAGAGACCCTCTAAAGAATATTAGGGGGGTGGGCAGAGGAAGGACTAAACCATGTGAAAAATGAACTTAATATTTTAGCTGCAGTTCATTCATTTTCAGCTTTGTATTCTTGTTATAAAAAAGCACGCCTAGACATTCCATTGTTGTGCCCATAACCTAGAATTAAGGTACTATTTAGCTCCTAGCTTTCATACCTCAGTTTCTAACATTGGTCTTAGCTAACCTACTTAAAACACCACCACCACATATGAGTGAAATTACTCATTTCCTTTTTTTTTTCTATTAAAATTGTTACTCTTTAAAACTCCCTGGAGACCGCGCCAGATACATTATGAAAACCTGTATTCCTGTATATAAACCACAACTTATAATAGTTGTTGTTGTTGTTTAGTCGTTTAGTCGTGTCTGACTCTTCGTGACCCCATGGACCAGAGCACGCCAGGCACTCCTGTCTTCCACTGCCTCCTGCAGTTTGGTCAAACTCATGTTGGTAGCTTCAAGAACACTGTCCAACCATCTCGTCCTCTGTTGTCCCCTTCTCCTTGTGCCCTCCATCTTTCCCAACATCAGGGTCTTTTCCAGGGAGTCTTCTCTTCTCATGAGGTAGCCAAAGTATTGGAGCCTCAGCTTCACGATCTGTCCTTCCAGTGAGCACTCAGAGCTGATTTCCTTCAGAATGGATAGGTTTGATCTTCTTGCAGTCCATGGGACTCTCAAGAGTCTCCTCCAGCACCATAATTCAAAAGCATCAATTCTTCAGCGGTCAGCCTTCTTTATGGTCCAGCTCTCACTTCCATACATCACTACTGGGAAAACCAAAGCTTTAACTACACAGACCTTTGTTGGCAAGGTGATGTCTCTGCTTTGAGACATCACCTTATAACAGTATGTATCTGTAAAACACTTTTGTTCCACAAGTTAGTATAAACCTTTGGAACTGGTCCTTTGGTTTTCTGGAGAATTTGTGAGCAAAGTTAATTCCCAGCATTCTCCTGCAAAGGTGTCTTTTGCTTTGTTCCTATTTCCAGCCTTAATTTGTGAGTCAGTTTTTCCATATGCACAATACACCATACTTTCTTGTACCAAGAATTCAAGTGTGCGCCTTCTAATCCTTCAAGAATGTGGGTATAATCCTACGTGCTACCACTAAGAGGAATCCTGTCCCCACACCCTCACCAGCATGTAGGGGAATCACGTTTATGCATATATGAAAGTTTAACTGGGGTTAAACACCATTTCCAAACAGTACTGCTGGCCTCTGTGTTTACCATAGAACATGCTAATCGACCAAGCATTTCAGTTTTAGGAACTGAAGTGCAAGACGTTGACCAGTTGGTGGACTGCCTTAAACTGAAGGTCCCAGTGCTGACGTGCACACTGCAACTCAGGGATGAGTTTGAGCAGGAAGTGAAAAGAACTGTAGGTCTTGCCTATGTTGAAGACCTCAGCTGGCCAGGCCTTGGAGTGGTAAGGTGAGTGGCTGCTCTGCACAGACTTCCTCAAGGCTCTTTGAGAGCTCTAGGCTGCATATAGATGTATAGATCTTCAGCAGTGAGGCTCCTGTGGATCCATGTGTGCCCCTTTTTAGACAAGCTTCCAACTGAGCTCAGGAGCAACCAGTTCTTCCTGTTTCCAGAAGATTTTGGCTGTGCAATTTGCTCATTGGTTCACCCAGTAGCCATTGAGAGGCATATCCTCCATGAATTTGTCTAGCCCCCTTTTCAAGCCATCTGAGCTAGTGGCTGTCTCGCCAAATCTTTCAGCAGCAAATTCAGTGGAAAGAAGTATTTCCTTTTCTTTGTGCTGAATCTGCCACCATTCCACTTTACTGGATGTTTTCTTCCTACTCTGAGTTGTTACCATTTACTACCATTTTAATATTTGCATAATGTCAAACATATTTGATCATGGTTTCCCACTTTGGTATTTTCAAAGTGTCTTTTTATTTTTCCAATATACTCATAGGGTTTAGGACTGCTCAGGTTAAACAGACTACATGCATACTTCTGGAGCAAATTTGTGCAAAGCACAAATGACAGTGTGACTGAAAATTTTCAGTAATGTTGGCATGGTGTACAATGAATAATCAAGGCAAAATTTCTGCAAACTGTTCTTGGACAGCAAGATAGGATTTTACAGTTTTTACTGCAAAACTCTACCACTACCATAAATAGTCCATCTGAATTGGTTTTGAAAGGTACGAGGGGCAGAATGAAGACAAACAGGAGAAAGAAGTGGAGAAGATTAACAACGAACTATTGAAAAAACTAAATGAGCTGGAATCAGATCTGTTGTTTTCCTTAGGTAATAAACTACTTCTGAAACTATTCAATGGGGCAGTGAAATGATGGGGAAGTCTAGGTATCAGTGTGTGTGTAATCCCCTGTAACAGTTCAATAATACTGGTTTCTCTACCAAACAGAGGAATTTTGCATTTTTATATTTAGCTTCCTTTGGTCACTTTTAGTTGTTCTAGTCACAAAATTTTAAAATTCTCCAGAATTTGGAATTTTCAAAAAGGGATTAAGAGTGGAAGAGAGAAGTACTTTTGATGGGGAAGGGCTGTGGCTTACCCTGAATCCAGGGGCCCTAAACTTCTCTTTAAAAATAAGTTTGACACCTATTTAAAACAAGCATGTTTACGATTTCTAAAGTGTTTGCGAACCTCATTCTACCTCTTTCCCCCACTTCTCAGGCCCAGAATTTGGAGGGGAGAAAAACTGTATTTATATTGGAATGGTCACTGAGGACCTTGATGTTTCTGAGCTGATTGAAACTATTGCGGCAACAGGCCGAGAAATCGAAGAGAATTCAAGGGTATGTACTGACCGTACAAGACTGCAGAGTGGCAGCATAATGAGCAGACCTCTTCTTGGTCATATTGATTGCCCTGCGCTTAGTTTTCCTATAGGCCCCTTAATAATAAATGTATTCTCCCTCTAGAAGCTATGCTAGTCTGTCACCACAAAAATGACACACACAACATTGACACTTACTTGACTTCTTTCCCATAACACCGTGTGTGTGTGTGTGTGTGTGTTCCTTTATTCAATGTGCCACATCATAAATTGCTAACATTTGGATTATCACAAGGTGTTAAGCACATAAGAACTGATTCATGAGCAAAGCAATAACTACCGGCTTAGGAATTGCCTCCCCTCCCAGCTGCAGCATCTTAATTAAATTGATCATTGCAGCTCCCTTCTCAGTATTTTTTTTTTTATCCAAATAAATAAATCACTTAAATAGCTCATGATAGTTCCATTTTAATTCCAGGGTGGTTAACTTTCTATAGGGCAGCAAGTAATTAATGAATGGATTTTATTTCCTTGGGGGGGACATAATGAACTACCCCACAGCTTCTGGTAACAGCTTGCTTCCTTTCCAGCTGTCATCAATAGCAAATCCAGAGACTATTAACACACTGATCAGCTTGCTGCTGGAGAGTAACATGCAACCACTTCCTGGTCTCTTTTTAGTGCTACGCTGTGCTGAGCTAAGCCAACAATTGGCATAGCATGTCATCCAAACCAGGACGAGCTGCAGCCAAGGTTTGTTCTTCGCTTGCCATGCTGTGCAAACCTGGCTGCTGATCGATCTGTGAACAGTGGCAAGCACCTTAAAGAAACTTTCATAGAATCTTAGAGTTGGAAGGGACCCAAGGGTCATCTAGACCAACCCCTGCAATGCAGTGGGGTTGACTGTTTGAATGTGGCAGAAGGGGAAAGAAGGCCCAGTCCTATTAGTGCTTGCAAAACAGCTGTGCATGCACCAGTTTTTTTTTACCCTTTGTAAGCTCAGCTAGCGCTCTCAAGTCAATATGGGCAGTCATCCATGATTCTTGGTATTCCTACATTGGAGGTAATGCACTAGCAACACCATACCAGATCAGGAATACAAGAAATGCTAATAAGGTGTGCTGTTCAATTTCTCATCAGCTGCTGGAAAACATGACTGAAGTTGTACGGAAAGGCATACAGGAAGCGCAGGTTCAGCTGCAGAAAGCAAATGAGGAAAGACTCCTTGAAGAGGTGAGTGCCCCAAGTTAAGCCATTTCCCAGCAGCAGCAGTAGCTGCTGCAACCAGGCTGCATCCTGTTTCTTGGCAACACACTGATCTTTTCCCCAACCCCGTTTGTTTTCTCAGGGGCTGCTCCGACAGATTCCTGTAGTGGGCTCTGTGCTCAACTGGTTTTCTCCATTTCACGCTTCACCAAAGGGAAGAACATTTAACCTAACAGCAGGTGGGGTGAAACTTGATTATACCAATGATTTTGGGGGTTGAACCAACGTTAGCAACTTGCGGGAGCAACGAATTAGTAGGCCCTTCAAAGTGTATGTGCGGCTGTGGTGGTTTTGAAGGAGGATGGTTATGGATGCTGTTCCTGTCCTGGTTTCTCTGCTTCTGCCTTTATGCCCTGCTGGTGACGCCCTTCCAGAAGCTTCTGGTTAGCCATTGTTACAGGCAGTACAGTGGACTAGTTGGACCTTTGGTCTGATCCAGCCTGGCTCTTGTTACGTTCTTGTTAGCTGTGATAACTGAATAGAACTTCCAAGTTTAGGGGCAGTGTACCTTGGAGATGGGACACGGGTGGCGCTGTGGGTTAAACCACAGAGCCTAGGACTTGCTGATCAGAAGGTCGGCGGTTTGAATCCCCGTGATGGGGTGAGCTCCCATTGCTCGGTCCCTGCTCCTGCCAACCTAGCAGTTCGAAAGCACGTCAAAGGGCAAGTAGATAAATAGGTACCGCTCCGGCGGGAAGGTAAACGGCGTTTCCGTGCGCTGCTCTGGTTCGCCAGAAGCGGCTTAGTCATGCTGACCACATGACCAGGAAGCTGTACGCCGGCTCCCTCGGCCAAAAAGCGAGATGAGCACCGCAACCCCAGAGTCAGCCACGACTAGACCTAATGGTCAGGGGTCCCTTTACCTTACCTACCTTGGGGATAACACTTGATGGGGAACAGGCATAGGAAGAGGGCTATTCCCTTCATACCCTGCTTGGGGAATTCCAGTGGCATCAGATTGGTCCTTGTAGGAGGCAGGATGGTGGAATAGATGGATGTTAAGCCAGATTCAGAAGGACTCTTCCTATAGTCATAGTCTAATAGCACACAGGATGTTTTGCATACGTCCCTCTCTTCCTAAAACTTCTCAACCCCACGTGGAAAAACTGTGAATCAGCCCTTCCACATTGAGAACTGGGAGTGTTCTCAAACTCCCAGGCTCTGGAAAAGCCTGGGAGGGCCATTCAGAAGTTTGCAGATAGCTTTACTTGGAGCAGCTGAAGAGCTCCACAGAAGATGCTATATTTCAGAAGTAGCATCTAATGTACCACTGTGCTCAGAAGACTCAGCAGCAGCAGCAGCAGCAGCAGCAGCTTTCCAATCGTGGTTTGCTGTGGAATGTTGTTGTGTTGAAATCTAAATGGAAGGTTGTGAGACAGAAGTGCCTTTGGTACAATAAAGTTCAGCTAAATAGGATCAGATGATAAATACCATCCTATAATTTGGCACGTTAAACCTAGTTTTCAGGTATGATCTGAGGGGCCACTAACCAAACCCTCTTCCCTTTGCCAGGTTCTTTAGAATCTACAGAGCCCACGTACGTCTCCAAAGTACAGGGCACTGGGAACACCCCACCTCCCACTCCCACGTCAAGCCGTGCAAAGCAGAGGTTCCCTGGTAAGTCTTCCCTTCTGTCGCGTTTCAGAGAAGCTGCTGGAGAGTTTCACCGTTGGTGAGAACCAAGTGTCTTGCTTAGAAGTAGGTCTCAGTAGAAGCCATTCCATTAGGGCAAATGGGACAATGTTTTATAAGCTTGGAACGCTGAATCCCGTTCCCGCTTCCATCATTTTCTCTCTCTTTTTTGCTGTACGTGCCCAGAATCACAAATATGCCCAGGGCATATCTATTTGCAAGATCATCTTAGCTCCTATATGCCCACTTGATCACTTTGATCAACTGGCAGTGTGGCAGGGCAGGTGCCACATAATACTCGTTCCATATTTGTAAGGAATCCATCTTTTATGGTGGAGCAGCACTTCTGCTTTGTAACTCCCTGCCTATTGACACCAGGCAGGCACCTTGTCAACGTGTTTTAATCTGTTTTTAGTTTGCTGTGGATTTTATTTTATTTTTTTCTGAATGTTTTTAATAGTTGCTTTTACCGATAATTTTATTTACTCTTTGTAAACCGTTTTGAGGATTAATTTTTTTTACAAACAGCATAACATTTTTATGAAATATATAAATAAATGTCTACCACCGATGCCTAATCAACCTTATGAACTGGCTTGGTTTTCCATCCATAAATTCCCAACTGCGGAAACAGGCAGGCAGCATTTCAGACCTTGCCGTGACTGCGTAGCACTAAATCGAGTGTGTATATTTTGCCCCAGGACAAAAGCTGTTTAGAAGGTCCTTGAGGAACTCGGATGGGTTCAGTGAGACCAGCTCGGTGAGTCACATTGATGATCTGGAGAGGGCAGAGCAGAGGCCTGCTGCAGCTCCCCCTGCTGGGCAAGGTGATTCAAAACAGCCAGAAGAGAGCATGCTTCCAAACCCGGAAAGCCCTGAAGATTTCCGGGGCGACAAGGCGAAGGCCCTGGCAAATGACTGCACTACATCCGAGGAACAAGAGAGTCTAAGATAAAATCCAGACCCTGTGCATTTTAAGACTTTGTACAAAACAAATGCACTCCCTCTCTAGCAGGGGCAGCCTAATGATGCATTTAAAATGTGAACAGTGCCACAGTTAGTACAGTAACGACTACTGTTAAACTTGTGATCGACTGGAGATTTTTGCACAGAGTTTAGTGGAAGAAGCCTTTTCTCCCCACCCCACCCTCTTTCGCCTTCTCTGCGGGGGGCATCGGCCTGGTTTTTCCTGTACACTTTGCCATTGTTGCTTTCTGTCCGGCTTACGTTCACATTGCCCAGGTGGTAAACAGCAGTTTCTTCGCCACTGAAGTTTGCAAATGCAGGATACAGCTTGTCTCCAGCTGGCATCCTAAAGAATGATTTGCTGCTTAATTTTCAAGATGCTCTACACAAACACTTCCCTTTAGGTTGGAATGATCAATTGCACTTGGTGCTATGTGTTTTTGTAAAAAAGAAAAGAAGATTCTAACTGTTTAATAAATCTACCAACTGCTCACTACCTTATTTTTAAATACCTATTTTTAGAGGTAAATCTATAGGCACCCCTCCATACGGTTCCCTTGGTTTTATGAATAGCCTTTTAAAAAAAATTCTGAAAGTTTGCTTCATGTGTACATATATAAGTGATTGAGCACCACTTTGGGCATTCCCTACCACCACCAGATAAACCTGCAGCAAAAGTTTCGCAGTCCGAGGCCAACACTCCTCTTGAAGAAGTATTCCTCACCATGGCTGCTGGGAACAGATATCCCACACTTTCCTGCTTCAGGCCGTTAGGAGACAAACCCAATGGGATAGTTTTGCTTTAGAGCAACTCACCCCCCAGAGTCTCTTTGACACCTTTCGAAAGGTATTCGTGAAACACTTTTGAGCTGACAATGTTGCATATCTGTGATGTTTCCTGTACTGCTATCCTGGATTGTTCTGATCGGTAGTTTACATTTGCTAGATATTGTAAATACCCAGAGAAATTGTTAGGTTATTTACACTGCTGCACTATTTACAGAAATGAGCTAACTTTTTTTTCTTTAATCAAAGAGAAAATATTCAGAAGCCTGTTTCATCCCCCTGTTAAAATGCATTCACTTTGGTGATTGCTTTAATTCTGTTCCTATTGAACTTGCATCTTTTCATGTGGTAAGAAAATCCTGGGAGAGAGTTTATGTGATCAATCCCCAGGCCAGTCTTTGATCAATTACTTCAAAATTCATAGGTTTTGTTTTTTAAGGGGGATTGATCCCTTTTTCCCTAAAGGATCTTTCCTGGAGTTAATAGCTTCCTCCTGCAATGACTGGTAATGAACTACAGCCTAATCCTATACTCACACGGATACTGAATGAAAGCATGGCAGTTTGCAAGGGAGTATTAGTGATTATATTTTGCCTTCCTAAATAATGCAGTGGCAGCACCCAGGCACAGAAAATGAACATTCAACACAAGAGGAGTCCACCATGTCATAGTGGAAGAAGTTGCTTGTCTGAACCTAGAGTGGAACTGCTTTGAAACTCAAGTAACCAAACACATAGTGAAAGTACATATAAGCTGAAGGTCAGACTAAAGGCAAAATGCATATAATTTCCCACCCTGCTATAAAGATAGTAACTTATAGTCATGGTGGTCCAAGTTACATTAGCAGTCAGTTGTGTGTGTCAGGCTTAGAGAAGGTAGATGGTGTGAGGGAATGAGAGTTGCAATATCTGGTTTGGTCCTTGGCCCAAGGAAGCAAACTTTTCTGACAACAGGCTTGTAATATCCTTCAAAGTATTTTCTTTGCTAGTGGATTTTGATGAGCAAAATGCATTGGGCATTGCCTTGGTGTGTGATGAGGACTACTCTTAAGTGTACTGTTGATTCATTCTTTACTCTAAGGAACTGGGAATCCTTAAAAAACAGACAACCTTAATAGATTTGCTTTGTTTAAATAAGAACTGGGGTGTTTTGTTTTGTTTTTAAAGTACAAATTCTCGTCTTCCTTGGCATTTTATTTGGTAAAATGAATATTAACTTGGGGTTCACTGAGGAGAAATGGGTTGAAGTTATAATCGTTAATACAAATTTTAATGTTTTTATATTGTTAAGCCAGCAGTTTTGCTGGGATACAGACCTAATTTAGATACTTCCCAAATGCTTCAATAAAGGTTCTTCAACTTGTTAGTATCTGAGTTTGTGTCAAGGTTTTCACATGTAAGCAGTTCAAGAGGAAAATAAACTTTCATGCTCAGGCGCATGTCTATCTTCCCGCTACCCCGAAAAGGGTTTCCCATTCATATCTATGGGATTGGCAACTCTCATCATCCCTGACCACTGGCCATGCTGGTTGGAGTTGATGGGAGTTGGAGTCTGCAGGGCCAAAAGTTACACATCCCTGTAAAGACACCTGCCAATCACTGTGTTGGCAAAAGCATGTTACCTTTTTCCTGTGTACAATTTACTTCCCTCGGGTAAGTGCAGATTGCTTTTCTGAGCATCCATTTGAGATCTTTCCCCTTAAGGCCATAACTTTGCTTTGGACTCCAGTTCCTTCCGCAGATAGCTATGCAGTGAGTTCCTTGCATGCAAACTGCTCCAGAGATTGCCACAAATAATCCAGAGATGTTCTATACTAGCTGCAATCCACCTGTTTCAAATAAAGCTATTAAGGGGGGGAAACACTGGGCAACTGGCTCAAGCTGGCCTTTTAATTTTTGGCAATACCCCAGAACAACACGAAAGTGGGGGGTGGGACTTAAAAAATGAGGGCTGGACCCAGAATTACAATGCTATACACAGCACTGCAAGCCTGCCAATTGTGGCTCGGGGCTCATGACAGAGGACTCTTGGCTCGGAGCTCCCACAAATCCAAACAGCACCCCGGAACTTGGGAAGGATGTACGTGTCTGAAGGATATTGCACCCTCCTCAGTGGTGTGACAGGGAGGCCTGCTTTATACCTTGAGCCCCACACAGACAGAATCTCATCCAGTAAAAATATAGAAACCTCACGTATCTTTGTTATTATTTGAGTCTTTGAGAACTTTTTGAGGCTATGCCGCTGTGCAAACAGGGTCGGCTTCCACAGTCTTGTTTCATTTTAGCAAAAGGCGGCGGGGGGGGGGGGAGCTATTCATTGAAGTCAAGTGCAGTCTCTGCCATCCGGAATGGCTGTTCCTCCTTTGGCACAATTCACACCTTCGGAGTCTCACTCGGACTCTTTCAAAAGTCACATCTGGTCGGAAGAGACCTTCTCCCATAGGCCACTCTCGTTTTTCCTGTATATCCAAGGTTTTCTGCTAGGAAACAGTGTCTTATCTGGAAAGGGATGCTCTTTTAAGTACATCAGAGTCGCTCTAATGTGGGAAACGAAGTGAGGCGGTTCAGCCAGAGGCGACGTCGAGAGATTCTGGAAAACAAATTGCAGAGTTAAAATACACCTTTGTCGCTACTTCTACCTGTCCCCCGTCCCCCCCACCTCCAAGGCAATCCCATCAGCATAAGAAAGGCCTGGAGATCCCTATCCATGGGTTAGAATGTCAGACTAGGGCTGGAGTGACCTAGGTACAAAATCTCCATTTGGTCATGAAACTCACAAGGTGACCTTGGACCAGTTACACACACTTAATCTAACTTGCACACAGGGTTGTTGCATTGTCAGGGTAAAGTGCTTTATGTGGGGATGCCTTTGAAAATGGTTCAGAAGCTTCACCTAGAACAGAAAGTCAGCTCCCTGACTTTTGACAGGCTTAATTCAAACAGATCATGCAACACCCATTTTGTTACAGCTACAGTGGCTGTATGCTTTCTGAGCCCAATTCAAAGTAGTAGTTTTATTCATTATTATTAAATTCCTATAGGTTTTCACCTATAAAGCTTACAGCTTATACCCCAATATACTCTGAAGCACCTCTCCTGATTATAAACCTACCCAGAACTTCTAAGGCCTTTCTCCAGATATTCAGCAAAGTGACAAGAGAGGGCCTTTCAATTGTGGCTCCCCATCTGAGGAATGTTGTCCCCAGCAAGGTCTGCCTGGCACCTTTGCCAACCACTTTCTGTCCTTGCCTTTCCCCTCAGGCCTCTTTCTAGAGTCTAGACTGAGATCATGTTTTGTTTTTGCTGCGCTGTCAGAGCTTCCTGCAGCTGTTGTTTTGTTTTTATGTTATAATATATTAATATAAATATAAAGGTCTCACTTGGGAGACCTTTGGGTAACAAATGCAGTATTTTGTTTGTTTCGTTCTGTTTTTGAAAGGGAGGGGACAACCTCACATAAAGCCATTTGCCATCTTTCCCAGGAGGAAAGGTGGTAAATACATTTAACAAATAAGGGGCGTGAAACTGCTTAATCTTCAGAAACGAAAGCAGCCCGAGTTTCTATGAGCATTTCGTTGGGATCCCGCCACCATCTTGTTCATGAGGACCAGTTACCTGCAAGATGTGTTGATCATCCTGGGCTAGCCAGAAATCCACATGGGGGAAAGGCATCCAAAAGTAAGGGCCAATGCAGAGTTGCTCCTTTCTCGAGTCATAAACGTTAACCATCTACAAAACAGCAATTTCAGAACAGCGTGTTAATGCCCCAAAATGAAAAGGCAGCAGGAGTCATGTATGTATTTATCTGGAGGCTTTGCACATGCACGCGCACACACACACACACACACACACACACATAATTCCTGTGTTTGCCCATGCTAAAAATACCTTGGGTTATACCTTGAGTTACAGATGCTTCAGGTTGCGTTTTTTTGGGTTATGGACCCGCCAAAAGAATGAAGTACCGGAACGGGTTACTTCTGGGTTCCGGCAGTCATGCTTTACACATGAGCAGAAGCGCCAAATCGCAACCCGCACATGCACAGACGCTGCAGGTTGCGAACATGCCTCCTGCACGGATCACGTTCGCAACCTGAGCATCCACTGTAATGAATTAATGGTGTTTGGGATTCTGATTTAAAACTCCTACAGTCTGTACTGCAAACTGAGCACCAGCTTCAGAAACGCCTGTGACGCAAGGCAGGCAAATGCCACAAGAAGTTACGTCTCACAATTACATTTTCTAATCTCCCAAAAACTGAAACACGGGTCTTCTTACCTTGGCTCCCGTTAAGATACTGGCAGACCGCAGATCCACATCGGGCCCCTTGTCTGGAAACGTTGCGTGGAAAATCTCTCCCGTTTTAACATTCGCAGCTGGAAAAGCAACATCGGATCACATGGAAAGGCTGTCACACAGAGGGCAGGGGCAAATTTGCTCCCTGTTGCTCCAAACTCTTAGGATGGAGCTAAAGCCCACAAGTTAAAATTACATGAAATGAGATCCAGATTAAACATTAGCATCAGCTTCCTAATGGTACACTGCTCAGCCGTGGAACAGGTGGCCTTGGAAAGTGGTGGGTGATCCTTGATTAGAGCTTTCATTAGAGGTCGCCTGGCAGAGATGCAATACACCATTGATCTCGTGCATCAGTTGTGGGTTTGACTAGATATTTTAAGTACCTGTGAACTCATATGATTCTGTATCCCATTGCAATCATGCTCAGAGTAGTTCCACTGAAAGTAATAGACACTAGCAGCTTATGTCTTTTAATTTCAATGGGTATACTTTAAGAGGAACTTTACCTTCTAGATCAGCGGTTCTCAACCTGTGGGTCCCCAGATGTTGTTGGACTACAACTCCCATCATCCCTGAGCTCTGGCCTTGCTAGCTAGGGGTGATGGGAGTTGCAGTTCAACATCTGGGGACCCACAGGTTGAGAAAGGCTGTTCTAGATCCATTTCAATCAAAGTTTAAGCCCTGTTTGGGCAAAGAAACCGCTTTGGTCAGCCTGTATGATATCTGCCAGGAGACAGATAGGGGAAATGTGTCCCTGTTAATTCTCCTCAACCTCTCAGTAGCTTTCAATACCATCGACCATGAAATCATTCTGGAGCGGTTGTCCAAGTTAGGGGTGGGTAGGGCACTGCTTTGTGGTGGTTCCAATTCTACTTGGATGGACTGTTTGGCCCTATGGAGCCTTCAATGTGGGGTTCATCTGGGTTCAGTTTTATTCCCTGTGCTGCTGAACATCTCCATGAAACCACTGAGCATTGTTACTCAAAGGTTTGGAGTCCACTGTCAGCGATAAGCTGACGACACTCAGCTCTACTTCTCCTTTACATCTGCAGGTGAGGCAGTGGGAGTGCTGGACTTGCCTTGATAACAAACTGGATGAGAGCCAGCAAACTGAAGCTCAATCCAGTTAAGGCTGAGGCACTGTTAGTGGGTGGTTCCCTAGACTGGATGGCTGGGAGGTTGCCTGCTCTTGTTGGGGTTACACTCCCTCTGAAGGAGTGGATACACCTCTTAGGGGTACTCTTGGATCCTTTGCTATTGCTTGAAGTTCAGGTGGCCTCAGCAATGCTGAGTGCCTTCTATCAGCTTTGGCTGGTAGCCCAGTTGCGCCCCAAACTGGACAAAGATAGCCTAACATCTGTCATCTATGCTCTGGTAACCTCTAGGTTAGATTACTGCAATGCATTATATGTAGGGCTGTTAGTTTAAAGGCAAATGTTTTGTATCTCCTACTTCTCTGGCACCTAAGAGAGCAGAGGAAAATGCATGGAAGAACCATGGGTTGGGCAGCCTTATTGATACAAAAGGAAACCATGGTTTTACAAAACATCTGAACTTGGCATAAAATTAGAAGTCCGGGAAAAGTTTAAATTTCTGATCTGGTGAAAGCAGACAATATATCTACCGGAATAGGATCTTCTCCTTTAGTAAAAAACCAAAACAAAACCCTGGCGATTTCAAAAGGCAGAGTGTGTGAACCTCTCATTAAACCATCTGCATCGTTTGTAGCCAGCTTGATAAATTGACACCAAATGTGAATGTTACTCACCAATTCCATAAATGAATGGCAAATGTTTGCCTTTCTCTTGACGGTCATTTAATTCTGTTATTTAAAAGAGAGAAGGAGAGAGGGAAGGAGAGATATAACAATAAAACCTCTAATTCTTCCACGGAAGAGGGCACGTTTTTAAAAAAATCAACATCGAGCTTGGGAAGAAACTGAGATACAAGTCCCTGCCAGGTATAAACAAATATAGGACTCATCAAATATTCATTCAAATTTGTGACATCAGTCTGGGGTTGGGAGATGCTACTTTTAAGGATAGTCTCCCTGCAAGGCGACCTGAAAGTCAAAGAAACACAAAAATAAAATACAGAAATCCTTCTCCAGAACAAGGACTGGGATCTGACATCAGCATGCATTGTTACATATGGCTATAGTTGCCATATGTATACCATACATTTAAAGCATGATACAGTACTGCTTTAGGGAGGCGGGTGGCACTGTGGGTTAAACCACAGAGCCTAGGACTTGCCAATCAGAAGGTCGGCGGTTCAAATCCCTGCGATGGGGCGAGCTCCCGTTGTTCGGTCCCTGCTCCTGCCAACCTAGCAGTTCAAAAGCACGTCAAAGTGCAAGTAGATCAATAGGTACCGCTCTGGCGGGAAGGTAAACGGTGTTTCCGTGCGCTGCTCTGGTTTGCCAGAAGCGGCTTAGTCATGCTGGCCACATGACCTGGAAGCTGTACGCCGGCTCCCTCGGCCAATAAAGCGAGATGAGCGCCGCAACCCCAGAGTCGGTCACGACTGGACCTAATGGTCAGGGGTCCCTTTACCTTTACAGTACTGCTTTAGCAGGAACAGCTTTTCCCAAAGGATCCTGGGAACTGAAGTTTGCTAAGGGTGCCAAGAGTTAGGAAAACCTTATTCTCTCACAGAGCTACAATTGCCAGAGTGGTTTTTCAATCAATCAAAAAATCAATTGATTGCTCTTCCTAGGGAACTCTGTAGCTCTGTGAGGGGAATAAGGGTCTCCACACAACTCTCAGCACTCTTAGCAAACTACATTTCCCAGGTTTCTTTGGGGGAAGACACAACTGTTTAAAAGTGGCATCACGGTGCTTTAAACGTACGGTGCTGATGTGGCAAGAACACCTTAGGCCAGGTAGCTGAGAAGATGGGGAGCAGAGGAAAGTCGCCCATTTGAAACAGTTACCTGTCACGCAGAAGGTCACTAAATGGACATTATCCTGCAAGCGGTCAAACGCTCCTAGGAATAACAAGAGGGGAAAGTGTGAGACCTGCCCAACAGAATGAGATATTTCCAGGCTACATAGAAAGAGTTCTTTTTTAAAAAAGAAAAAAGGCAACATTGGATAAAAATCCTACATTAGTCCCATGCAAAGTAGACCCACTGAAATTAATGGACATGACAGGTGCCTATTAATTTCAGCAGGTATCCTGAGTGGGAGCTGGTTGACTCCAAGCCATGCTAATAACCAATTCGTTCTACTTTAAGCAGTCACGGTTTCCCCAAAGAACTCTGGGAACTATAGCTTGTTAAGGGTGCCAAAAATTGTTCCGAGACCCCTATTCCCTCACAGACCTACAATTCTCAGAGTGGTTTAACAATCAATCCCTCTTACAAGGAGACTCTGGGAATTGGTGCAAACAGGGCTTAAACCATGGGTAGGCAAACTAAGGCCTGGGGGCTGGATCCGGCCCATTCGCCTTTTAAATCCGGCCTGCGGACGGTATGGGAATCAGTGTGTTTTTACATGAGTAGAATGTGTGCTTTTATTCAAAATGCATCTCTGGGTTATTTGTGGGGTATAGGAATTCATTCATTTCCCCCTCCCAAAAAAAAATATAGTCCAGCCCCCCACAAGGTCTGAGGGACAGTGAAAAAGTTTGCTGACCCCTGGCTTAAACCTTGATTGAAAGGGGAATTCCTGTGGCCTCAGAGCCATATCAAGCTGGCTCGTAACTCTCATAAGGCTCATAACTCTAGGGCAGTCCTTCTCAACCTTGAGTCCCCAGATGTTGCTGGCCTAGCCAGCATAGCCAGTGATCAGGGATGATGGAGTTGTAGTTCAAGATCACCTGGGAGCCCATGGCTGAGAAAGGCTGCTCTAAGGTGTCTACTCGGGCATCATGCCAAACCACTGTAGCAAAAATAAAAAGGCCCCAAACCATGGTTTGCCAACCCCCTGGAAACTGTGCTGTCAGATTCTAGTTTGCCAACTCATCAGAAACCGTGGTTTGCCAGCTCAGTCATCACGCCAGGCCACACTTAAACGTCCTTCCACCGCTTGATGCAATGTCTGAATCCAGTCTCTGTGGCACAGCAGAGGTTGAGCAGCATTCCCAGTGGGCAGGGCTTAAGTGCCATTCATTCCTCTTTGTCCCTCCCCATGGAGGACCTACATGCAGGATTTGGTGTGAGCCCTTGCTATCCCCAACAGCGTAAACCTCTCACAAGCTCTGCAAGCTTTACCTGCACCCAGTCGGAATTCTAAACTTTGACAGAGGGAGTAGGAATGCAAACTTACTCAGGAGCTGATTGGTAAGTCGCTGAGATAAGTGCCTGTCATCGCTGAATCCTCCAATCAGGTGTACTTCCAACCTAACAACAAGGATGGAAGCTGGAGATATAACCTGTTATCACAGGCAGATTAATCGACTAAAGCCTTAGTTGAGTGGGATCCACTGAAATTTATCAAGCGCTTTATTTATTCATTTATTCACTTTTACTCTTATCTTGATTGTGGTGAATTGATACAATAGGAGGAAGAAGAAGAAGAAGAAGAGTTTGGATTTGATATCCCGCTTTATCACTACCTGAAGGAGTCTCAAAGCGGCTAACATTCTCCTTTCCCTTCCTCCCCCACAACAAACACTCTGTGAGGTGAGTGAGGCTGAGAGACTTCAGAGAAGTGTGACTGGCCCAAGGTCACCCAGCAGCTGCATGTGGAGGAGTGGAGGCGAACCCAGTTCACCAGATTACGAGTCTACTGCTCTTAACCACTACATCACACTGGGAATGTAAAATAAATTATTACAGGTTTCTGTCGTCTGTCTGTCCGTCCCCTCCCCACTTATTATTGAGTGGTAACAAACTTATCACAGTTTATTTCATCTCAAATTTCCTTAAACACTGTCAAAAAGGCATACATATCTGAAGAGTTTGGAGGGGCAGTGTGGCCTAGTGGTTACAGTGGCTAGACGAGGGTTCAAATGCCCACTTGGCCATGAAGCTCAGTGGCTGACCTTGCGCCAGTCATGGCCTCTCAGCCTAACCTACCTCACAGGGTTGTTGTGGGGATTAAATGAGGAAGTGGGGGAGACCCATGTATGCCACCTTTAGCGCCTTGGAGAAAAAGGTTGGGGTATTAAATATAAATAAAATATCCATATTAAGTAAATTAACTGTTAGTTGATCATCTGCCCTTTTCCAGTTTGCTTGACAGCCACCAACAGTTAAAGAGAAAAGCTGACCTTCCACATTCCGTGTTAGGAGAAAGCACTTTCACTGCATTTGTGATTAACAAAACTTCTGTCTCCGTATCTGATCCATCGCAGTGAGTCAAACAGATAGCCCCGCTGCCTGAGGGAAACAAAAATACAGTATGGATGGTTTGCATGTTCCAGACAATGGCAACTACAGTCAGCAATTGCTGCCCGTACGTTATCAGGTTCAAGGTACCTGTATTTAAAAGATAAAAAGGTAAAGGACCCCTGGACGGTTAAGTCCAGTCAAATGTGACTATGGGGTTGCGGCGCTCATCTCGCTTTCAGGCCGAGGGAGCTGGTGCTTGTCCACAGACAGCTTTCCAGGTCATGCGGCCAGCATGACTAAACTGCTTCTGGCGCAACAGATATGTAGCGCTCCAAGCTTATCTGGAGCTCAAAGCCCTCCCTGGGCCACACCCCAGAGTTTATACTTGGTTAAGCATGTCCCTCAACTCTTAAAATGCTTCTTGCCTTCCCAGATACTTGGATGTCATCAGCCAAAACCTGTTGTACTGGCTGAAAAACCCTATAAATCAGAGGCATCGAAATCCAGGGGCATAGTTCAAAAGCAGCAAGGAACCCAGAGCCTAATGACATACCTGTGTGTCTGAGGACCACCAAATGGCAGGTGGTTGCATCATCGGATCCGAGAATAGAGACAGAAGCTGAGGGAAAAGGAGGAGAAGGAAAAGTGAGGTCCTGGCGGCTATTTCTTAACTTTTGGATGGAACTTCCTTAGCGCCAACCTACCATCCTTAGGAGTGGTAGCTGCAAATTCTCTCTGCTGGACATAGAGAAGTCCTTTGGGGCCCACTGATTGAGCAGGCTGACTTCTTAAGATTTTGGCTTGTTCCTGTAGAAAATGGGGAAACAAAGTCGTATTTAGGTTCCCAGCTAGCACAATTGTTCTGAGATCAGAAGCCCTCAATGCTGAAGATGCACCTGTTTATGCAGGCATGCCCGTGGTCTCCCAACCAGACTCTTAACTACAGTGGTGCCTCGCAAGACGAAATTAATCCGTTCTGCGAGTTTCTTCGTCTTGCGGATTTTTTCGTCTTGCGAAGCACGGATGCACCCTGGTACTGTATTATAATGGGATAGCGGGCAAAGCACACAGCGGGTCGCTCCCCAGCAGGAGGAGTTTCCCCAGCCTGGAGGATCTGTTGCCGGGAAGAGGCAAAGACACCCCCTCCCACCTCCCCATGAAAACAGCCCCCCTTCCTCTGTCGCCAAGCCTTGCTGTGTCTTCGCTCCGCCAAACCGCGTCCCACATCAAAGCCCCAGCCCGCTCCTCTCCCTCTCTCTCCATGAGGTGCCAAAGGAAGTTTGAGCCCAGGAACCGAGGGCGGACGCACGAAGCGCCCGGCGCGGACTCTCCCTTGCTCCCCCGCTACCCTGCGCCCCGCGGCCGGGCTCCCCACAGTCTCTGCAGCTGCTCCCGGCTTCTTCCCACCCCCCGCAAAGGCGCCTTCGCGGCCGCCCAAGCACAGTGGATGCCTCCTCCTCCTCCTCCTTTGTCCCGCCTCCTCCTGCCTTCGCGCAGTTAGAGCAAAATGGAGCAGCCACGTGGGGAGGGAGAGAGAGAGAGAGGCAGAGGCAGAGGCGGCACAGAGACCCAGCCAGATCCGCTGGATCCCAGCTCACCTGCCTCCTCTGTGCCCTCTCCAGAAGAGGATCCCTCTGGAAAAGGTAGGTCGCTCCCCTGCTCGTTCCCTGCCAGCCCAGTTCCCGCTTCAAAAGGAAACAAACTCGCAAGACGTTCCGTCTTGCAAAGCAAGCCCATAGAGAAATTCGTCTTACGAGCACCTCAAAAACCGCAAAACCCTTTCGTCTTGCGAGTTTTTCGTCTTCCGAGGCATTCGTCTTGCGGGGCACCACTGTATTTTACTGCATTTGAATGGGAACATTTGACTGTGTGCTGCAATTATGGATGTTCGTAGTTAATTTTTTGTGTTAACTGCTTTTTTATACTTTTGCAAACCACTCAGAAGCATTATTTTGGGACAAGGTGGTCTACAAATAAATAAAATAATTTCTGGCACCTAAATCAGCAAACGAAAACCCAAGAGCTTTCCTTAAGAGTTGGAAGGGGCCCTAAGGAGCATCTGGTCCAAACCCGTGTAATGAGGGAATATGCAGCTGTCACTTACAGGGATCGAACCTGCAGCCTTGGTGTTATCAGCACCAAGCTCTAACCAATGGAGCTATCCAGCTGTCAAAGCAAATCTTCCAGGCCAAATGACAAATCACTTGGAACTGCATAGGGGATTTATTCCCATAAACACACCAGGGTGTAACAAACATGGGGTGGGAAGAGTTCAGCCCGTGGTGATGTACCAATATTGGGCCATTTTGTGAGGACACGTCAAAAGCCAGCCGCTTCATCCTATGGGCCAAGATGACAACCAGGCATGGGCTGAATTTTCCTCCGTGGAGTGGCTGCTTGCAATAAATTCCAAAACAGGGGTCACAGACATGCTGCCTGCAGGTGCCAATGTTGCCACCAGTACCTCTTATGGTGGCCAAGAAAGATCTCAGTCAATATCCCCTCAAAAAAATCCACAGTTCACAAGAGACCTTTGGTTTTCCTGCCCAGTTCCTGTTTGCCCTAGCTTGGCCTCTCCCACATTGGGAACCTTCCCAATCATGAATTGAACCAACATTGAACATCCTCTTCCATTCCAAATGGAGCAGAGGTACAAAATGCTCTCTGTAAGAGGTTGGCTGATGTGGGTGCATTCTCCCCCACTGACAGGGAAAACAAGCCCACACCGTATTTTAGATGTGGCAGCCATTTTGTGATCTCTCTCCTCTTTCACAAACGCACACATACAGTAGCCATTTTGTGGTTTAGTGGTTGGAACATCAGACTGGAACCTGGGATACCAAGATTTGAATCCCCACTCAGCCATGGCGCTCTCTAGGTGACCTGGGGCCAGTCACTGCATCTCAAGTCTAACCTACCTCATATGGCTGCTGTGAGGATAAAACCATGAATGCCATCTTGAGCGCTTTGGAGGAATATGAAAGTGACAAGTAAGCGAGATATAAAAGACATTCCAAAATTCCAGTCTGGCCCCCAAAAGGTGGGCGGCCCCCATTAAGTACATAGGAAAAAACCTGTTTCTCAAGTATTTCAGGGAGCAGGGGAGAAAATCAGCGAAGGTTTGAGGAAGACACAAGAAGGGCATGTAAAGAACATCTGCAAAAAGAGCAGGGGTGGGGAAATTTGGTTGCATTTTTTTTTTAAAAAAAAAGGGCAGGCTGATGGAGAAAAGCCTGAAAGCAGCCCATGCAAAATAGAAGTTGAGAGTTACCTTACATCAGGACATTCAAAATAAATTAAAAGTCACAAGCTCTCAAGTCATTAACACCATTAACACCAAAACAAAGGCCGCTTAAATGTGCAGCATATTTGACTGGTTGTATTTATATCCTACTTTTTTCTCCATGTAACATACATGGTTCTTCCCGTCATTGTTTAATCCCCACAAACAACCATGGGAGGTAAGGACGCCTAGTGAGCTTCAGTGGGGAACTGAACCCAGTTCTCCCAGACCCTCTAACCACTGCACTGCACTGGCTCTGTATTTAAGCTAGAAGACACCACCTTTGGGGAGCATCCATGCACCCTGGCATTGCGTTCCAAACACCTGTGTCCCAGTGCATATTTGCTCAAAAGTAAGGCTGTAATCCTCTACTACACCATGTAAAAACACCGTGTAAAAACATATAGCTTTCCAGATGCTGCTGAACTACAACTCCCATAATCGCCACTTGATTGTGGAAGCTGACCCTGGTGGTCCCTTCAAAGTCTACAAGTCTGCGATCAACATCTGGAGGACTAAATATCCCCGCAATGCTGCTTTACAAGCACAAGTGCACACACACACACTCTTACCTGAGAGTCATTCCCATTGAACTCGATGGGGCTTACTTCAGAGTAAGCATGCACATGATTGCACTGGCGTTGTTGTTTCTATTAAAAAACCTCCCATAGAGTTCAATGGCGCTACTTTCCAAGGTAAGCGGTGCACAGAGACACAGCCTCCGAAGAGCACCGGAGCAGAGCAAACGGAAGACATTTCATTTTATTTTAAATATCTGCATCTAAGGACGCACCCTCCAACTCACACCCTCAGCCCTGCCCCCCTTTCTTCTATTAATGAATAATCCCTATAATCAGCTGCCGGCTCGCAGCTCACCTCCAGCTCCGGGAAGGTGTAGATCAGCTCCCTCGTGGGCTGGGACAAGTCGACCCGCTCCCCATTGACCAGCAAAGGCATCTCGGGGAAGCGCCCGGCGCAGGAGCCGCGGAACTTCCTGCCGGAGACTCTCAGCTGAGCGCCGCGCCACGAGGGCGAGGCCAGACCGGGCTGCAAAGGGCGCTGGGAAATGTAGTCCTCGGGTGCATTGGGAAGAGGGCGTGGCGGCGTGGGAGGAGGATCGGGGGAGCCCTCGGGGGTCAGGGGAGAGGGAGTAGCGTCTATTCCAGCCCGAGGGCCACTTTCCTCCAAGGTCAATCTTCGGCGGGCCGCATAGCAGCGGTGGGCAGGGCCAGAAGTAAAAGTGGGCAGAGCAATGTCTTTCTGCATTATAGGCTACAGCTCCCCCCCTTGCATACCTAATATTTTTTTAAAAACCATTTGTGTGTGCATAAGCGCTCATGCACACAGTCCCATCAGCTGCATGTAATATATATATGACATATGACTGTTAAGGTTTATTTAATATTTCATATCCCACTTTCCAATTAAACAACCAAACAACAACATCTCGCTTTCCTATTTGGATAATATTAGTTTGCAGTGAAAAACAAAGGTATGAAAACGAAGGTCACTTCACCCCAGAAGGGGTTTACGGGTAACGACTAAACTCTCAAAAGGGGAATGGGATTGTTGTACATTTGGGAAAAACTGACCTGTGGAACAGCCCAGGTGACGGAACTCAGAGCAAGCCCTCAAATTGTCAAGTCCTTAAAGCTAAGGGAGTGTCATTAAATTACAAACTGAACCACAGTCCTTTTTTTATATATAAAAAAACACAACTACTTTCTTTTACAATACAGGTATGTTGCACAAGAGCACCAAATGCTATATTACTAACAACAACAACAACAACAATTTTATTATTTGTACCCCACCCATCTAACTGGGTTGCCCCAGCCACTCTGGGAGGCTTCCAACAGAGTATACAAAAATATACAGTGGTACCTCGGTTTAAGAACAGCCCTGTTTACGAACTATTTGGTTTACGAACTCCGCAAAACCGGAAGTAGTGTTCCACTTAGCGAACTTTACCTTGGTCTAAGAAGGGAAGCCAAATGGTGGAAGGGCACCAGTGGCGGGAGGTCTTATTAGGGAAAGCGTGCCTCGGTTTAAGAACGGTTTCGGTTTAAGAACGGACTTCCGGAACGGATTAAGTTTGTAAACCGAGGTACCACTGTACTCTGAATTCCACAAAACAAAAGCACACAGAACATCATGAGAACGACAATGAGTCCAGAAAAGAATTTATAGCAGCTAGGCACAACATAGCTTATCAAAATTGTTATAGTGACACAGGATCTCACGCACCTCGATTTGCTAGTGCGTGCAAATGAATCGCCTCTGCAGCCTGCCCCTTAAGCATCCTTTGCAAGACTGCCTTGCATCAACAGGCCTTTTCAACAGGACAATTTTTTTGTCACTGGTCAACTCCTTACTGACCTTTCTTGCTTTCTTATGGCAGTTGCAATCTTTATATCTGCTCTACACCGCTTTGACGTTTTCTATACAAGTTAGTGGCATATATAATATTTTTAAATTAAATAAATAAAAGCTATGCCCCTCCCATTTCTTGCTTTTGTGGTTTGTTTGTTTTGTTTTTTGAACAAGTGCCTGTGCTCTCCAGCCCGTGGGCTCTTTTCAGACTCACCCCCTGCCCCAGAGCAAGAGGAATAGCTGGCAAGCAGTAAGTGTAGCCTTATGAGGCTTTGCCCTCGGGTGGGAAAAATATTGCGCCCGGGAAAGGGAAATGGGAGTCAACAGACACTCAAGGAATAGTTTCGGAGAAAAAGCTTTATTTTTACCATCCATGAACTGGTAGAAGGAGCGAGTGTGATAGTTCACAAACAAGCACGAGTTCACAGTCATTTGCACAGAGCATATATTCCCCTCCTAGTTCCCTCCCCTTTCCCCTCCTCTTCCAGAGTCCTGCCTCGAGTTCCCCTGAGCATGAACAGAAAGCTCCTGTCTTGGGACTCTTGGACTCTTGGCACCCTTCCCAGGAAAAAGGGAAGGAGAGTGGGTCAGCATGTCCAAGATGTTGCAACTGAATGAGATAAAAGTCAGTTCTCAGGCCTGCTCTGACAGAGTCTATTCATTAGCTTTTTGAAGCTCTCTCGTACTGATAAAAGAATAACATTTTGCCTTGCAACAGCAGCGCAAATGAGCAGATGCTTAGCTGCTGAGAAAATGATTTTGAAAAGCTTTGAGAAGCTTTGAGCCTGCTTTAGGGGGGGTGACTTCGGGCCTAGGTGGGGTCACCTGTCCTCACCTCCTTCATTAGCAGCTGCTCAAAGTGTTCCTTGTAACTGGCTGTCTATCTCACTGGGCAGCTGGGAGGTTAGGGAACTGTTTGCCCTAAACTTAGGGGGGGGACTCTAAAGAGGCAGAGGAACTTAAAGCAAGCCACTGTCGCCATGCTGGAGACAAAACAAAACAAAAAGCCCAGTTAAGTTAGCCCTTTCTGGTAGGGCTGCCAACTCACCAAAAACAACTCACAAAAAGAGCAGGAGGAGGAGGAAGACCAAGCACACCTGGAAGCGCTTTGCTCTGATGCCACCCTGTTAGGATATCTGAACCTAAGGGGTCCGGATCCAGTCACCTCGTGCCCTTGCCGTTAGCATGAAGGAGTCAAGCAAACACCAGGGTGGGTTTCACAGAGAAAAAGGTTTATTGCAGAATCTGCGCAGAGACAGCCAGTGGAATAGCTTCCAAAGACTGGCCGCCGCCCCTATTGTCTTGCGAGCATTCTTATACTGAAGCTGCAAGCTTGGCTCCCCAGTTGCTCCCCAATCAACAGGCAGAGATACGCTTTATTACCTTATTAGGCTAGCTAAGCCCCCCCTCCCTTTTGCAGATCTTTGCAAATATTATTTGCTTCGCGTTATAAATGTTTGCATCTTTGCACAGCTGAGGTGAGAAGTCAGACAGGAAAACCACTACCGGCCTGCAGAGCTGAGCCTCTTCAGCTTCAGCTATGTAGGAGGCCAGACAGGAAACCCACTGCCGGCCTGCAGAGCTATCTTGCATAGCTAGAAACAATTGTTAGCTGGAGCTAGCTAAAACACGATGGAGTTTTACCTTCCCCCTCTCTCCTCTCCCTTCAACCCATCATCTCACCTGCAGACAGCAGCACCAAGAGGGATGACCTGGGCCTTCTCCTGCATAAGGACACCTAGGCATGGCAAGTGCTGAGGTGGCTACACATACCTGAGAAAGCCAGCAGCTCCAAAAGAAGCGATTTGGGGCTTATTCCAAGAGAGACCACAATTTTTAAGCAAAACCTTCGATTCCGAAATGTGTTGCCATACAGCCGGGTTTCCCCCGACTCCCCCCCCCCCCCCAATTTGCAATATTTCCCCCTGGATGCCATTTGCAACGTCAGAATCCCATATATGTCTGGGGAAACCTGGACATTTGGCAGCACTCGTTTTCTGAAATGGGGGGAGAAAATGCAAGTTAAGAAATAGGAGAATCTTAAGGCAGAAATGAAAGAACACCAACTTGCATAAAATTGTTCTACTGGTCCTTTGCCTTCTTTCATCACACAAAATATTGTTGGTTGTATTTTCAGCAGCTGCAAGGTTCCACAAATTCTTATGCCACAATTCAAGACAACAGATCATTCTTCCATTTTTTGTGTGTGCAATACAAAGTCTGGCAGCTGCTAGAAACTAAGTTAGCAGTGCCTTCAAAAAGAATTGTTTTAGACTCTAAAATTTAGAGTATCCTCTCATATATGGCCTCCAGGAATTGTCCTTCATCTTCAGGAAACTCCTGCAGCCAATCCTGGAGATTTGACAAGCTGCTGCTGCTGTCTCCCCCTGTTGCCTGAGCCTTTAAGGAAAGGCCACAGCCACAAGCGGGTGTTGCTTGCCCCAGCTGTGGACCAGGGCAGTGGCGGAGGAAGCCCAGGTTCCTTAAAGTGGTTGCATGGCAATTGAGAAGTCTGGAGCAGGAAGGTGCAGGAGATGCAAAGCGGGCAAGGCTTAGTCAGTGAAGAGCGGGGAAAACCATGGCAACCAGTCCTGGGTCAATGTTGCAAAATGGAACTAGGAGACTAGAATGTGGGTTGAGACTCTCTTAAGAGCAATGGGATGAGGGAGCTGGGCTTTGTTTTATGGCTCGGGGATGGATTCATTCACTCCCCCAATAAATCTATTTTCCTAGTAGCTTCCCTTACAAACAAAGGGGAATCCTCTAAGCTGCCGGAAAGAAGTTTTGCGTGAAATCTTAGAAATCATCTGCCAGTCGGTGGGGACAGTACTGAACTAGATGGAGCAATGGTCTTTGTTTTGGTATAAGGTAAATTCCTCTGTTCTTCCTACCAGGGGGCTAGTTTTTAGTTTAACGCATGGGTAGGCAAACTAAGGCCCGGGGGCCGGATCCGGCCCAATCGCCTTCTAAATCCGGCCCTCGGCATGTTTTTACATGAGTAAAATATGTGCTTTTATTTAAAAGGCATCTCTGGGTTATTTGTGGGGCATAGGAATTCGTTCATTTCCCCCCCCAAAAATATAGTCTGGCCCGCCATGAGGCCTGAGGGACAGTGGACTGGCCCCCTGCTGAAAAAGTTTGCTGACCCCTGGTTTAACGGCACAATTGTGGACCAGGCAGGCTGAGTGATAGTGTTCTGAAGGTGCAAGTTGCTTTTCAATCCGGCTCCTCTTTATGCTAATTTTTCATCTGTGTTTAGTTACAGAGGTCTGACTCAAGTGTTTATCTGATTTTTCCAAATCTGCACCCTGAAGTCTCCCAATGTTCACCAACTGTTTAAAAGTGTGTGTTGTTTTAAAAATGCATGCTTGCTTTTCAAGTGGCTTTTATTGGTCTTGTTATGGTTAATATTACTCATGTTTGTGGTTCTTTGTTCTACAGAGGCAGTCTTGGGAGTTGGAGTTGTAGCAGCCCCCTAACAACTCTCAGCTCCCAGAATTCTTCGAGGCAGCCATGACTTTTCAAAGTTGTATCATAGGGCTTTAGGTTTGATGGTGTGAATGTAGCCCGGCTCTAGGACTTTGGCATTGTTTTGTTGCCAAACAGTTTAGCCAGCATATACCGTATTTTTCGTCCTATAGGGCGCACCGGCCCATAGGACGCATCTCGGTTTTTTGGGGGGGAAATGAATAAAAAAAATATTCCCCCCCCCAGCCGCGGCTGCCGCCCCAAGCCTTACACACACACCTGCCCGAAGCATGGGGCGCCCTGTGCTTCGGGCTGCAGGCTGCCGCCCCAAGCCTCGCACACCCAGCGGGACCTCCCGCCGGGCACGCAAGGCTTGCGCACACCCGCCCGAAGCACGGGGCGCCCTCCGGAGGGCGCCCCGTGCTTCGGGCTGCTGCCCACAAGCCTTGTGAGCCCGCGGGAACTCCCGCTGGGCTCGCAAGGCTTGCGGATAGCTTCCTGAAGCCTGGAGAGCGAGAGGGGTCGGTGTGCACCGATGCCTCTCGCTCTCCAGGCTTCAGCGAAAGCCTGCATTCGCCCCAAAGGACGCACACACATTTCCCCTTCATTTTTGGAGGGGAAAAAATGCGTCCTATGGGGCGAAAAATACGGTAATTGGTGGTTGAACCAATTCTTTTTCCTACTTTAAGTTATAGGATTTTTATTAAATTTTCTGTTTTACAATTTAAAATACTCATTTAAATATCCTTGAAATATCAATAGCTTCCCATCTTCTCTTTCCATGGTTCATTTTGCATATCATAAATCCCTGTGTATTTTACAAAAACTAAACCGTTCAGTATTCCATTATTATTACATCCATCAAAACTGATTTTCATGGTTGAATTTATCTCAATGCTGCCAAAGTTTTCAAGTGTACACAATTCCCCCCCCCCATTCAGTAAGCGTTTTCCAATCTTCTCTAAACATATGTTCTTCTTGTTCTCTTATTCTATATGTTAAATCTGCAAGCAGTGCATATTCTGTCAACAAGTCCTTCTTTAGTTGGGACCTCACTCATTTTCCATTTTGGGGCTAACAAAACATGGGCCGCAGTAATGGCATACATAAATAACCTTTTTTGAGTCAATTTTAAGAAGATGGATGGATATAGCACGTCAGTAGCTGAGATGGAAAACAATGATTCTTTAGAGCCTCACACAGTTCAGGGCCCCCACTCTCACCTATTAGCTGAGATTCTGTGGCAGGGGCCTCCAACAATTCCAAATATTTACTCTTCCTTTACAGGAAAGGTAGCCAGTGTGGACCCATCCAAAGGTTGTTGGACTACCATTCCCATCATGTTTCTGGCGTTGATGGGAGCTGTAGTCCAGCCATACCTGGAGGGCACCAGGTTGGTGATTTAGGTTCTGCAGCAAGTGGTTCTCAAAGTGTTTTAGCTAATTTAATTTTTCTATTTTGCTTTTCCAACATCGAATGTTGCAAGGTGCCGCTGCCTGATTTTTGCTGAACCGCACCCCGTTCCACATCCAAGGCATTTGTGGATCCCTTGGTGTAACTCTCAGACTTTGGAAGGTTGGCATCACTGAATCACGTCAGGTACCCGCTAGAAACAGGTGGTTGGCTCGGGTACAAATGTAGAAAGAAGGAAGCCAACACAGGAAATGCAGGTAAAAACATCACGTTTAATTGCAAGTTATTTCAGTATGAAGTGTCCTGTCTTGGCCTAGCTGCAGGGAGGGATTTAATCAGAAATGGCGTCAAGAGGGTGGGTAGTTGAGAAAACCCGCCGCCACTCTTCCCAGGGGCTAAAAGGTGAATTGAAGGGGTGAAATGGGGCCTGTAATCCTAACCAACATTTAGATAAGTAACTCATCATGTAGAAATTAGAATTTGGGGATTTCCTTAGCCAGAGTTGGCAACCCTAGTTGGTTGACAGAGAAAATAGCCTGGCTCACGTGAAATGGGTTTATTATGTAGGTTGAAAGTAGTTTTGTGTTTCGGAGCTCAGACTCCCACTTCTGCCTTGTACTCAGTTTCTTGGGCAAGTTACAGTGGTACCTCATTACATACACTTCAAGTTACAGACTCCGCTAACCCAGAAATATTACCTCGGGTTAAGAACTTTGCTTCAGGATGAGAATGGAAATTGTGCTCCGGCGGCGCGGCGGCAGCAGGAGGCCCCATTATCTAAAGTGGTGCTTCAGGTTAAGAACAGTTTCAGGTTAAGAACGGACCTCCAGAACGAATTACGTTCTAAACCCAAGGTACCACTGTACTTGTATTCTAGCCTCACCAGTTTCACCTTGTATGAAATGGGTGTTTTGTGTCTGCCTGCGTCCCCCATCCTTGGCAGCCATTTTGTGATGGTGAAGTTTGGTTTACATGCCATTACAAATTTCCGAGAACGCTTTCAAGTGACACTGTGTTGTGTGCTCCAGGGCAAAGTGGGAGATTAAAATTTCAGCTCCCTACCACATTTGGAACATTGCTGCTGTCTGGACCCAATGCCAGGTATGCATCAGTTTAAGAGGGGGCCTGACTAACCGCCCAGAACCAGCCCTGAGCAGAGAGGGCTCTTAAGTTTTTCAACTGCAGCATAATGGAAACAGCAGGCTCAGTAAAAATAAACAAATTACCTATTTCCCACAAGACTTGCGGAAGAGGGGCAGTGTGTTATATCCATTCTGGTTGTGAAGAAAGAGATTTTCTTCCTCAGCAGATAGCATAGAAATTTACGGTAAGTTGCTGTTGGTTGGAAGAGGGATGGAGTGCCTATGGACAAATCCTGCTCAGTGCTTTCCATCAGCCTGCTTGCTCGCTAGTATGGAACTCCTGATCGCTTGTGGCGACCATGCTAGCTAGCTCTTCACCACAAAGCTTCCTGGCCCTTTTGGAATGTCGATGCAGATCTTCGCTTGGCTTGTGAGTCTTTCAAAGTCAGTTTGAAACGTTGGTTAGGGCTGAGCAACCGTTAAAAGAGCAACCCTATCCTGCACCTGGGATGTGGGTGGTGCTGTCGGTTAAACCACAGAGCCTAGGGCTTGCTGATCAGAAGGTCGGCGGTTCAAATCCCTGCGACGGGGTGAGCTCCCATTGCTCGGTCCCTGCTCCTGCCAACCTAGCATTTCGAAAGCACATCAAAGTGCAAGTAGATAAATAGGTACTGCTCTGGTGGGAAGGTAAACGGCATTTCCATGTGCTGCTCTGGTTCGCCAGAAGCGGCTTAGTCATGCTGGCCACATGACCCGGAAGCTGTACGCCAGCTCCCTCAGCCAGTAAAGCGAGATGAGAGTCACAACCCCAGAGTCGGCCACGACTCGACCTAATGGTCAGGGGTCCCTTTACCTTTAAAAGCATGTCTACTCAGAAGCAAGTTCTTTTGGCTACAATGGGGCTTGCTCTCAGGCGAATGGGGTTCAGATTGTAGCCTTAAGAGATGAACGAGGGAGGGAAGAGCCACCTTTTGGTTTATAGTCTTTGGATATCCTGGCAGTTACTTACAATTTGCAATAGGGGCTGTTCGCTCATTATTTTTCAATTAATTTTGCACATGTCCTTTGACAGCCACTATTTCTGCCCCTTTCTTCAGCCTGCAGGTCACACTGATGATCCTTGCTCAGCCATGACGTCATGGAGAGGATATTGCCATAGTTTCTTCTTGAACACGCTCGTTTTTAATGTAGATGTTAGGGAGCGCGGGAGGTATTGGGAATATCGTCTGAGTAGTTGCCCAAGAAGTCAAGGTTCCTCTTTCTTAAAAGCTGGCCTGATTGCAGTGAAGATATTGTGAAGGAAAGAGCTGGCTATGCCGAGGTGTGTAATTAGCTGACTGTTTGGGGCCCAGAAATGCATTTTGCAGAGCAGAGGTGAGGAGAATCTCTAGCCTTCCAGATGTTGATGGACTACAACTCCCATCATCCTTTGCTGACTGGGGGCTGATGGGAGCTGGGAATCAAGCAACACAACACCTGGTGTGAAACTATTAAGTTTGGGGAAACACAAAGCGACTTAAATACATTCTATATCCTTCCTGAGATTCTTCATACTCTCACCCTGAACTCCATTGTCTCCAGGATTATGATGTGACCCCAACATGGGGCTGCCAGGCACTGTGGAGCAGACTTCACCGCTGCCTCTCCCTACCAGCTCTTGGCTCTTGCTGCTCAGCTCACAGCCCTTCTCTTGCATTGATATTTGGGGCAGCAGCCAGCTGTACTCATAGGAAGAGCATGGAAATGGGCAGAAGCAGGAACAAAAGCCTCCCGACTTGGTCGTCGTCGCCCCCCGTCCCCCCCACTGATGTTCAGAGAAAAGAACTTGGGCAACCTCTGAGTGCAACTCTCTTCCTAGGTACAGAAGTGCTGGAGAATAGCGATGCTGTCCAATCCTAACCAGTAGATGACCAGGGACCAGGAGCTGGAGTTCGGGAGAAGAGAGGAAGTAGCTCTCCTGTGTGAACTGGCGCAAGAGGCAGCTGCTGTTGCTGTTCGGAGGATCTGCAGTCCCAGGAGGTGTGACTTTATCATGTACATGACTATCTTCCTGCTTAACTGTGTAAGTTTAATAAATGGATTAAGAATTGAAGTGGTGGGGCATAGCAATTAACAATAATTTTGGGTTTGGGAGCCTGAAGGAGGGCTGTAGGGAGGAGGCTGCTGGGACCAAAAAGCCCAGCATTAGGAAGGTCTGCCATAGGTATCGTGGGATGAGCATTTTCATCCTTGTCATCTCTACCTACATTCTGCTTTTTTAAAGAAAAAATCCCAGTTAAACTATATAGTAAACCTGCAACATAAGCTCCCTTTACATACACAGTTGCAATTGGATGTGGTTGGTTTTGTTTAGGGGGCGGGTGTTAAATAATAAGTAAGTAAGTAAGTAAGTAAGTAAGTGAATGAATGAATGAATGGGAGAGTGGAGGAAATCCACCATTCCTGGCTCGGCATTTATTCTGTCTCCCCACCCGCACCCAGTGGGTTTTCTTGTTTACCAGGCTCTGGAAAGATTGTAGGAGGACCTGGGAAGCTCCCAGAACCTTCATGCCTGCTTTCCCAAGGTAGATAAGCAGCCCTCCGCCTTGCGGGGTCCAGGGATTCCAGACTTTGCACACAGGCCCCTGGACCTGAACCCATAAGTAAGTTGGAGGGGTTTTGGGGTCCAGTGTGCTATGTGCATGCCTTTGTTCAGAACTTTTGCATCCAGCTATCCTTACACATGAAACATACCCCACCCCTAGCACAATATGGAATCCAGATCCAGCCTATTCAACAAAACTTATAAATGGAACCATGCATGGTTGCCATATAATCCATGGTGAACTTACAACTTTGGGCGGTGCTAATTTTCAAGAGAAAAAGGTGCCGGAACTCTCCACGAATGCCTCCCTTGATCTCTTTTAATGGCAATGGTGTCCACCTGAGAGGTGCCGGAACTGAGTTCTGGCAAGTTCCAGCTGGGGGAAAAGCTCTGACTTTGGGAATTGAGGATTATCTGCACATGCAAACAAAAAGTACAGAAGTGTAAACTTCTTTGGCTCTTAATTGGAAAGGGCTAGAGTAGTAGCCTTGCATACAGAAGGTTGCAGGATCAGCTCTCGGCATCTATAGGTTGGGCTGGGAAGACTGCTGGAAACCCTAGAAAACTGTTACCACTCAGTGTAGACAAGACTGAGCTAGATGGTCTGACTCAGTATAAAAAAAAGCATCAGTTTTCGTACAGTGGTGCCCCGCAAGACGAATGCCTCGCAAGACGAAAAACTCGCTAGACGAAAGGGTTTTTCGGTTTTGCGTTGCTTCGCTAGACGAATTTCCCTATGGGCTTGCTTCGCAAGACGAAAACGTCTTGCGCTTTTTTCTTAAAGCCGCTCGAAGAGGCGCAGTTGCGACGGACCGTGCTTCGCAAGACGAAAAACATCGCAAGACGGAAAGACTCGCGGAACGCATTATTTTCGTCTTGCGAGGCACCACTGTATTATATTTTCCACACTTTGGCAAACGCTGCTTAGTTCCAAAACTTGGAATGGAGCTCTTTGCTGCTGGGGCAGGACATAGTCAAAAGCTTGGCTGGGCATCCCAGAACTAGCAACACACTTCTCTGATTCATAGTCTTTAATATATTTAATACATTAGATGAGCCATTGCAAATCAAAAGGAAATTGTTAAATTCATACAGCTTACAAAATGAAGTGAACACACCCCAGTTGAAAGTATCCACATGTTTGTTTCAGTTTTGCTTTCAGTATTGTTCCAAGAAATCGGTTTAGGAACTGTGCAAATAAACAAAAGGGTCTCTATCAGAACGATTGCCCCGACGACTTTGTATATGCTCTTGGAAGGTCACAGCAGCATCTATAGTGATGGAACTGGCAGTGACCCTATGCAGTTTTCTGAACTCTGAAGTGTAGAGTCAAAGGAGCCTGATGTCAGTCCACCAATGCAATCATTTTGAGGAGTTTCGCCTTTCAGAAAGTCATCTTCCTCTTCACCTTTGCCCTGCACACACACACAAAAAAGGAAACGGAAGTGCTTTTCACTTAACTTGTTTTTTTCACTCCGCTATCTAGACTCAGGATTTTGTACCAGACTAAAAAACACGGGAACAAACGTACTCCAAGGCAAGGCATCACGTCAGAACTAAAGATGGCGTTTGAATAAAATTGCTCACCTCATTAATGGAGTCTGTAGCCTCTATGAGGTCTTCAGAAGACTCCTCTTCCCAAAACTGATATAATGGGTTGATTATGTTCTTTGATCTGCAAAAGGCATAATATAAAGAGAGTAGAAGAAAGCAGATGCATGTGCTGATCATAAGGCCATTCCGGTGCCATCCAGATTCCCCTACAGTGGAAGAGGCTATCCTTCAATGGGTTAGTTCTCCCACTGCAAGAGGGCAAAGTCAGTTTAATGGCCATTCTATACAGTACAAAGTCTTCTCCCAATTGCCTATCTCTGAGGCCAGGTGGCCACGCCAATGCTTTCTAGACTTATCCTCCCCTCTGCCTTAAAAGGACATGGAAATGTTAATAATGAAACCATCCTACATGCCAATAGCAAACTCAGTTTGAGCAGCCAGAACAACACTTTGTATGAACAAGAGGGGAGGCATCAACAAGCTCAGAGGTTTCAAAAGTAAAAAATGGAACAAGCACCAAGAGGAAATGAGAACCCCACAAACAGTGCAATTGGTACTGAGCAAGGACTCTCCCCCCCACAGTCCTATGCTGGGGCCGCACCAAAGTATCCAGCTGGACACAGCTGCACAAGATTGACACGACACAGTTCCTCCCCACCCAGATTGCCACAACACTACTGCATCAAGAACTTGTAATGGGAAACGAAAAGCAAAATACAGCCTGTAAACCTGAGCTGAAAACAGTAAGGAGTGCTTTGCTTGGAAGTGCCAAATGGCGTCTTTCCATAGTAAGTAAAAGAAGGTTCGCTGATGTCTGGAATTAGATACCTTTTGAGAATATAAGGGTCAAACGGGAAATAGCTGTCAAGGGGGTTTGTGCAAGTCTCAACAGAGTCACCCCCACAGCTGCTTCTTACAACTGGCAAAACTTGCCGCCTGTTCCTCTCGATGATGGTGTCGCAGAATGCGATTTGGTATTTCCTGGAAGAGAGCAAAAATGGCTGGCTGAAGTTTCTCTTTTAAGAAGAGAGATGCAACCACAAAAACAAGCGCACCAAAAACAGCTAAGCCCCTTTCTATTGGCTCAGGTGGGACCCAATCACATCTGGCTTCTCCTCTCCCAGTACTGGCACTCCCACAATGAGTGACTAAAATTGCATACATTGGGAGCACCCTGGGGGGCAGCAGGGCTTGCACAGGTGAGATGCTGGGCAGGGGGTTGGATTTACAGTCACAGTTCGGCCTTCCAACCTACAAGCATTGTCCAAACAAGCAGAGCACACATCTGCAAGGGCCTATTATTAGAAAACAAATATATATTTTGACATCTATATTTCTGTATTCAATTAACAATATTCAAGAGAGCTTTTTTTTAAAAGACACTTACCTTGTAATGGCAGCAAAAAAATTCACAATGGAAGGCAAGCAGACCTTCAGGGGGTTTAGCTGGCACATCACAATGCGTTCAAGGTTTAAGCTCTGCAAGAAGGCCAAACCTTCAAAACAAAACGAGCAAAGAACATTTAGCGCTAGGGAAAGCGAAAACTGTTTGGGCAGTATGCATTTTTCACAATGCACATGAGGCCCGGTGCCGCTTTGAATGCTACAGGAGAAAAGTGTTTGTTACTAAAAGCTGCACACATGCAACAAGAAGGCAGTCAGGCCTGGCTTCCTGGCAGATAAAACATACAGTGTGCATGCTACTAAATGCTTTAAATGCATTGAATAGGAATGTCTAAAACAGTCTCCAACGGAGATGGTGTTATCTGGTGGGTCAAAGGAAAGTTAGGAACACAGAAAGCTGTCATGCCAAGGCAGACCACTACTCAGTATTCTCCACAGATGGCCAGTAGCTCTCCAGGGTTTCAGCCCTACTTGGAGATGCTCTACCATTGAGCTATGGCCCTCCTAATTCAATTGAATTAACTCCAGTTCAAAAGAGGAATCTCCTAAATGCTCTTCCACCTATATTTGTTCTGCTCTGTAAACTTATTCATGGCTCCCCAACTGAGAAATCCAAAGATGTGCCCAAGTACTAATGAGAACAGTCCCCACGCACCTGCTTCTCGCTGTGAGCCATTCAGCTATTAAACTGCCAAATTCTGCCTGAGCTGTGTTTTTCCGATATACACACCTTTCTTTAGGTTTCCGTCCACTATTTGCTTGTGACGAAATATGATCACGTAGAACGCAGCCTGGCAGGCGGCATAAAAGGGCCCGTGAAGAGTGATGTCGCAAAAGGCTTTCGCCCCTGTGCCCTGGTTGTCGATGTACACGTGCAGCCAGTTGACCAGCAAGTCCAGGCAGGTTTTCACTGTACTGCAATGGGACCAAAGAAAGAAAGCCTAATTAAGGGCAGCTGTCCCACATTTCACAGGTAAGTCAGTAGCTACCATTTGGGACAAGGTGCAATGAGGCAACTACATTCTTGTTAGCAGTTCAGGCTTGGTCACAAAGCCAAAAACGCATCTGGGCGTGCCAAAAGCATTCCATCTATTTGCAGAACAAAACCAGTATTTGGAAATCGGCTGAAAGGACTCCAGCTACAGAGCAGAGCAATAAGGGAATTGAAGCAAACAGAAAGGGTGAATGGCAGTAGCTGGAGTCCAGGTGAAGACTGAAGGCTTAAGGTGTATACAATGATGCACCTGAAGTGAGGAAAGCAGTTAAGTAAATACAGTCATACCTCATGTTACGTTTCATGTTACGTTCTTTCAGGATACGTCCCGCGGCGACCCGGAAGTACCGGAAAGGGTTACTTCCGGGTTTCGCCACTAGCGCATGCGCAGACACACAAAATGACATCACACGCATGCGCAGAAGTGGCAAATAGCAACCCATGGGTGCGCAGATGCACCGCTGCGGGTTGCACTCGTTTCATGTTGCGAACGGACTTCCAGAATGGATCCCGTTTGCAACCAGAGGTACCACTGTACTAGAACACTGCTGTTGTAAGATTCAGAGCAACCAGAAGGAAGTACAGTGGTACCTCGGGTTACATACGCTTCAGGTTACATACGCTTCAGGTTACAACTCCGCTAACCCAGAAATAGTGTTTCAGGTTAAAAACTTTGCTTCAGGATAAGAACAGAAATCGTGCTCTGGTGGTGCGGTGGCAGCAGGAGGCCCCATTAGCTAAAGTGGTGCTTCAGGTTAAGAACAGTTTCAGGTTAAGTACGGCCCTCCGGAACGAATTAAGTACTTAACCCGAGGTACCACTGTACTTCTTTCACACAGTGCATCATTAAAGGAGTTCGATCCTATAAGATGGTAGTGATGGACGGCTTTAAAAGAGGATTCCGCATATTCAAGGAGAAGGCTGTCCAATTTCTACAAGCCATGCTCTCCTTCCACTGCCACAGCCAATATGCCTCTGAAGACCAGTTCCTGGGAATCGCAAGTGGGGAGTGTGCTGCCGTGCCCATGTCCCGCCTGGGGGCTTCCCACAGGTTGAGCAAAGCAAGAACAGGATGCTGAACTAGATGGCTTTTGGCCTGATGCAGGAGGGCTTCTCATGTTTTTGCACAGACAAGTCAGAGCAAGGGCTGACTTGAAGAAGGGCTTAAGACAAAATTCCTTGTGTGATTCTGGACATCAAAGTTGACCACCAAACGCCAGAAAAGAAGCTTGGTTATGGGGACCACTCTACCTATAATGCTATTCAAGACTTAGCTCAGGGGTAGGTAATCTGTGGCTCTTGGGATGTTCTGGGACATTTGCATCTCCCATCCTTTGCATTCTACTGCCCCAGGCAGCTGCCTGCACAGCAAAATGGGGCACCAAAAATAGGAAACACTTAGCAGTCCAGGATAAGCTAGTCCTTGGGAAAGATATGTAAGCTCAGTAGTAGAGCATCTGCTTTCCATGCAAAAGATCCCAGATTCAATCCCTGGCATCTCCAGGTCAGGCTGTTCCCCACCCAAAACCCTGGAGAGCCAGTCAGAGTTAGACAATACTGAGCCAAATGGGCCATTGGTCTGACAGCGTAAGGCAGGTTCCTATGACAGCTAAGTATCTATTGCATTAGCTCCTCCACTGCACTCCTCAATTCCACATATCTAGCCTTCCACAGCAGATCAGTAACTACAAAAAGGAAGTTGGTAGGCTACTTACACAACCGGAACAAACTTTGCCCGTGCCAAAAAGCTGCCGGTGTAGTTGGCAGCAGCCTGCCTGATCACGGCTGGAGTATTTGGATTACGAAGCATTTTCCAAAGATGCTCCACAAAGGCTTCTGCAATTCCCTGTAATACAGAGTCACATGTGGCAAGACATCAAATGCCGTGGAAACTAAATCCATGGACTCTATTTGCAGGCATCTATTACTTCTGGGAGTAGGGGTGAGGAACATGTAGCCCTCCAGATCGGCTCCAACTTCCATCAGTCCCAGTCAGCACGCCCAATGATCAGGGATGAGGGGAGATGTGAGTCCAGTAACATCTGAAAGTCCACCCTGACTTCAGGGAGATACCCAGCAAACAGGAACCTTTTTGGCAGTGAAAGCAATCAACATGCCTGCATATGTTGGAAGTAGCGTCCTTACTCAGATCTTGCTCACCAAGAAGACTGCGGATGCTTTTAGCTCCGACCCCCAAGGCCTAGGCCACAGTTCCTTGCAGCCCCCCCCCCCGCACATTTAGGGGGTCTGGGATGGCTCCCCATATCAATAAATGGGAGCAAAGCAGAGCAAGAGAGGCAATTAACTATACGCACCAGTTTGAAGCTAGAGAGGTAGAACATGATGTACTGCACGTGACATGAGCCATGGGTCGGCAAAATGAGCTTATCAAACACTGTCACCAGATCCCGATACAAATCCTTGGTGTTGCCAATATCAAGCTTCCCTGAGAACAAAAAAACATTTCTGTTACCGCAGCATCGTACCAAGAAACAGCATGCCTGTTTTTCATGTTTACAGTAATGTTTTTTAAATCAAAATTTTATTGGCCAACCAAATACAGGTTATAGCAAGAAACAAACAAAAGAAAAGCAAGCAATTTTAGCAAGCAAGCAGTGGCAGTAAATATAAACATATGTAATAAACACATGTAATATACAAAAACATATATATCAGGTCGCAAAGCTGGTTTCACGGGTTTTCCCGAGTTGGGAAGGTTTCGCAGCACACACAGCTGTATTGAACATAACAGGCTTAGCCAGATTAGACAGCGGGTGTTTGATTTTGTCAATGTCACTAAGAGTGGCAATCAACTCTAAAAAAATATTTAAATATTTTGCCTAAAAAGGCACTGATAAAACTCCACATGGCTAATCTCATCTGGCATAACTTTCTCCTGCCCTTAATACAAACATCTACACACAGGCCTGTCTTGCTTCCTCTTACCCACTTTAAGCCTGCAGCATGATATTCAGGAATCTCCTGCTAGGTTGTCCCACAGATTATTTCTATCATCTCTGCTGCCTCCTCACTATCTATCTCAATGAAATAATTTAAGCACATTGTGCAGGGGTAATTACCGTTCACATGGCAGATATCTTTAACGTATGAAAACAAGACAATCATCAGGATGTCTAGGCGTTCTGCAACTGGGTGAGCCATCACCTCATTCTTCTCCGGGTTTTCTCCATCTTCATCCTATTAAAATAAAAGTACTGAATAAAGAGTACTGAACTCTGGTAAACTCTGGAAAATCACCATTGTGGAGAAGCTTATGTATCAAATGTACATCATCATCATCATCAACATTAAGGGGGAAGTAAAACAGGATGCCTTCTGTTCAGAAGGGAGGTTTATTTTTCTTGCTAATAAGAATAATTCAGGCAAATGCAGAGCCATTATTGTGTCTTCATCTAAATTATACACAAAGTAGTGACAATTTCAGAAAACATCAAAAACAGATGTTATATATATTAACTTCAGCAAGGATATTCTTTGCTAAACCATGGAAGCAAAGCCAGGTTCCGAGAAAGCAAAAATTAATTAAAAATATATGGGAAAAGCTAGAATTTATAAAGTTAACAAGGATGGTACACCCATATAAAATTGTGAGAAAACTGGTAAATGGAATCCAACAATCAAATACACACACACAGGACACAGAGCTCTATGTATGAAATAGGTATAACATTCAGGGTCATATTGTTTCCTGCTATAAAGGAAATATTAGCAAATATTCAACCTATATTTTTGAAAGTGCTACAAAAAATAATTGTGATGTCAAAGGTTTCGTTATCGAGATATTGTAGGAATACTGAAAGGCTTATATAATAGGATGTGTTGCATTAAATAACATTCTTACTAATATTTGTATTATCATGTATTATTTGTATTATCAAGAACATGGATTCCCCCAAAGAATCCTGAGATCCATAGTTTGCTAAGGGTGCTGGGAACTGTAGCTCAGTGAGGGGGTAAACTACAGTTCCTGGGATTCTTTGAGGGGAAACCATGTGCTTTGCATGTATGGCTCGGATGTGACCTGTCGCACTGCTCAATAAACACACTTGCCATGTCAAAGAGTCCTTCTTCAGCAACCCCTTCACTCTCATCCTCTTCAGCAGCTTCAATCTCTTTTCTCGGAGCGCTCACCTGTTGTAAGGAGTAAGGATACTGAACATTTCTAAAGGCGTTTGGTACGCATGCAAATGAAGGTGCACAACAATTCTTAAAACTTAGATATCCCGCCCCCAGCTGAAAAGGTAAAGGGTTTGACTGAAATATTACCCAATGTCACATTTATATCCTGCCTTAATTGCAAGGAGCTCAAGACAGCACACTTAGGGGAGAATGCTCCATTGCGCAAGCAGAAATCCTCGCGCTGATGAAACTTTCAAAGAATCATAGACTTCTAGAGTTGGAAGGGACCCTGAGGGTCATCTAGTCCAAGCCCCTGCGATGCAGGGATCTCAAGTGCATGCAGAGCTTTGGACACAACCCCTATAATTTACTTTCCCACCCAGGAATGGGTCAAAAGCAGGCTATCCATTGAAGCCAGTCTAATAAAACCATCTATACAACCATCTCTTTTGTCCACTTTTTATTATGGACCAGGCATAGGCAAACTCAGCCTTCTAGATGTTTTGGGACTACAACTCCCATGATCCCTAGCTAGCAGGACCAGTGGTCAGGGATGGTGGGAATTGTAGTCCCAAAACATCTGAGGGCCGAGTTTGCCTATGCCTTCCTTTTCTAACATGTAATACACAATAAAGGTGAAAGAATTAAGTCTTTTACGAACCACACTCTATACTTACATCGATCTTTAATACCCTTTCAATAACTAGCTCCAGAATGTCATGCCTCAGAGTTGGGATATATCCGCTGATTCGTAGCATGTTATGCACGTAGCATTGCTGCAATGGAATTCCCCCACAAAAATGATAAATTTAAAAACATACACAAAACGTTCTTCTTGTATAGAAAACCATTTGAGTACTAAGGCTAACGAGCCTCTTCAATTTGTAGTTTAAACCCACCGCAGATTGGATTTTCTCAAGGTGGGCCTTTGTTTTTCAGTTTCATACTGCTTGAGCTTCAGCAACATAGGTTTGGGTCAGGGATTTTTTTATGGTGTAAGGCACCACACAACAGAAGGGACCACAGCTCAATCATAAAGCTCATGTTTTGCATAAAAGAGGTTCCAGGTTCAATCCCTGCCAATATCCTCAGTTAAAAGGAAATCAGGCAAAGGGAGATAGGAAAACAAAACAGCCAAAGCAGAAAATCCCTGGTGAAATGGAAAGACGAAGAAGGCATTAACACTTGAAGGAATAGAAAAAGCTTCTACATGCTGACAGTTCTCTATGCTTATCCTGTATCTGCACCATCAAGATCTGTGGATGCTCAACTTCTGCCACTTTTATTTCAAGAGGGTCATTAAAAATAGCACTGATGCAAGACACACAAAGGAAAATCCCATTTTAAACTTAAGGCTGATTACTTACCAGGGTTCTTTCTGATTTGTTAACGAAGGGAAATTTGTCAACGAGCACCGGCATGAGAAACTGTGGTGTCCTGCAATGCAAGTGTAAAGAAGCTTCAAAATAAGTTTGAACATGGGACAGCCCATTAAACAATCTCAGCAAATGAAACATTTCAGGAGCTGAATGATGAAAGTCATATAAAAAAAGAGGCACAGGCATTGATTCACAATACTGTTTTCCACCCAAGTTTGAGACAGATTTCTTAACATAAATAAGGGACTGCTTAAGAAAAGTATACAGTAATGCTATAAATAAGATTACTGGGCTATCTTGAACATATTATCTCTCGGTGGAGCAATTACAATTTAATCAATTTATTACATAAATACATAAATTATTAATTTCATTTATTGACTGATTTTAATTGGTCACATCTAGTTTATCAGGAAAAATAAAAAACAGGCCCCAACAGCACAGTGTACACATGGAAAGTCTTTAGTCTTTTAAAAGACTCATTGGAAACTCAAGGTGGAGAATTAGATCTGTCCTCAGGGAAGAATAATCACACATGCGGTTAATCAAGAGTAATTTATTCCCTACCAAGATAGTTCACTCGCAATCATACTCCACCTAAAATCATGCACTGAAATGGGGGGGGGGGGGGATACACTTTATACATTAAGCAATTTAATTGAAAATACAAATTATTATGATAATTCAGTAGCACCCTAAACACAGGATTAAGGCTTCTCTTTCTTACAAGCTTTCACACGTCATACTGTAACCGATTACAACAGTAATACAGAGGAAGCAATCTAGGGGAAAACATAATTTGAGGGCTGCTAAACGTATTTATACCAATTAATACCACTGACCTATTTTGAACTACAGAATATTATCAATTTAGGTAGCTTTGTCACTTGAAGCTAATATGCAAGATGTGTGATTGTGTTTCAGCTAGCAGGTAGAAAAGGCTATGAATTAACTTAGGGGATGTACCAAATCAATCATTATGTACTTACAAAGGGACGTATTTTGCAATTGTTTGCAGTGCTCTATGGCAAGTGTCAAAGCCTTCAGTAACATCTGCAAGAATTGAACATCATCAAACATGTATGTTAATCCAGAACTTTTTCTTATATATTCATGTTAGATTTTATGGGAGCACTTCCTCAATCACTTAAGGTAGACAGATTTGGTGCTATTAAATTGTTTAAACTTTATGTCTAATATATGGGAGTGGCAGGGCTGGGCGATAACTGGTTTTCATCATTGTGATATAGCACCTGCTACACATCATAATATACTGATATATCAAGATGTCTGAAATAAAAATGGAGCTATGTAGAGGCATTGGCTGGCTTCACAATTTTCCCCACATTGTGATTTTTGCATAGCACACATACAGTGCACATCATGATTTGCAATGTATCGTCAGGTCAAAAATTATGAAACTGAAATCATGATATGGACTTCAAACCGGTTTTGGACAATATATTGATATATCACCCAGCCCTAGTGAGTGGCAACGGCTGCTAGCTTAGATAGCTTTTAAAGGGAATTAGGTAAATTCAGGGAGGGTAAGTCTATCAATAGCTCCTGCTGTATGCAACCTCCAAGTTTCATTCAATGGAAAGCCACAAATATCAGAGAGAACTAGATTTCACCCTTAACCAGTGTAGTAAAATGAAAATAATATGGAACACAGGAAGCTGTCTTATACTGAGTCAGCTTACACTGACTGGCAGCAGCTCTCCCAAGATTTTGTGCTAACATAACTGACCATTAGACATGAAATGGCTACTCACTTTCATCATCATCTGAATCCGAAATGTCCACATCGTTCTCTTGAATGGTTATTCGAGCTAGGCGGAAACAGAATTATTCTATTATTATACACTTCACGTGAGAATCTGATTGCCAAACTTAAGTTCAAATTGAATATGGCCACCTGGTCAACAATACAAGGCAGAAGAATAGAAAACCAAAACTCACGCGGTACAAAGTGCGAGACAATCATTGCAAGACATGGCCTAAGGTAGATTGTCTGTGCCGACACCAAGTTGCTCAGGAAAGCCAAATACTCTTCCACCACAGGCTGGCTCCTTTTCAGCCACTGCACCCTCTGCAAAGTTACACATACAATTAAGTTCGAATGCACGTTGCACAGACTGAATCAAGACCAAGTACAGCAAACATTAGAAATGGCACACTCTTACCAGTAAGATGCTGACTAGTTGTTCAAACTCCTTGGTCAAGAGTGTAACGGAAGACCGAAACTCACCCAGCCAGTTTATAATCTGGTCATCCTGCAAACAGAACCAATTTCTCTTTAATAGTCTGAACTTAAAAGGTGTGTAAAAAAAAAAACACCTATTAGTAACGGAGGTATTTTTTAAAAAACTGGGTTAATCCGACAGAAGGGCTATTAGGCTTCCACATATCACTCATTACTGGGAGTGTGATGCCACCCTCTGGTGTGATGAGCGACCAGTCTTCCTCTCTAGTTTGAAGCTGGAGAGTGTGCAGGGTTCATCTATGCAGTTGTGTAGTGATCCTAACCCTTCCCCAGCTCTAAGGCTGGAAGGAAGGCCGGGAACTCTGTAGCAGTTGTGTGGCTAAGGTGTCCAGGGCACCTCCGGATGACCCCTGCTCCCACCCACCTCTCCCATGGGAAAGGCAAGTGAATAGTGGGCTAGGATGGCAGCTGCCAGACAGAGGCACTCCCAGGCAGATCTTCCTGCAAAACAGGTAGAATGGAATGGGGTGCTTCTTGGGCTGTTGTTGGGCAGTGGCCAGGCCAGGAGGAAAGGGGCGGCAACAGGGCCAGAAAAAAACCCTGCTGGGAACCCATGAAAGCAATTGTGGAGATAAAGGATAGGGCCTACTGGACAGCGGCTCCTTAATTACAGAACCCCATCCCTCCATATGCTGCCAGTTGTGATGATTTTGAAGTACACTCAAGTCTCTTTTCCAGAGCTTTTATTAACTTGTTAGTGATTTTTCGTCATTTAATGACTTACGATGGATCATGAGGTTTCGGCTGCTGTTTTGTTACTGGTTCTGGTATACGTAGTAAATTTTATACTGAAAAACTGAGTGAACTTTTCTTTTTTTGTAGATACAGAGTTGACCTTAGAATTACTTAAAAGTTAAATTTCTGTTCACATGAATGATTTGGCAAAGGAGGCAGGGAAGCCAGACACAACAACACTGCCTTCACATCAGTCAAAAAACAAACATATTGCTGGTGGTCCCTAAGTTGGATTTGGAACCGAGCTCTTAAAAAATTGTTTTCCCCCAAAATGGGAAATAGCTGAGTTCTTTTGAACCCAACTGTGTGCATATTTCAGACCCTGTTGTGCCTCCAGTAATATCACTGGAAGCACAACAAGGCCTGATCCCTCTCTCAGTGAGCCCCCAACAACCCCATTCCTTATCTTTGTTGCTGCTCTGCCAATGGAAGCATAGATGGTCTCTTTTGCCCCTTCACTCTTTGACACCAGACACCAAGATTCAAGGAGCTTTGGGTAACATCTGGAGCCAGCAGCACTGAGCAAACCACATTACCTAGCATTCTTTGTGTCTGACATGCAGCATGCCAGGCATTAAAAGGATGGTGCACAATCCCCCTCCATTCCTCTAGCGTCAGAACAATCACAAGGGTAAAGGTGGGAGTAAGCTAGGGACAGAGGGAAGCCATAAGTTCCTATGTAGCTTAGATTTTATCAAAGCTTCTGGGCTTGTAAGACTTCCTCGAAATCAAGTCTAACATTACACGCCTGTATTCTAAGCTGTGGTCAGATCTGTTACTGATTATCCTAGTTATAATCATAAATGGTACACAAAACTGCAACAATTCATTCTCGTTCATTTTTTTCTTACATTTAAGAAGTCATGCAGAGCACTGAAATACTTGGATGAAAAAATCCTTACTTTTAAGTCTGGATCTAACAGCTGATGCTTCAACAAATCAAATTCGGTTGTCTCACCCTTCAAAACAAAAACATGAATTAAGTTGTACCCTAACAAATCATGCAGCCTTGCATCAAAGCTTATTCGATCCCTATTGAAAATAAATAGAGAGACACATTGGGTGTATTACTGTTTCAAAGCATAAAAGCAATTAATAGAGGTTCTCTTCTCTCTCTTTTTGCAACATATGTTAATAACTTTACTGTCGCTCCTCAAAACCTTTTTTTCAGATTTAGTGACTATATCTTGTTTTCCTTGCATTTCTTTCGGTGAAAATAACTAAGATACTGCCAGAGACAGTGGGAGTATACAGCTAAAAGACAATCTCTTAAGGCCAAACTTGCATTTTTCATTAAAAAAAAAACACCTTTCAAGACAGTCAGAAAATACAAAAAATGAGACAGATAACCATACTACCTTTTGGTATTTTAGAAGGATGTCTGTCAATGTCCCACCAAATCTGACTGTTTTCCTTGGTGGAGATTTTAGAAACTCATCTGCAGCCAACATGTCAGCAGTCCTAGGCAGAATAAAACATATGAATGAACACAGTAAGCCAATGCTTGAAAGTGTATGTGAGAAACCAGCAAGGAATAAATACTTGTGTGTGTGTGTGTGTGTGTGTGTGTGTGTGTGTTAAACTCCATACAAGCAAGGGTTCTGAACACAATTCCAATGTTGAATTACAATTTTAATTTATTCCTTATGTTGATATCCCACTTTACCTCCAAAGAGAATTAATGTGGCATTGATTGATTGCATTTATATTAAACCATTCCTCCAAGAATCTCAATGTGCATGACCCTTCCCTGTTTACAGCTAAAGAGTGTCAGAATAGGTCCAGGGTCAGTGAAGACCTGTCACTGCCGTCGCAACCTAGCCTACCTCACAGTGCTGTTGCGAGGAGATAAAAAGTAGGTTCGGTAAAAGGATGGTAAAAAAAGCCACACGCCAAGTCTTATGAGGAACCGTTGAGGGAATTGGGTGTGTTTAACCTGGTAAAGAGGAGACTGAGGGTAGATATGATAGCCATCTTCAAATACAGTATCTAAAGGACCGTCACATGGAAGATGGAGCAAGCTTGTTTTCTCCTGCACTGGAGGGCAGGATTCAAGTTACAAGAAAGCAGATTCTGACCAAACATCAGGAAGAACTTTATGATAGCGAGAGCGGTTTGACAGTGGAACAGACTCCCTTAGAAGAAGGTGGACTCTCCTTCCTTGGAGGGTCTTAAGCAGATGTTGGATGGTCACCTGTCAGGGATGCTTTAGTTGAGATTCCTGCATTGCGAGGGGTTGGAATAGATGACCCTCGGGCTCCCTTCCAACAATTCCATGATTCTTCGGAGATTCCGAGGATTTCCACTAGGACATCCCTCCCCACGCCCCTAAATCTGCCCTAGGGGATCCCACCTAAAAGTAGATTTAGGGGGCAGCAGAAATCCTTGTGCTGACAGGACACGTTGGTGGAATACGATTTGGAGCAGCTTGTTGGAAACGCAGGAGACGATGCAGTCAAGGAGCTTCCCCCCAGCGCACCTCCCTCCCACCCTGGCAGCCTCACCTGCGCTTCGCCGAGGCTTGACTCAGGGCCTCCGTCTGCCGCCCAGCCCGCGGGGCCGTCGTTTTTCCTTTCCCCACGAAGCCGCCGCTTCTTCCCTTTCCATCCTCCTCGTGCGCGCAGCCCAAGAGACGCGAGTCTTCCCCACGCAGCACAGCCAGCGCAGAAGTCTCCCTCGGACGTCCCCGGAAGTGAAACAAGAGGTGATTTCCGGATCGGCGAGGGGCGGGACTTCCGCAGTTTAAAGGGCCACCCGCACGACCGAAGGCGCATCGGCACTTCTGGCTCTGCGTCCCTGAGCGGCTGGAAAGAGGCTCCGTGGAATGTGTAGGCGCCGCGGTATCTGGTCATACGGTAATGCGGAGCCCGTGGTGGTTTAGACCGGCGGACTAAGAGCGGGGTTCGAATCCCCCGCCGGGTGACGTTTGAACTGCCTCACAGGGTTGTTGTTGTGGTGTGAGGATTCAAATGGGAGAGGGGGCAAAATTCTGGACTAAATCGCAGGAACATGTTCTGGTCTTCCCCCCACAAAAAACAAAAAAACACTCTGGTTTATACGCGTGGAGTTCTGTTCTGTCGATATGTATGTGATAAAAATCATTTTTAAAGAATTAATAAAAGTACTTTTTTATTTTGAAAAAACGGAGGTGGAGGGAGAAGCGTTGTTCGCTACCTTGAGCTGTTTGGCGAGGGGGGGGGGGAAAGGTGGGATGTGAATGGAATGATTTGTTTGTTCCGTACAATGGATATAGCACTTTGTATAAAAAAAACTCAAAACAGTTTACAAAAGATAAAACGGTAAGATCAAGAAAGGTTCGCAAGCCTACTTTAAAACCTACAAGTTTTTTTTAAAAAAATGCTACATCAGATTAAAACGACCTTCCTAAGCATCTGAGTAGGCTTGTCTAAGCAGGAATGCTTTTAGCAAGCACTGAAAAAGAGTACACTGAAGCTGACTCCTTGATCTCAATAGGCAGGGAGTTCCAAAGTCTAGTCGCTGCCACACTAGATGATCAAGTTCTTGCAAATGAGGGACAGGTATTATGCAGCGCCTGTAATAGTGCCAGTTCCGCCAATCGGCATGGGGTAAGGCGATCTCGTAGGGATGAAATAATGAAATACAAATAAATGCAGTGCAGTTCTGCATCGTATGTATGTCTACTTGGAAGTGCTGCCAAGATCTAGGATTTCATCCTTAGCCTAATAATAGATCCCTGCCTATTTATGAACTATGTGAGGCAGCACACATCCAATGCATGATTCCCTGTGTGATCTCTTCACGTGATCTCTTTGTTGAATTAAACTCAAAGGGGGCACTTCTGAACAGGTATGCATAGCATTGAAATACACTATCAGTTTTGCAGTTTGTAAAAAAAAATGACAGTATTTGAAGCTGGAGTGGCTTCAATACTTTTTTACAATTTAATTTTTGTTACGTTTTGGGGTTTATTTGATTTTCCAGTTAGGTTTTGGGTTGAACATGGCAGGAACCACAAGTAAAGGCTCTTGTTCCGGTCTGTCTTAAAGAATGTGATCATGAATGATTTCCCTTACACGGGCTGCATACACAACATGTACATGACTTCCCTCAAAGAATCCTGAGAACTGTAGTTTGCGAAGGGTGCAGGTAATTGTAGCTCTGTGAGGGTAAAATATGGTTGCCAGTATTCCTCTGGGGGAAGCCATGTGCTGTAAATATATGGCGTGCATGTGGCCATGGTCCCATTCTGCCCTATTCAAAGCCAAATGAAAATGAAGGGGAATTTTGACCATGCTTCACATACAATTTCATGTGAAACCATTGTAAGGTAGTAGCGAAGTGCTGTACTGAGGAGACCCAGGTTCAAATCTTCATTCACTGGTCGAACAATGGATGGCCCTACTATTAGGCAAAATGAGGCAGCCACCACAGGTGGATACTATGGGGCAAAGATAAGACAAAAGTTGTATGAGCCATGTGGTGCACGCTGTGTCTTTTAAGCTTGCCTGCTGCTCTTAGGTGCGATGGAGGACTCTGCCTCTGGCCTCACCCACCAAAAGCACATGGTCCCTGGAATGTTGACTACTAGGAAATGCAGCCATTGGGCTTAGATATGCCCCACCCCCAAGTTTATGGTGTGCTTTTCCCTGGTATCAGTAGTGTACACATTTTTAATAACAACCAAGCAAATGGACAAATCACTGCTGAACTGCACCCACCAATATGTGGGCTGAGGTCTAGATGAACAGAGGCTGTTTTAGGGTGGCGCAACTTCTGCAGTCACACTGGACGCTGCACTGCAGGGGGCACCAAAAGGATGCTGTAGAATGGAGTGTGAGAGGCAGGGGCTGCCAAATTTTAGCGTCACATAGGTGCTGAATTTGAGCATCTGCACAGCAAGGCACTGAAGACAGACCAAGATATTGCTACATGCTACGACTTTCAGGCATAGGGGTCAAATGAAGCCTGGATGGACATGGATAACATCAAACATGCCAAATATAGAATTGACTTGAAGGGGATTGTGGGGTAGAGACTGTACAAATCCACCTTCTCAAACTGAAAAGACAAGTCCCCCCACAAATATCTGATCCTAGGAAGAAAAGGTGTGTGTGTATGAAGCAAGTATATTTCCATTGGGTCTGCTAATGAAATCTTGTACACAGAGACACAAGCTCAACATGTCCCCTCCCAAGTTCTGAAAATGTTTTGTTATACAATGCTTTAGCTCTGTTGTGCACAAGTAAGTTAGTAGTACTTAGGAATGTGGCCCCAGAATCTATGAATAGATTCTGGGGCAGGCAAGTGAGCTGAAGGAGGTGGAAAAGGGAAACCTAAGAAGCTAGTAACAGTATATTTTTAGTAATGGAATGCCAGATTCTTGTTTGACACAATATCTACTTTTCTGCTTGTTTAAAATAATCTCTACCTGTTCCTTCATTCTATCAATTCATATGTAAAGCAGAATCACAAAGAAAGACAACCATTTTTATTAACAACAATTTTGCCAGTAGCAGTATTGAATCAAGGTGGCAAAACTTTATTTAATGAGGTAGGTACAAACAGTAGACCTTCTAGTTGCCTTTGTCATACCAGCATTCTTTAGAAACATTTCTAGAATTATTATTATTTTAAAAAATCAATGGCCAAGTTTCACCTATTTCACATTGTAGTAGAATCTAGTGCATTTCTATTTTTTCCTCTAAGATGCAACATTTCTAATTCCAAGCCAATAAAAAAAGGGTGGGGGACCTGAGAATTTGGAAGACTGGACATTTCATTCAGTACATTTTACAGTATAAAAATCCACAAAATGACCAGGTTGGATCCAAACTTAAGTTCACCCAACTTAGGTCCCACTAAAAAGCAGTAAGACAAGTTTCATTGGGTAGATCCAATGTCAGTCATATTCAGAACAGACCTACTAAAATCAATGGACTTAAACCATTTGCCCATTGATTTCAATGGTTCTACTCTGAGTATACCTTAGCTGGATATCACCCATTGATTTCAAAGAGACCCAGGTTCAAACAAATTGACCCAAGTTCATACAACTTAAGTCTTGGGATCCAACCCACTTCAACAATCATTCATAAAGCTCCCTTCACCAACGGATCTTAAGAGCATTCATATAAATAAGACATGTCATGTGTTTAAGGCACTTTTGAGGACTTCTAAACCCTGCTTTCAGGGTGTCAAAACTATTTCTCCAAGATCTTAGTCTTGTGAATACTTCCACATAAAAGTTTTAGTCAGTAGCACACATTTACTGTTTGAGGATCAATGCCCTTGTTTTAAGAGTAGGAGTGCTACTCAGTTTATGAAAACATTTTAAAAAATATAAATCCTGTTGTCCCTAAGTAATTGTTAAGTTGAGTAACTGAATATAAATCCTTTTACACTGCTTAAGATATAGGCAATGCTGTTTTCCAGCAGAAATCTGAAGCATAAATATTTGGCAGAAATGTGGTTTCATAACACAGTGCAGATTCCACAGAGTTCACAGATGGTTCTATGTAGTTTTTCCAGCATCTTGTGACTAAGATGATGTCCACATTTGTTTTTCATCATAACTCACAGTAATAGTAAGTAATAGTCTTTGATAATTCCTGAAAGGAAAAACAAACAATGTAAAAAAATATATTTTAAGTATCAGCCTTTTTGAAAATATGGGGAAATATTTCCTACCAAGAAAAACGATTATGGAATCAATAAAATATGACCTGAAGAGTCTTCAAAGCATCTTAATTACCAGTAAGTCTGATTACACTGTCAGACTCAGATCAATGTATTGTACATTTTTACCATTCCATGTAACTTAAGTATTTCTTATAATACTAATAGTGATGCTATTCTTAGAACATCAGTAAGCCAACTCTTCCATATCTCAAATCTTTCAGTGTGTGTATCCAATCCCATTCAACCTGATCACTTTCTTTTAGACTAGCGCTTATCTAACAGTGAGAACTGTTCTTTGATTAAAAAGCTACTATTCTTAGAGGACTACTTTTCACAGAACTCATTAGGTCAATAGTTTCAGCTCATTAGTATAAGAAAATCAAATTATAAGATGAAAGTCAGTTTGTGTTCTGTATTGTACTTGCGTATTTAGAGTGGTACAGATGTAATTAACTCTGGTTGTAGAAGTGGGAAAGTATGCAATCACCCACTCCTTCCCTCTCTTCCTCTATCTTGTGTGAATTCCCTTATACCCTGATGTTCTGCATTAGACCATTGCCAATGCTGACTAAAGCTGCTTCTGATCTTCATAATGCAATTCTAAAAAGAAAATCAAGAAGAAAATTTAAAAACAAAGAAACCCCTGCACAAATCAAATGTCTTTTGAAATAAAGACTTGACTGCCCTCTTAAAAATAGGTATGAAGAAGGCACCATAGGTGTGGAAACTCTCTGCATCATGCTACCCCATATTTAACCTCACAAACGTGAGGGGTCTGGAACAGAACCGTTTTGCTCAAAACACAGGAAATGGGGAACCTATGGCACCTCCAGATGCTCTTGGACTCCAACTCTCCTCATTCCCAACCCCTGGCCATGCTGACGGTGTGTGAAGGAGGAGGGTCCAACATCTGGAAGGTGACAGCTTCCCCATCCCTGATTTAGAAATGTAACCAGCTAGTACCCAGAAGCTAATAGCCAACCAGTCTGATGAGTACTGGTGTAACATTAGGTCCTACACCCACTAAAAGCCAAACAGGTGCATTCTTCTGACACCAGTAGCAGTTCCCGAGTTATTTTCAACAGCAGCCTTGTAAATAGCATACTGCAATAACTCATCCAAAGGGTTGCCAAGGAATTGAGTGGCGCAGTCCCTGTGCTCCAGACAAACCTAGCAAAAGCACTCTTCGCCATGACCAGAGTATCCAGAGCAAGTTCAGTTCAAGGAGTACTCCCAACAGAAAGTTTAATCCTTCCATAACTCAATTCCACTCTAGAAGAGGTAGATCTCCTTGACTATGTGCCCCCCCATCCCTATGTAGCATTAACATTTCCATCTGATCCAAATAAATAAATAAAATCTGGATTCAGTTTCAGTTTGCTAATCGTTATTTTGCCCCAAGCAAGCTCCAACATAAATTTGGAGCCATTACTGCTGCTTGAGTTAGAAGTTACTAGCATATTGATAGTGTACTGATCATCCATATAGTATCTCCCACTTGAACAACTGCCTCACATAAATACAAGTCTGCAAAGATTTAACACAGTGATAAAATTTGCTATTGTTCCCAGATAAGGATCATTGGGAAGCACCAAAATCATTTGTTTTCCTTTTCAATAAAACAATTTGGATCAGAAAAGAGGAAAAACCCTACAACTTTACTTAAATATTTAAGGTTTGTAGGAAATAATGTATACACATTCATAATGAACTATGAATTATTACTTATCTTTAAGATAAGCAATTCATTAAGTTTGCTAAAGGACTCCACCAAGTACAGTCATCAAACAATCAATGGGAGGAGGCAGTGTCAGGTACAAAGTACTGACCTAAGTTATACTTGTTGGCATCCGTCTGTCTTGAGAGACAATGGAGTGCGCCTCTGGGGGCGAAGTCAAACCGCTGTGTTAGCAGACCAAAGCAGATTTTTCCCTTGTTTGAAATCTGAGAGCCAGTGTGGTATAACAGTTATAGTGTGCAAAACTAGGACTAGGGAGACGCCAGTTCAAATCCTCCAGCCATTAAGCTCTCACAGAGCACCCTTGGCCCAGTCACCACCTTGTTTTGAAACAAGTGACATGTAACCAAGGTTACTCCTAGACGAATGCTTAACCATGAGCCCTGGTTCAGACAACATGCTAAGCCAAGTATCAGCCAGAGAGACTGCGGAAGAGCAAAGCCATGGTTTGTCTTAACAGGTTACCTAACAGCAGGAGTGCTCAGCCTAACCTACTTTACAGGGTTGTTGCGAGGACAATGATGCACTCTGGGTTGTATTCAATGTTATTCCTCCTCTTAGAAGACCCACTGAGATTAATGGACGTGACTAACTTGGCTCTATTAATTTCAGTGGATCTACTCTGAGTAAAAGTTAGTAAAATATTGTAACTCACTTTTCAGGAGGAAAAAACCTCTTTACAAAGTGGCTCACAATCACAGTATCAAACCCACCCCTGACACCCTGCGGGGGTACCATACATATGGGCATAGCTAGGATTCATGTTTGGGGCGGGGAGGACACCCACCTGCCATCGTCCTCTGTCTATCTAGAAGTTTCGGAAATGTCTCAACAACAGTGGTTTTAAATTACTTTCTTTTGACCCCAAGTGCTTGGTGGGAAAAAAATCTTTCTACAAGTTCCAAGTATTATTTTTTTGAGTTATTTACCTGGTTGTGGGGGGCAGGGAGCTATAGCTGCCCTCACCCACCCCACTTTTGATCTCCTTGGGGCTGGAAACGCAATGTAGGAATGAATAAAGGCAGGGAGTTGGAGGAGGAGAGGCAAGACACACTTATCCTAATGATGATGATAATGACCATGCAGCTGCCATGAGCGAGTGGGGTCCTGCGGGCCCGTCGGGCGGCGCGTCCTCCTTCACCCCCCGGCACCCACCTCGCCGACCCGGCCTGGCTCCCGGGCCTCGCCGTCCGTCCTCGCCTCGCCTGCTTCCTCCTCCTCCTCCTCCTCCTCCTCAGGCCGCCTGCAGCTCCACCGAGCTGGATACCGTCGTGGCCACCGACGTCGACGCGGCGCTGGCGAAGTGAGCCCTCCTGACGGAGCCCGGCTGGCACTCGGGGGACCGGGAGAAGGCGGTGAAGGGCCCCGAGAAGCGCATGCTGAGGTTCCTGACGAGCCGGGCCAGGCCGTGGCCTGCGGGCGCCCCGACGGGCGCCGCCTTCTTCTTCTTGGTCGAGTGGCGCCGGAGCCCCACGTCGTCCTGCAGCTCGGCGGCGGGCACCTCCAAGTTGCCCACGTACCAGAAGACCCACCAGAGGAGGCTGAAGAAGATGCCCACGCCGCCGCCGTAGATGAGCAGGTCGGCGAAGAAGACGTCGACGAAGACGCCCACCAGCAGGATGGCCAGGCCCACCGCGTCGAAGAGCAGCGCCATCCAGAAGGCGCCCGCGCACCGGCCCAGCCCCCCGCCCAGCGAGGCCATGGTCGCCGAGGCGGCGGGCAGAGAGGTGGCCGACTCCGGAGGGGAGCCGAAGGCGCTCGACAAGGAGACGGCGCTGGACCAGGGCGAGAGCAGCCCCTCCGAGGGGACGGCGCCGGGCACCTGGAGCACCTGGAGCGCCGCCGGCCCGCCCTGCGCACCTGAGGCCACACCTGCCGCCCCTGAGGGGGACAAGCTCCCCGCCTGAGGCGGCGGCGCCTTCCCCAGCGCCACAGCCATGCTGGGCGAGCAGGAGAGAATCCCGCCTTACCTGAGGGACCGGGAAGGACACGCCCTCCTTCTCCTCGCACCTGGCGGGGCGGGGCGGGGCGCGCGCACCTTGAGGCGGCGCGCGCGTCCCTTCCACCGCCTCCCCGACAGGTGTCCCCTCGTGGACTCTCCTTTCCAGACGCCTCAGGCGGTTCCCCATCTCTTGTCCTTCCCAACCCAAAGGGGAGAGAGCAGCACACTCGTGTGTATTTGTGCAAAACGCACACCAGGGATAGCTCCGTCGGTGGAGTATGAGACTCGTGGTCTCAAGGGTTGTGGGACTGAGCATGACACGGGGCAGGGCCGGATTTAGGTTTGATGAGACCCTAACCTACTGAAGGTAATGGGGCCCTTGATATGTCCAGCTGTCCTTTGTCAACAACAAATTGTCGCTGTTTTTTGTGCTGAATATATGCTATATGGTAATTTATGGACCTAATAGGTCTCTAAAGCCATTTGCACATGCTGAATGTAGGCACCCTATATACAGAAATGAGCAAACCTGTGATATTTTAGGGAGCAGGCTAGCAGACGGGGGCCATTACTTACATCATAGGAGCCTACACAACACAAAACACTGTTTCTGTATGTAGGTTTTATTTTATTAGTTCTTTATCTTACATTTTGGAAATGTACATCCAGGTTTTTTCCCCTTTAATTCTTTTTTGGGCCCCCAAGAGAGTGGGGCCATAAGCTATAGCTTATATGTTTAGCTTATACTGTACGTAAATCTGGCATTGACACGGGGGTTGGACTAGATGACCCTCCCATCTCTATGATTCTGTGAGTTGCATTCTGGCCAATTTCAGACATCATCATTGCGAATGACTCTTGCAGTTTATTTTAGGGCTAGTGCTTTACACCGGGTTGTGCGTAAATAACCTCAAGCTTTGGAAAAAGAAGTGAGATAATCCTTATATTACCAGGGAATACCAGGGGCAGTATTAACATCTATGCATAGTTACTCAGAAGTAAGAATCAATGTGTTCAAGAGTAAGCCATAGTGAAGCCTCTCAATTTTTGTATAAAGCTGCAGCTATTCTGTTGAATTCCTGGTTACTGTTCTTAAAACATTTCATCCCTTGGAAAGCTGTTTATGTGGTCTGTACTATGCCAAGTGTATTTCAAAGCACCTAACGAAGTTTAGTTTGTTCAAATCCATTTCAAAATTAGAATTAGTGTTCCACGAGGAAAACACCCAAGGGTAAGAGCACTTTTTTCCATCGGCTGTTGGAGGGGTGGGGGGGAGCATACTTTGTGCAGGTTAGCTGTGTTAATCCAACAAAAATAACAAAGAATCTAGTGGCTCTTTAAAAATAGATTTATTGCAGTAGTTAAGGGAACAAATGTGGAAACTGAGACTCTGTATACATTACTGTTTGCTTCAGCTCCAGTGTGCTCTCACCTTTTAGAGCTGAGTACACATGATATTATCCACAATCCAGATGTATCTTGTAGTTTCGTAAGAAATACTTCTGCTTGGTGCATTTTCCCTCAGACCAGCTTCCATCCAATTTGAAAACATAAGCTGTGGTTAAGCTATGATGTGTATATTTCAGACATCTGTTCCACTCACACAGATGACAGCACATGAGCAGATGATGGCTTTGTTGAATAGGAGTTGGGGTGGCAGTGCCAGGGTAATGTGTGTACAACAGGTAATGGTGTGTACAGCAACATCAAACATGACTTGAAACACAGTGGGGGTGCTAATTTGTACAAGCAAAAGCTTAGTCGCTTGAACTTCATCTTTAAAAGGCACAGGAAATCTGCCAGAGGATTTTTTTCTACCGTCTTTACTTGAGTCTAAAGCACCATCGAATCAAATGCGCACCTTAATTTTCGCAATGTAATTTGGCCAAAAAAAGGTGAGCGTTAGAGTCGAGTAAATACGATATGTGGCATAAGACCTCTTCCTTCTCTACTATTTTTTTCCTATCACCACTGCCAATAAAAATGTTCATAAAATTAAGTGGACCCCTAATGCTCTTTAGGAGGAGAAATATAAAAAGCTCTCCCCAGGCCTTTGGCAGAAGCATTGTTTGGTTCCTCCTTAGAGGAGGACCAGTCTTCCTCCTGTAAAAACCTCTGGTGGTTTATATCTGCTAGAGGTGCAAAATTTCTCAAGAGGCAAAAAATTAAGGTAGTCATGTTGGCCCATTAGAAAAATTCTATGCACAGCTGCACTACTTTTATTTACGAACAATGGAAAGTGGTGAGCATGTTTCCTTTACGGAAAGGAGAGGACCACAATATTTATACGAAAAAGCAAAATCCTTTAGCACAAATGTCTGTTAAACCATAGATAGTGGGAAAACTATCTTTGCAAGCAGGATATCACTTTAAGTATTTTTTAATAAATGGGGTTTATTTAAAAATTGCATTGATTGTAATAATATGAAGTCTATGGAAGCCTTTGAATAGCTTCTCTAATTCACTGAATAAGTTAAAGAAAGTGCATTATCTTTGAAAAGTAATTATTATAAACAGAGATGAATAGTGCGCTGGATAAATATATAGTTAAATTGCCATATATGGAATTGGTGGGATGTCACTGGAACCAAAAGAAGACTGTGATAAAGTGTAACAGATATTGATATTTTTGTTGTTGTTTATTTTTTTATTATGGATAACTATGATTTTGTGTTATTTTTTTAAGTTCAAGAAAGCAATTTAAAAAGCTAAAAAAAAATTTAAAAAGTATGGATCTCAAGCGCTGAAGTCTGTAGGGCTTCCTGTTAAAAGTCCATCATATCTCAGGGCGTGCTTAATAATGGGTAGCCACACCATTCCTGTAACGAAGAACATGAGTCCAATGGAAAGACAAACAGGCCCCAGGGCAGATGGCACCTCTACAGTGTGGACCAAGTGCAAGGCAGAAAGGCCAATCCCACTAAGAAATACAAGGAGTCCAATGGCAATCAATGTAAGAGGCTTATTGTAGTACACCCAGTTGCTTTGTTCCCCGATTATAACGGCCTCGTTCCTTGTTCCTGAAGGGAAGTTTGAAGCATCAACAAGAGATGGTAGCCCCTCATGGGTGGGGATTGGCTTTATCACAGACATGCCACAAGATGTACTCCAAAGAGCAGAGGACCTAGAAAGTAGGACATGCTTAAGTCATTTAGTCTAGCCAGTAAGAATATCAAACAGACTATTCAGTAGAATGTAAGATCGTTATTCCCTCTCCCTCCCTCCCTCTCTCCCTTCTTTTTCCCAACCACATGGTGTCTAGGACAGGGGTCCACCGTCCCTCAGACCATGTTGGGGGGCCGGACTTTTTTGGGGGGGGGAGAATGAATTTCTATGCCCCACAAATAACCCAGAGATGCATTTTAAAGAAAAGCACACATTCTACTCATGTAAAAACACCAGGCAGGCCCCACAAATAACCCAGAGGTGCATTTTAAATAAAAGGACACATTCTACTCATGTAAAAACATACTGATTCCCGGATCATTCGTGGCAGGATTGAGAAGGCGATTGGGCCGGATCCAGCCCCCGGGCCTTAGTTTGCCTACCCATGGTCTTGGACATCAGGGTCCCATACCGAAAGCAAATGAATTGTGAAAAAGACTGCAAATTGAATATGGAGACACTGTAGGTACTTTTCCTTGTTTATTAGATTATTATTATTTTGTACCACAAGAAAATACTTAATAAAGACTAATTTTAAAAAGACAACGATTATTCAGAAGTTAGGTCCATCCATCTGACCAGCAGATGCACAGGAGCTAGCCCCAGCCCTGAACTCGCATGCCCTGCCATCTCTGCAAAAGGGAAGATTTCATGTTCACAGTTTCATGTGCTTTCCTTTTGCAGACATTGGCATGGGGACCAGGATAAGTTTTCAGTTCAGAATTTATATCCCACAGTGGTGGCTGGTGCAAGCAGGATGCTGCGCCACCGACCTCAGTCTGCCCTTTAGCCAGCCCCCTCCTGCCTCCCTTTCTTACAACCAGTTATGGGGTAGCTCTAACTGTCATTGGCTGTACCATCACATACTGTTGATCTCCCTGGATTAAGCGCCATGGCCACCAAACACCACATGGAATCCAACAAAATGTAGTTATGACAAGTGGGAGCTCAGAAAGAGACATACTGGTAAATGAAACAAATATTACCAAAATGCTTTAAATGTCCACTGTGCACTCTCATCTAAAGGAAACCAAAACCCACTGCAGTAGCCCTGGAATATCTCACTCACGAAAATGGGGAGCCATAATTTATTGGCTCAATCCCATAAAATAGCATTCATTTAGTGTGCTAAGGCAAGAAAGTGAGGAATCGGGACCAACCCATCCCCACCCCCACCCCCACCCCCTGATCACATTCAGTAATAAAGAGAACATAAATATTAGCCCTAATCACTAATTGGCAACAGGCACTTGAGATGTGTATTTGTAATAAACCATATTGAGTTTGGAGTTTATGTAATTAATTGTGAGGCAAGCATTCAAGTGGTTTCCCCCCTCCTTCTAAAGTTAATAAATGCCTGCTTTAATCTAATCAGTTAGATATTTTGATCAGATTACAGAAAGTTTATTAATTCTAGTGAGAAAAACAGCAGTTGCATGCTTGCTTTAGAGACAGGTGTTCTGTGCACATGGAGAAACTAGAACACATCATAATGCTATCTAATACTTAGGGACAGATGTGTAAATACACAAGTGGAAACACAGTGCTGTTTTTGCCAAACCTTCCACAGTTTCTTCCGACTGCTAATAATGGGTGCGGCTAAAGTCAGAAAATATAGAGGGGTTTGTGTCTCATCTTAAAGAGTTATTTTTTAATGGTTCATGCAAAAATAAGATCTAAAGCAAAACAAACACCATAGGCCAGTTCCCTGCTATCAGCTGAGATAAGAGTTCTTCCATTAGTAAGGACAAAGTTCACGATAGGAAACTCTACTATAGCTTATCTTTGATAGCCTGGCAATGTGAAACTAAAACCTGGCAGTATTGCCTGTAGTTCGCATTATACAATTAAGAAAGCTGAAGCAACAAATTATTTTAAAAAGAGTGCATAAGAGCATACAGTGGTACCTCAGGTCAAGTACTTAATTCGTTCTGGAGGTCTGTTCTTAACCTGAAACTGTTCTTAACCTGAAGCACCACTTTAGCTAATGGGGCCTCCTGCTGCTGCCGCACCGCCGGAGCACGATTTCTGTTGTCATCCTGAAGCAAAGTTCTTAACTCGAGGTACTATTTCCGGGTTAGTGGAGTCTGTAACCTGAAGTGTATGTAACCTGAAGCATATGTAACCTGAGGTACCACTGTATTAATGTTCTGAACCTTTAAATAAACAATAAATAAAACCAAGGGTCCATCATTTTAAATTAGGGCACGACGTCTCTGTGGATCAGTGTTAGAAAAGCTGTTGTTGGAATTTCGCTCCCATAATGATCCCACTGCCTGCGGCTTGATGGGAGTTGGTGACCAACAAGATTTGGGGGGCTATTCCCACACTTACGACAGGAGGGTAGAATTTTGCCTTATAGTATAATCCAAGGATATGAAACCTATACCACTACAGCTGTTGTTGGACGACAGATCCCATCGTCTTTGACCATTTCTGCCTGGGGAGTCCACAGCTTGAGAGCCACTGTTTCCCCATCCCCGGTAATTCTATACATGTTTATGTGGAAGCACGTGCCATGTGCATAGGAGGTGGCAGCCTAAATTTGTTTTAAAAACTGAACTCTTCACCGTTTGCAAAACGCTTCTTCAGGCAAGATTATCCAAGGAAAACATTTGAGGTACTATTTCAATAAAATAATGTAAACAGGCAGGAAAGCTGGCAGAGAGATGCAACCGTTTATTTGGGGTTGGAAGAAATAATGTCTGACAGCCTACTCCTGTGTACTCAGTGCAAAAGGTATCATCAGCTGCAGCTGCAGCACCAACTCATCCACACTGTTGTGCCTGGACTTTCTGCACAATGAAAAGGGCATAGCTCAGTGGTAGAGCATCTGCTTTGCATGCAAAAGGTGCCAGATCCAGTCCCCAGAATCTCCACATAAGGCTGGGGAAAGGCTCCCTTTCTAAATACCCTGGAGAACTGCTGCCAGTCAGTGTAGACAATACCAGGTGAACCAATTGTCTGACTTGGTACAAGGCAACTTCCTTTGTTCTTTCAAAAATACTCTGCGTTCTAATGTCAATCCAGGCTGCTTTGCCTGGGAACCTTTTATGTGAGTTCTTTGCATATGCATCTCCACGGCAAAACTTTCACATAACTTTTTCCCCCCCAAAGTACTGTAGCTTATCAGTACACACTACAAGGTGGTTTTCATAGCCATTTTATGTAATGCTTCTAGAATTATTTTTAAATTTCAGTTTTGTTAAAGTTGTGGTTAAATCTACATTGAAGGAAATTAAAAAATACACTGGTCACATACACACCATACATTTCAAGCACATTTATACTACAAGTCATTGCTCCCACCACAAGGAATCTTGGAAATTGCTGCTTCTCCCTCACAGCTACAATTCTCGGCACCCTTAGAGAACTAAAGTTCCCAGAATTATTTACAGGGAGCCATGTGCCTTAAAATTGTCCACTTTTACAAAGAGCAGAAATCCAGATGCAGATTTTTAAATTTTAAAACGTAAGCAGACATCACAAAAAATTAATTGAAAGCAAGATTGTTCACAAAATGACTTTAACCATGCAACCCTAAGAATACTTACTCAGAAGAAAATCCCAGAGTTTAATGGGATTTACTCTCCAGAAGCTTGATTAGGATTGCAGTCCAAGATAAAGAGCACCTAAGGGTATGGCTGCTAAAACATGCCGACTATAATTTCTTCAGAGCCATTCTTCCATTAAAAAAGTTGCACTGAAAATTCAGTTTATGTCCACTTGCATGCCCTCTCATAGGTATAACAGTTTAGCCTTTAGGGAAGCTGTCTTTCAATGAAGTCTGATGGCGTGTGCAGGGGGTGAAAGCAAACCAGTCTTTGCTTTTAGCACAGATGTATTTGACATGGGTGAGTTTTGCTATTCTTGTGGAACTCACAGGATTGGACGATTAAACAAAACAGATTCTGTGCACAGTACATTTCTGTAATCTGAGATGCAACAGATTACAGAAGAGAGGAATTAGGACAATATGGAGTATCATTCCTTTGAAACATGTTAAGAGTCAAAAAGAGGTACACATTTGAGGGCACCCCCATATCTAGCTCATTTCAAGAGACCCACTCCTTACTATTGCAGATTGCTGAAGGTTACACACTCCAGTTCAGTCATTTACAGCCTGCTGATTTATAATGCCAAGAGGGTGATAGTTATTCTATTAGTTTATTGATTGCCTTCCCCATACAAATCTCAAGGTGATGTACAATAAAAGAACTTAAAAATCCCAGTTAAAAGCAACACAGAAAATAGCAGATATATTTGAAAAGGAAAAACAACAACCCACCCAAAATAAGACACCCATGGCAGAAATCCATTGATCCAGCTGGGAAGATCAAAAATGTTCTTCTGTTGTTTCCAGAAAGTGTTGACAGTGGGCTCCTCCTGTATCTCGACAGGAATGCTATTTAACAGAATGGGGGCAGCCACGATGAAAGCCCTGCACTAAGCAAAGGGAGATTTAGGGGAGCGTGACCAGTTCACCCACAGGGTGCCACAGGGGGAGCTACAAGGACTTAGAACAGAAGGTGAGGTGGGGAACTGAATTTTGGTTTTGCACAGGGCGCTGCTGAAATTCGAAAGCCAGAAGTCCACCACTTCTCCAAGTTACTGTGGAGTGGGCTTCTAAGATCTTTGGACTTGGATAAACTCTCCTGCAGAACAGTGGGATACGTAAGGGATAAAGGAGTTCTCAAGTAACCTGGTGCTCCTCATATGTTAGCACCAACACCTTGAACTTTGCCTGGTAGCAGATTGGCAGCCAGTGCAATCTCACAACCAAGTTGCTGTACACTGGCTGCACTTTGCCTTCATAGCCATCCCATTAGCTTGGTTAAAGATACACTAGGAAGTAAGCAAACATGATTGCTGTAAAATAGATTGTCAGCCATTTCAAATAAATCTGAGCGATCGCAAATGTGAAACATGTGAATGGCATGTTGCCTTAATGTTCATGTGCCACGTTTTCTTGGGGCTGATTTACAGAGGGTTAATTAAGCATGTGGCAACAAAACCAAGAGTCCTGTGGAATTTTAAAAGCGCAACGTTATGACGTAAGCTTCAGGGACTAGATAGGGCCCACTTGGTCAGATGTATAGAGTATCAACCTCAGTTGTCAGATATATCCGGACATGGGTGGAAGTAATGTAAAGGTGAAGCTAAATAGCAAGGGAATGAATAAACCAGTCTGTGGCTGTGTATGCGCCATCTTTTTAAAGCACATGGCTTCTTCCAAAGAATCATGGAAATTGTAGTTTAATTCTCACAAAGCAGTTCCCAGCATCCTTAACAAACAAGTTCCCAGGATTCCTGGGAAATTCTGCTTCATATATATATGGTGTGTGCACACAGCCTCTGACAACTTAAACGTATGCAAAATGATGCTCATGACATCAGTAAATGGTGACATCACAACCACCTTCGCTTTGCTAAACAAAATAACACCACTTTTGCCACAGGAAATTACTGGGTTATATCCACTGGCTAGTGCTATTCATATTCATTAGTTTCAATGGATCTACTCAGAGTAGGACTAGCATTGGACAGAACCCATTTTTTTTTCTATTCCAACCCTAATGAACAGAATCAAACTTACCAAGAAGGGTGGAAGCAAGTCTTAAAAGTTAGTAAGTTGCTTCTTACAATAACTCCGTTGGATTCTATTTTAAGAGATTCTAAGAGATGATAAATGTTTTGCACTTAAGACTAGACATGAGTTTAATTTACTTGCCATGTGCCTTGAAAAATTAGTAATTGAAAATAGCTTGTAGAGATGGAAGCCAAATTAGCCAACATACATAGACAACGGAGTAAGAAAGTTTACTAAAAATGTTATGATGTAGAAATTGCAAGATTGTATTTGATGATTCTGAAATAGTGTGTTTACATCTGACCTTGACTTTGTAAAGTGCATTGGATCCGGCCAACACACAGTACAGCCATTAAGCACTAGTCTGAGTGTTTTTGCAAAAAATCTTGCTAAATACCTCTCAAGATAAAGAGATAATGTGTGCAATTTCAAACAATTTTTAGGAGGTTATCTTTGATCTACATGCACAATACAAAACCATTTGCTCAGCTTCAAAACCCTTTGATAGAGAGATGTAAATGCTTTATTGCATAAATATTAGGACTACTGACGTAAAACTCAGAATTGCTATAAACAGCATTTGACATAGTCCATATTAACTGACCTCCCTAACTAAAAGCCACTAATAGCACAATTTCAAGTCCAGGCACAACTAAGCATTTAGATTTACAAGATTTTTGTCATAGGGAAGCCAGTACTTTACCCTTAAATAAAACCACCAGCCTGTAAGATGCATAAGGCTGAGAGAGATTGTCCTAACTTCACTCTGTGAGGTTCAGGGCTGAGGGGATCTGAGCATCCTCAGTCTTAGTCTCACACTCTAGCCACCATTGGCCCTCTAATCTGGGGCTTTCAGTACCTGCACTTACAAAACTGGAGATGTGGCAACTGCAATCTTAGAAAAAAACCCAAAAAAATTCGCTCTTGCAGAGCAAACGCCTTTTTTGTTATTCTTGCTGCAACATATGCCTGTATCATTTGAAAACAAAGGAAATGTGCTATTAAATTCTTAAGTATTTGGTTTTATTCATTTGCAAATTTAATCAAAAACTATTAGACCAACTTTGCTTTCTTTAATCACGTGGCAGCCCCAATTTCACTGGAGGCAAACTCTCACTATACATGTTGGGTGGATGGGAACCTCAGCTCTGGGGGCCAGAATGCAGCCCTTCAAGCCTCTGCAGGGCCATCTAGGTTCTCCCCAGGCCATGCCCCTCACTGGCCCTGCTTCAACCCCACCCCCCTTGCGTTTATGCTTGGCTGCAATGTGTGAACTATTGATACCTCCTGTTTGCCTTAATGAAGGACAGAGTGGGGTGTGTGAGCGTATAGAAAATACAGTGGTACCTCGGGTTAAGTACTTAATTCATTCCGGCCATGAGAACCACTGCCTTAAAATAAGACAGGGGAGAAGGAAGGAGTTAATGCTACATAATCACTAGGAATGTAAACTGAACGATCTTAGAAATGTCGCAATCCTCTATCATTTGCACAAATGGCAGTGAAGTACTAATCCAAAAAATACGTTAGGGACAGGGAACTACTTTAAGTCACACTGAAGTGGCAGAACACGCCCAGTGGGATTTAACATTTCCTTTAAAGAGCAGGTGCCCATGTCATGCCACTACCTGCTTTTGAGAGTCCCCTTGTTTTCAAGAGCGGTTTACCACATGGCACACTGGTGCTGCTCAAGAACTGCGCTTGTGCATGCAAAACTTTGGATGCAGGCCTATACTTATAAACATGGAATCTCCTATTCTTGTGCAATTACAGTGGTACCTCGGGTTAAGTGCTTAATTCGTTCCGGAGGTCCGTTCTTAACCTGAAGCACCACTTTAGCTAATGGGGCCTCCTGCTGCTGCCGCGCCGCCAGAGCCCGATTTCTGTTCTCATCCTGAAGCAAAGCTCTTAACCCGAGGTACTATTTCTGGGTTAGCAGAGTCTGTAACCTGAAGCGTATGTAACCTGAAGTCTATGTAACCCGAGGTACCACTGTAGCCTCCTGCAGAAAGGCAAGCTTTGTATTTGTTGCTCAGTTCACATTTGCCTTTGGCCCTGCCCATCGCTGGCAGAAAATTGCCCAGAAGGGAATGTGGTCCTCTGGCTGAAAAATCTTCTCCACCCCTGATACACATATTCCGTCTTACTAAACAGGGCTGTGACACCTTTTGGAGCCCAAGACTGAATTCCCTCAGATTGATGTTGAACTACAGCTCCCATATAGCAGGCCCACCGATCAAGCTTGTTGGGGCTACCATGCTTGCGGGGCTTTTCTTTCAGATCCACAAGTCCAGCAACTCACCAGCTGATCTCCAAAGACCAGTCTGGCCACGGGTCTAGATATTAAACGAAGTAAACAGGGGTCAGAAGAAAGTAAAAAAGTACAAAAATCAACATCTCCATATTGAAACAGAGTTTAAATTTAGAATCATTTTTGTACTTTTTTTTGTTCTGTTCCACCCCTACCTGCACCCTGTCCAAAACAAAGAAACAAAACATCAGCCCCTACTCTTTGTAACATCCAGACGGATGGAGAATACCGGAGAACTGGAAAGCTTATTTGCTATTTTCTGACATTTTGATTGGTCCTGATCAAAGTCATGCCTAACAGTGGATTTTGAAAATAGCATGCAATCTAGAAGATGCAATTACTAATTGCAATCTGGAATTGATATTGGGGTTACTAGCAACTCAATTCTGTTGATGTCATAGGCTTAATGAACTTTAAAAAAATAAAATAAAATAAAATAAATATTGTCACCTGGTGAGAAGTATCTGAATAAATAACGTATTTGGAGTATTAGGAGGTGTTTTAAAAAAACAAACAAACAAAAAACCTTGTTACCCAAGAGACTAAGGTGAGGAAATAGGTCCATTATTTAACTTTTATGCTATAATTGTAAGTCATATTAAATTGTATAATATAAAATAGATAATGAAGTACAGGCAAAAAAAAGATGCAATGCACATGTCATAAAAGGAAAGTCTGACTTTATATAGATCTGAATAACACAGGTCTGTATTAGCGGTTAGAAACAAGATTACAGATTGCTAAGAAAAATGCTGGCTCTCTATAGCCACCCTGTTCTCAAGGTGACTTTTCTGCTGAACTCCATTGACTTTTACAAGTTGTACTCAACAAAGTCATCCTATTGGTGCAAGGACATCCAGTTGGGACACAGAACATCTCCCCTCTCTCCTTGCGCTCCCCACATCTGCTCCAGAGGGTTTGGAAGGAGGTGGGGTTGGGCACACGGGAGGACAGAAGAGTGAGCAGACAACTCCTTGTGCTAACAGGACAACTTTGGTGGCTACAACCCTATGTTTAGGAAAGCAACTTGACAATGTGCTGCAACGCTGGTCATGTTGACTGCGGCACCTTCCTTTCCCCAAGTTTAAGGACCTTTCCTGGCAGACTTGACCAATTTCCCTGGTTTAATGGTCACAGAAGACTTTGCTTCTGTCTTCTTTGGGGTCTTTGTCTGCTCCTCCTCCAAAACGTTTTAGCTTCGGGTCTTGGGTTTCTTGTCTCGTCCGAGCAATTTCGATCCAACTCCAGGTGTTTTCAGTTGTGTTCCTGGAGACGGGGATGTCTTCCTCTTGCCAAGGAGAGTTAGAGTTGCTGCAGCTTTTTTGCCTGCTTTGATTTCTTTTCCTGTGGCAGGACTAGGCTCTAGCACCTATATTGAAGAGGGAAAGCAAGAGAATAAAGGCACTCATCAGGAGTCAACAGACTTTTTCCTTTTAAAAAATGATGATGGGAGCGATGATGAGCGGAATTCGGAACACACAGTAGTTCGATGTACGAACTCACCTGTTTTTGTTCACCATGATATGTGTTGAAAATAGAAAGATTTTATTCTTCTCCCCACTCGCTACCAAATGTCACTGAGAATAAAAGCTAGTGTTGGCTCTTACTTTTAAAGCCCTAAACGGCCTTGGTGCTGTATACCTGAAGCAGCGTTTCCACCCCCATTGTTCAGCCCAAACCCTAAGATCCAAGTCTGAGGGCCTTCTGGCAGCTCCCTCACTGTGAGAAGTGAGGTTACAGAGAAGCACAGAGGGGCTTCTTGGTAGTGGCGCCCGCTGTGTGGAATGCCCTCTCATCAGATATCAAGGAGATACAACCTTTAGAAGACATCTGAAGGCAGTCCTGTATCAGGAGGTTTTTAGTGTTTAATGTCTTATTATGTTTTTGCATATACTGGAAGCCACCCAGAGTGGCTGGGGCAGAAGAGTCAGAAGAGTGAAATATAAATAAAGTAATAATTATTATTATTATTCCTGTCTGGCACAAACTGCACCTGAACATCATCATTGGATTTTGTTCACCTATCAAGCAAAAAATAATAATCTCTGCTTCCTTTCTTCCAAATCTCAAGCAAAAGATCCCCTGCCAGTTTGTCGCTTTCCTTTTCAACATTTTCTGTCCTTTGCAGATACAATGATCACCTTTCACGAAGCAGTGTAAATGCTTTTTCGTCTAGTGCACTCTTATTAAAATGTATTTGCCTATTTTCTTAAGTAAGTTATGTATTATATTTCATTTATTTTACAAGATTCATAACCCACCCTTCACTGTAAGATCCCGGGGTGGGTTACAGAAGTTTTATCTAGAAATGGATAAAACCATCAAAATGGTAAAAACAAGTAAAACGGTTCCTGATGAAATGAAACCGTGAATTAACCAAAGAGGTGGAGTCCCCCCCCCCAAAAAACCCCACATTAACTCCGTCAAAGGCAAGGGTAAAGAGGTGTCTCTTCCGCATATGGGAAAAAACTGTAGAGTGAAGATAACCAAATTCACCTTTGAGGGGATAGAGTTCCACAATTTAGAGGCTGCCATGAAGAAACCCCTTTCCTGGCCTACCGTCCCCCCTGCTTCTGAGGGTGGCAAAACGACCACACAGAAACCCTCACATTCCATTCCATGAGAGTACAACCTGTGTCCCTGTGCATACAAATAATTCACACAAACACACCCACAGCTTGTGCCTGTGTTCAGCATACCGTGTGGACAGCCCTGCAAGGTATCTGGAACAGAATCTTCTGTCAAGTTGAAGCTCCAATTGTAACTCAGCCAGAACAAGATTGGTTTACCTTCTCATTTTTCACACCGGGAGATGCTTCGATTGGAACCAGCTGTGGAATGTCTCCATCCTCATCTTCTTCCGCTTTGACAACGGCAGAGACTGCTGCTGCTGCTGCCTTCTTTCCCCCAGCAATGGCAGGAACCTGGCTGATTTCTCCTGTCGCCCCGGCTTTAGCCAAGTTCTTCTTTCCAGCTGTCTTTTTCCCTTTCTTTTTCTTCTTCTTCGCTTGGTTTTCCTGGAAGGTATTTATTAATTTCCTTAGCGCCTTCATCAAAAGACCACACCAAAACAGACAAATGGGTACACACCATGTACCAATGCACATTTCCCAGAACGTTTTTGGATCTTCCCTCTAGTTCCACATACAGCCAACCCAGCACCCTCCGAATAGTAGAACTACAATTCCCAAATGTGCCTATTCGACTGCTTTGATCTGTGGAACCCAATACTCATTCTGCAGTCGTAAATCCACACCTACATTTTGGAACTCCCCGTCTATTGACCTTTACAGCTCTCTTTCCCGTGCCTACTTAAAACATTTTGTTTAAGCCTCTTCAGACATGCAGAAGTTACAAAATACTAAATAGCTGTAGTTATTTAACCAGCCAGGAGGACCACTCTTGCTGAAAGCGCCCACTATGTATGCATGAGTCAGTCTCCTACCTGTTCAACTTCGGCATCTGGCTGTTTCTGAGGAATTCCTTTTATGGGATTACTACAGGTAAAGATCGGAAGAGCAACAGATTTGCTCATCTTGAGATGAAGGATCTTAACACTTTTCCAGATCTGCAGCAATTGTGTGTTGTTGTTTTTATTTTAAAAAAGAAAGAAAAGGAGGTTATTGAAAGAGGGCAGACACAAAGCAAACCGCTTTTAATAAAAAGATGGATGGCCCAATTCCATGCATATTTACTTGGAAATAAGCCCCACCAAGATTAATGGGATTTACTTCTGGATGAGTGTGCAGAAGAGATGCCTTAACCCCTCACCTAACTGAGCATCATTACCTGGGGGGCTTTCGTGGCTAACACTTTCACGGCAGCAACGACGTTTTCAGAGATCTCCGAAGCCTCCATGCCACTGTGACCAACACGTATAGAACTGAAAAAAGAGAGCAACATCTGGAGTCAATACCCTGCTGAATGGCAGTCCTTCAGCTGTCTGTTCTTTACCTCTAAAACAGGGTGGTGCGGACTTTGGGGGAATGGTCTTGTGGGCCAAATGTGGAGGCCAGGTGGGGCAGGTTCAGCCTGTGGGCTGGAGGCTCCCCACCACCTGCCCTGGAGGATCAGATTGAAGGCCCATCTAGTCTAGTATCCCGTGTCTTACAGTGGCCTCTGGGAAACTGAGAAGCAGGGCATGAACACAACAGCCCTTTCCTGTCTGTATTTCCCAGCATTCCTCAGAGGAAAGCTGCCCTTGAACAGGTTCCACCTTGGTGCTTATGGTTCTGGATTGCTCTCTGCCACGGTCTCTCCCTGCTCACTAAACCTTGTTGCCTCTTCAGCTTCTGACACCTCCTTCTCCTCCTCCTCCCAGTCTGCTCCCTCTGACCACTCATCATCATCCCACCACCAGTTCCCTGGCTCTGAGCCTTCTTTCCCTGAGGATTCTCCAGCTTGGTGTCTCCCACCTCTCCTCTGCATCCAAGCCAGTCCATGACATCTTTCTTAAAATAAATACCAGGGTGAAGAACTACAAAGCACATAATGATAATGATAACACAGTCAACTTGCAACTCACTGGGAGACTGTAAAGCCGAAATCGCATATAGCCAAGAGAACCCCGGAACTGCCCCCCACCCACGACCACCCCCTACCTTTCTGAAGTCGGTGCGCTGAGCGGGCCTCACTTACTGGCAACTGGGAGTCTCTCTTTTTTAATATAATATTTTTATTAAGTTTTCCATTTTAACAATCCAATCAAATCACATTAAATATTCCAAATTATACAAATACATATCATAAAGTCCAAATATTTTGCCAAATTATAAATTTTTGTTGGGGCTTCCCATGCTTCAAGTTCAGTTCAATCTTCTTATGTTTCTACTGCCTTGAGTTCCCAAAAGTTCCTTCTTTGAGCCCTCCTGTTGTTATCCTTCTTGGCAACTGGGAGTCTCAGAGCTCAGTAAGAAAGCCTGAAAGCTCTTTCCACCCTGAAAGAACCGTTAAGCTGTCTAGCTTGTGTGCGTTTAATCTGTGCAATTTCAGATGGCCAACTGCCAAGCCCATAAGGCTGCGATTGTGCAAGTTAAATATGCACAAGTTGCGAGTCAACTGTGGTTACCAATAATAAAATAATTTATATACCACCTTTAGGTTCAAGAAGAAATACCATGAATAGCCTGAGACAAGTCTGCTCCTTTATTAGCATGGGTGGTAGTCAACTAAATTTTACGCAGAGCAGACCCACTGAAATTAACAAACAGGACTGAGTCAGGCCCATTAATTTCAAAGAGTGTATGTGGAGTAAAAATTGGCTGAATATTCCCCTTTGTCTTTTGGAATGTCTTTGGGTTAGCATCATGTTGTAAAATGTCTGAAATGCCTGAGAAGCAATGCATAAATGCAGCCAGTAAATAAATTCATAGCCTGGTTGATGATAGTTAAGTATCAAAATTAATACTTACTAGCAACAGCCCTTGTTTGTGACTGGAAGAATAGTGCCTTGGAGATGCTTGTTTATTTCCTTAGAGAGGTCCTTCGCTTTCAGATTCACAGACACAGGAGCCCTTATATGATAGAAAAACGCAATATTTCAGGAAGAGTTCAGCATCCTTAGTAGAATTTGGTAGAAATGAAACATGGACAAGTGAGGGTACTTACTTTTTACTCCTATAGAAGTGTTTCCCTATGTGCGATGGCAGAAGCCGCCGAATCCGGTCATCAGCCAAAAAGAGAGAAAATCGACTCAGGAGGCGACGCTTTGCTTCGTAAGGTTTATATTCTTTTTTCAGTGTTTTGTAGGAGATGACCTTCAGATACAGGGGTGAGGTTGGTTAGATTACACTACAGCATTTAATTAAAAGATAAAATAATGATGATTACAGTTTATTTATTTATACAGCACTTTAGATTCAAAGAGCCCCAACTGAAAAACAGAATATTGAAACAATAAAATAGAAATTGAAAGAACATAAAATGACATAGATCATGATGATTCCAATGTATTTTATATGCCGCTTTAGATCTAAAGCAGTGAAGAGCATTTTCAAAATGAAATGTACAATAAAGCATAACATGACATGGATGCAAACCAATATGAGGCAGATTACTACATGGTATATAAATACTTTAACTCAGTTGTGGGGAACCTTTGGCCTGTCAGATGTGACAGGAGAACAACTCTAGTAACCATGCCTGCTAGGACTGATGGGAGATTTAGCTCAGCAACATCTGCAGGGCCAAAGGTTCCCCAGATTTAGGGTACTTATATATCACTTAAATCACTGACATTTCTAAGATGAGGCCTTAGGCTGCATTCGTAAGTCAGGCTAAACCAACTGATGAAGCTCAGAGTTCCCTCTGTACCTCGCTAATCCTTGTGATCCCATGCTGGGACAAGAGTTTCCTGTACAAGTTCTCAGTCTGCTCAGCTGTTAAGCCTGGCTCATCTTTTGTGAAGAGGCAAACATCTGATGTGGCCGGCAAAATATCATGAGGCAGTGTTCTAGAATAAAGAGAACAAGATTTTAAGAATGCACAGTAGTTTCCAGCTGGAGTCCAAGCTCAAAAAAGGAAAATAGATTATTTAATCAGTTAACACAGATAAGCTGTGAAGGCATGTTACAGTTCTGATTATTTTTTTTACATGATTCTAATTATGTTTTTATTTTATTTTCTCAATTATATTGAAAAGGTAGGTAAGGCTGAGAGGCAGTGGCTGGCCCAAGATCACAAAGTGACCTTCACAGCTGAGTGGGGACTTGAACCCTGGCCTCCCAGGTCAAAGCTTGCTTGAATGTGGGTAGTGTCATTTCGGCTATATAAGTGATGTCACTCACAGCCTGGCCATTGGAAACAGAGGGAATGATTGACAATAATGAATACAACTGAAGCAAAAGGCATTCATGGTCAAAGACATTACAGCAGAGCAGCAAAACCCAGAGCCTTACATTTTGATGACTTGATCACGTGGAGGGATTTTCCAAACAGTGACCATCAGAAATACATGCTGGTCCTCATTCAACAGCAGCTTCTCTGCCTTTTTTTGCTTACTGGCGCTGAATGCAAGGAGGGCCTGGGCTGCTTTTTTAATCTGAAAGAGCAAATCCACAAGAAGGTCTCATTAAAAAAAAATGATAATCTCAAAGCAGGTAATAACCTCAGCTGAAACCTCAAATGAAGCATTACAGATGTTATAGAAAATGTGGGGTTGGCTATTGCTGCCCAATTCCCCAAGGCACTGAGTCTCCTAAGTCCATGATTGGTCAGAGATGAATGGATGGAGGCAAGGATCCAGTAGAAAGCAAGGCAGATCTTTTTTGTCTGGTTGCAACAGAGTCCCCGTCCCCTTGCAAGAAGGTGTGAGAGACCCAAAACAAGGGTGTGCAAGCCCCTATAAAGACTTTTGAAACTGCCCACCCCTTAGCCCAAAACCACCCCAAAAACATCATAGAAACATCACAGAAGGAGGTAGTCTCCAGCAGTACTGTGAGTGCAACTTCTCTCCTGTCTATCAAGGTACCCGATGAAGCCTTTCTGATTGCATTTGTCTGGGTAGCCCAGCCATTACTTTCAGGCTGCAAATACTTCTTTCCTGACTCTTTTTTAAAAAAATTACGCCTGCTGATAATTTGTTCACCTTCCAAGATACTTGCCAGACTGGGTTTGCAGGGAGGATTTGCAAGTGAAAAGAAAAATTGGAAAGTTTTCCCCATCCTCCTACTGCAGAAAAATATTTGAGGTACTTTGGGGAGAGTCAAAATAGCTTCAGAATTGCTCTCCTGTACTATTTTAGACACATGGTTCTATATCCGAGACCTTTGAATTCTTATAACACAGATGAACTCCACAAAACAGCATGATTCGTAACTAAACAAAATTTCTGATACAGAAACTACACCCTCACTCCCCTTCCTGATACAGCAACCTCTCCAAAATGCATCCTTAGCAATAAAGTACTCCACATCCAAGCACCACTCTAGGCATTCCAACCAACCATACAGATAACTAATCCCCAGCCAACCCATTATTAAAGAGCAAGTGTTTTGTCTACAAAAATACATAGCGGCATTAAGCATAATTTACAATTAGCTCAATCCTTCACCTCCATCTAGTGTAGGGATGGGAAACCTGTGGCCCTCCAGATGTTGATGGACTCCAACTCCCATCACCCATGCTGCCTGGGACTGACGCGAGTTGGAGTCCAGCAAGATCTGGAGGGCCCACAGGTTTTCAACCCCTAATCTAGGCCAACACATTGGCATACAAGCAGCAAAGTAACTGCTTCACACCTTCCTCCATGTCATGCATAGTCTTACAAACTTCTATTATGCCACCTTTTACTCACCTTTTCTCTAACCTAAAAAGGCCCCAGAGCTGCAACCTGTCCTCATAAGGGTTTTGATCCATCCCTCTATATTTTTGGTTGCCCTTTTCTGAGCTGGTATAAGAAAGCAGGGGCTGTCCTTTGCAAACAGTTCCAAGTTGTTTAAAAGTTACTTAGCAGTCGGGTTTCTTTCCTACAGGATTCGAAGTCACATCTGGCTGTTCTCTCTCCTCTCCTCTTCCCCCTCTAAATCCCCCCCCCCCATTTAGGGCTAGGCTGAGAGGGCCTGGCCCTGCTGAACTTCACCAGGGCCGGATTTAGGTTTGATAAGGCCCTAAGCTACTGAAGGTAATGTTTATATGTTGCCATGTAACCAGACCATGCAGAATGTAGGCACCCTACATGCAGAAATGAGCAAACCAGTGATATTTTAGGGAGCAGGCTAGCAGGCAGGGTCCATGACTTACATCACAGGAGCCTACACAACACAAAACACTGTTGCTGTCTGTAGGTTTTATTTGTATTTTATCTTATATTTTGGAAATGTACATCCAGGTTCCCCCCCACACTTTTAATTATTTTGGGATCCCCCAAGAGAGTGGGGCCCTAAGCTATAGCTTGTTTAGTTTATGCGTAAATCCGGCGCGGTCAGATCTTGATGCCAGCTCCCCTCAGTCCTACTCCAGCACCCGTTGATCGCCACCCCGCCAGACTCCGAATCAAAACCGAGAGGCGCCCGTTCGTGCCGCGGAAAGCCCAGCGGCTGCCTCCGCTGCAGCGAGCGCCACGCCGGAGAGAAGCCCCCAAGTGCTGCATTCCTTCCCCCTCCCCGCCAAAGCGGCGGCCACCTCTTCTCACCTGCACTTGATCCACAGGAAACTCGGTAGCTGGATCCATGCTGCCGCTTCTCCTCGTGCGCCAACACACCTCGGCGAGCGGCAGTGACGTCACCCGCAGCCGACGCGTAAAAAGGCGAGGGAGGGAGGGTTTCCGCGGAGGCTGAGAGTGAACCAGCTAGACTTCCGGTCTAGTCTCCATAGGAGCCGAGGAGGGCGACGCTTCCTCTCTATGGTGAAACTGGAGCGCTAGAGCGGCGAAGCTCGAATCTTGTTTCGCTTCGGGCGCCATTTTTGGACTCTCTCGGGGCGGAGATGCAGGACAAGGGAGAAAACTCGAAATTTTAATGCAGCTGTTGCTGTGCTATTAATACCCTCCCACTCGCTCTAAATAAAAAGTAGCAAAGTCAGGAGTTGCAGCCCTGATGTCTTACCATCTGTTATTATTATTACATTACTTTGATCATTGTTGTTCCGCCTTTTCTCTAGCAGGGACTCAAGGCGGCTTACAGATAAAATAGAAACAGCTAAAAGCATTGGGGAAATGCGCTTTGAATTTTTAAACGTTTAAGAACGGGAATCGTGCCTGCGCAAAGAGTCCAGTGGAGCACCTTCTGCTAAAAGCTGGATCTGGAAAGAGAGGAAGTCCTAGGGGACGATTTAAGGATATTGCTGCAACCACTGAAAGGGTTGTGGTTTATCTGCAGGGACGGAGCACAGGGGGTCCTTGGGTTTTAACTTTTATTAATTAAAAATGTATACATCGCTTGTTTGTAGAACAACTGCAAAGCAGTTTACAAAAAAAAGTGGAATTGTAGGTAAAACAATCAAAACATTCAAAAACAATAGTTAAAAAACAATTCAGATAAAAGTGCATCAACATTAAATACTTGGGTAGGCTATAAACAAAAGCATGTGCCCAAAACTACAGAGAAGGCACCTATAGACGCTTACCCGAAAGCGGTCGAGTGGGCAGATCACAAGGAAAGTTGTCAAGGGTTTTATATACAAATATAAACCTTGAACTTGTCTGGGAATCTTTAGCTGGGAATGTATACCAACTTAACCTTAATATTTCTGTATTTCATAGTCATTGTTAGTGCTTAAGAGTGTCAGAGGGTCTGGGAAAACAGTTGAAATCCTCGCTTCATCCAAAAGGCTTATCTGGTTAGTCACTTTCTCTCAGCTTTAGAGAGTCACAGAATTGTTGAGATGATAAATTGGGAAAGTGGATAACTATGTTTGCCACCTTGAGCTCCTAGGGTGGGGCAGAGGGAAGACAGGATGAAAATGTATGGGAAGCCCTCTCAGTGCTATGCATAGAAATCAGAAAACTGAAATAATAGTTTCATATGTATATGGGGTAATCTTGTTGTTTGGTCATCTTAGTAGTGTTTGACTCTCTGTGACCCCATGAACCAGAGCATGCCTTGGAAACTCACTTTCTTCTCAGGGCACTTCCCTCTTATTTGCCAGGTCTTGGTTTTTAGTTTGTCTCCCACTAGTTTTTCAAAATTATATACTTTATTACATATTTGATACCACTGAGTTAGACAATGGTTTAGATTCATGTAAGATGCTTTAAGTACCGAGTCATCAAAAACCTGCAGGTAGCAGGAGTATATTGTAATTTCATTTAAACAGAAAATAATGGATAAAATGATTGTCCATGTAAAGCAAAATTCTATAGCTGGGCAACAGAACACATATTTGAGTCTGTTTACTTGAGACCACTGGTCCCATCACCTCCTGGCAAATAGAAGGGGAAGAAATGGAGGCAGTGAGAGATTTTACTTTCTTGGGCTCCATGATCACTGCAGATGGTGACAGCAGTCACAAAATTAAAAGACGCCTGCTTCTTGGGAGAAAAGCAATGACAAACCTAGACAGCATCTTAAAAAGCAGAGACATCGCCTTGCCAACAAAGGTCCGTATAGTTAAAACTATGGTTTTCCCAGTAGTGATGTATGGAAGTGAGAGCTGGACCATAAAGAAGGCTGATCGCTGAAGAATTGATGCTTTTGAATTATGGTGCTGGAGGAAACTCTTGAGAGTCCCATGGACTGCAAGAAGATCAAACCTCTCCATTCTTAAGGAAATCAGCCCTGAGTGCTCACTGGAAGGACAGATCCTGAAGCTGAGGCTCCAGTACTTTGGCCACCTCATGAGAAGAGAAGACTCCCTGGAAAAGCCCCTGATGTTGGGAAAGATGGAGGGCACAAGGAGAAGGGGACGACAGAGGACGAGATGGTTGGACAGTGTTCTTGACGCTACCAACATGAGTTTGACCAAACTGCGGGAGGCAGTGGAAGACAGGAGTGCCTGGCATGCTCTGGTCCTTGGGGTCACAAAGAGTCGGACACGACTAAACGACTATACAACAACAACTTGAGAAATACCTCCAAAAAGTCCTCAAGCTCTGCCAAATGCAGAATTTGAAAAGCAGCAGGGGAAACTGGCACTAATCAGTAACAGTAGTGCTTTTTACATCCCAAAAATGCAGCTTCTACATCACGGGTGGAACCTTTTTCAGACCGAGTGCTGCCAGGTAAGCCTCTCTCAGGAGAGCATTCCACAAACGGGGAGCCACCACCAAAAAGGAAATGTGGCATTTTAAGGAAATTTCTCACTCATCCTTGGGTATTCCTTTCCTGCAGTCTGATGTGATACAGCCCAGAGACAAATTGTTACAGGCTTAGTGACAAGGCGGCAGTATTCCCTTCACACATTCATCTACGAGAGCAGTAGGGAGCCTGTGGGCCGCCAGGCGTTGCTGGACTACAACTCCCATCAGACCCAGCTAGCTGCTTGTAGTCTAGCAAAATCTGGAGGTGCACAGGTTCTCATTCAAATGCTATAAGAAGCTAAGAATGCCATACATTGTAAAACTGCATCCTCCTGTCAGACAAAGGCACTTACTAAATCTTTATGTGCAAACAATCTACTCTTAGTTCCCACCTTAGAGCTGAACTCCTGTATTTGATGGCACCTGTTAAAATGTCGCAATACCCTAAATAATTTTAGCTGTACAATGCATATGTATGCATGTCAATTCTTTCAAAATATTTCATATTTAATTTGATAAATTTAACTGGTTTTGTCAGCAGCCTAATACCACTACCATCCTATCCATGATTTAGGTTCACATCCAATATTCAACCAGCAAAACAAGCAAGCGTGTTTTGATTGGTCAGAGACACGACACTAAGCCTTGAGATTTAAAAGAAGTCGCTGGAGGCATGACACAGGTTTTTAGTATTCTTTATTGGACCACAGCTTATTCAGGTTGTTTGACATGGAAGGTAAGGGGAGAAATAAGACTGGAAAATGTGAGAGATGTTTTATGATTCCAGCAAAAATGATTGACACTGGATGGGTAGACTTCTCAAATGACATCTTCTGCGACACATAAAAGACAACGGATGTAAGATTTGAATCAATAAAAACCCCCAGTTTTTGCATCAGAGACCTCGGATTGGCACTTGTCATTGACAGAAGGCAACCTTCATGCCATTTTCATTCATTGCAAGGACTGGGGTTGTTCAACTGCGTGCAGGAAATGCAGCAGTGTTTCCAATTTGTAGGTAGTAGAGGGCCAGGAACCACAAGCTCTGGGGGTGAATGCAGCCCCCGCCCCTAACTCTGCTTAACACACCCCTTGGGTGTTTTCTTCCTAGCTGGAATGTCCTTATAGTGACTCCCGCTTGCTTATACAGGGTGCATTTAGAAACCAGCTTACTGTACGAAAGTAAAATTTGCATTCATTGCTCCACCTGCCACTGGCATGAGGCCAACATGGGTTGCCCAAGAGGATCCTCACCCATTACAGAATATTAATCAGGAGGCTTTTATGGCACATTCCAGTTTTGCGTTTAATCACTGCTTACATTACTAAGCTTTCAGATTCAAGAACACACTCCAAAGTCATTTATCATCAGCAGAGTTTGAAATAATAGTTTTAAGTCATGGCTATTAACACAGTCAATCCTTTCCAATCTCACATTTTCAAGCTTTCTCCTCAAGTCTAGCCAGGGTTTCTATTTTTCCCCCTAGAAGAAAAATACAAAACAGCCACAAACATTGATGAAGGGTTTTAACATGATTAGTGGCAAGATGTGGTCGTAGCACAGCTGCAAACTGTTTAACAGGAACTTCTTGACTTGACTTAGAAACATTCATTCATAGAACATTCATAAAATTGTAGAGTTGGAAGGGACCCCAAGGATCATCTAGGCCAACCCCCTGCAATGCAGGAATATGCAGCTGTCCTATACAGGAATTGTACCTGCAACCTTGGCATTATTAGCACCGTGCTCTAACCAACGAAGCTATCCAAGCAGGAATTTATATCCTGTATATAAATTTGTGTGGAATGAGTAAACCAGAGGGTTTAAATTGTAACCTTTCTATCTTGGGGAGAAAAGATGGAGCCTCCAGAATTTACTTAATTGACTTAGGATACTATCACTATCCTTCAGTCTTAATGCTTTCACAGCTCCTGAGGCACACACCTTGGTTTAGTGATGCCTCACATGAGCTCTGGTGCATGTAGGAAGCTCCCTTACCAATTAAGGTGCCTCCATTCAGTTCAATGGGCAGGGTAGAACTTGTGTGTAACTGGTGTGGGGGACCTCTGACCCTCCAGACATTGTTAAATCCCATCAACGCTGGACATTGGCCAGGCTTGCTGAGGCTGATGGGAGTTGTAGTTCAGCAATACCTGAAGTTCAGCATGATTCCTCAGAACTACCCAAGAGGTTGCTTTACACTTACTAAGCTTGATTTAATACAATGAAGAGAAACTTGCAATCTAAATCACGTAACTGGAGAACTCTTTGGGACTTTAAAGCCTTAGGTTCTGAATGCAGTGGTAACACACATTAACACCCAAGCCCCCGTTTTCTTGAATCAAGTCCTTTCCATTTCAATTATATTTAACCCTGGAATGAGTGCATTCAGCACTGCAAATATAACTGAATTCCATATGCCATATGACAACTTCAGTTAGCATTCCTATTCTTAAGTTCTGCAGTTCCTCAGCAAACGCACATTTAGGGCAATGTAACTGATTCACCCACACTGATCACTGAGCCAAGGGGTGTGCTGCAAGTATGATATAAAGCACATGCAGAATGGAAGGCGAGAGGGGGCTGAATTTTCGCACAGGGTGTCACTGAAATTTGAAAGACCAAAGTCTGCCCCTGTCCTCAAGTGCAACTTTTGCTCTAAAGAATGACTGCATTCAACGACTACTAGCTTCTTTAGCTGCATCTCTGCCTCCAAGAATTGTCATTTGCTATGTCAGGAAGAAAAAAACCCTTCACCAAGTACATTATTCACTAGCAATCGTCTCAAAGGAAAGAGGCGGAGCTTGAGACGCAAACACAGCACAACTTAACACCTGAAAATGGTAAGCTCATCACCTCAGGCAAATCTTTCAAAGACTGTTCCTTCAGCTTACATTATAAAGTAAGAAAAAGGAAAATCTGGATTATTTCTGAATTTTTCAGCTTTATCTGAATTCTTTAGCTTTGTTTTAAAAGTTATTGACTTTAAAAGCTTTCAGATTCCCAGAAAAATAAAAGCCCAGAAATTTGCAGACATAATAAAATTTATTTAAATTTCATGCATTACGGTAGCTACAAGTGTAGTCATATGAAATTGAAGGACAATAAACTTTGCTTCGTCCATACAATGTAGCCTCAAGTGAAATGGATGGGAGGTTCCACAGTTACAAAGAAACAAAAAAGGGCAAACATTTTAAATTTAGAATTGTGTAAAATGAAACAGTCACATGACTGTAAACTTTAGGGGAAAGGGCACATTACTATTTGAACATACACTGCAAAGGATTTAATTGGAGAAGCACTTTGAACAATATTGGAAGTCAGCCTTCTTATATGAACCTAATAATGGAGATTTGCCATTAAACACTTTGAATATCATTGCACCTCCCTTTCAACTCTTTCCCTAATTCTTTATAGCAATGGTACAGACCAACATTCAGCCAAGTATAAAGTTTACAACCCCTGTTCCTTTGAACTGCCAACCACAAATCCTTTTATTCACTTTTGCTTTCCCTTAACTCAAATTGCTTTGATATGCAGAAATTTATAGACTGTGCTTGATTCTACTCTCAATTTTAATGAGCAAACAAACCTTCTGGATTAAATAAGTGGCACTTGCTGAATGAGCCATCATTCAGCCGCTGCCAGTTGAGTGAACACCTACCACTCCTCTATGGCCTATTTGGTTTGCTTCAAATCTCTTTTTTTAAAAAACAAAACAAAACCCAGCAACCAAAGATTCTCCCATCTTCCAAGTTAAAAGGTAGAATGAACAGCGCAACTTTATCATAAACTGGTACCTGTGCTTAGTTTTTAGACCAAACATCATGTACCAGCATTATTGCCAGAGATGTCACGTAACAGTCCTGCTAATTTTATTGGTTAGCATTTTCTGCCAGAAAGGATTTGATGGTATAATTCAGGGCACTGTAGGTAGATCTAGCTCACCCCAGTGCCTTAAAAAAATCAAGTTAAGTTTGTTTGTAGATAAAGTGATGCAACACTAATTAAATAGTACCATACTTGCATGAACATATTTAATTTTTTTAAATCCACCATAAGGAAAGGGAGAAAGAAAGTTTCTTTAGTACAAATTTTGTCAATTGTCTAATTGCTTCATTTATAACTTCGTCCGGGAGGCGGCAAAGGGAAAGAGTTGGGTTTCAGAAAAGCCTAAGTAATTGAATATTCAGATTACTTGGCAGGTTAAAAGCTAATGCAACAGGTGTTACATCTGGATAAAAACATTATTCAAAAGCAATTAAGATACTGAAAAAAGATTTCAAATTGAATAGTTTATTAACATGGTAATTGTCTTTGTAACATGTGCACACACGCTTGCACACTCTTAATGATCTGCCTTGAAAAATGTTTCAATATGCTGGGAGAGGGGAAATAAACATAAATCCTATAGATTTTTCATAATTCTAGGCAATTATGTCCACATCACTTACAAAGCTATTGCCAAATCTTTCCAAGGAAGCAGAATTTAGGAGGAAGGGGGAGGAAAAAAAAACTTTGGGGGGGAATTCAACAGTGGCATAGCAGAGCTCTCAATATGAGAAAGCTGACATAATGTGGACCTTTGCTGTGAAATCTCATCTTTGCAAATATAGGGAGAAGGTTATCAATGGGAAGAAAATAAGAAGGCGATGTGAAGTAGGCTTTTGCAGAGTCAATTTTTTCCCCTCACAGTATTTGTGCAGGCTTGTCAAAAACAATGCTTAATCCTTCTCTGGAACCAATTTCAGAACTTTTCCAATTGCAATGGTCTTACCTAAACAAAACACAGAAATGGTTTGTTAGGAGACATACATGTGTGAACCTTTAAAAAACCTTCCAAGTAAACAAACAGTCACACAGATTTCACACAAAACCTGGTTTGCACTTAACAATGAACTGGGGGGGGGGGTTAGCTTATTTGTACATGCAAGCCTGTCACAACCAACTATGGTTTGTTTGTGGTCAACAAACCAGAATATGAAACCATGCTTCTGATGCTGGCTTATGTATCTTGGCTTGCATTAAACATGTTTTCTCGTTACCTCTGGACCTTGGGCTTAACCCTCCTTCGTTTTTGCATCTTGCCCTATACGCACGTGGCGATAAAGGAGCAAAGCAAGAAAATTTAGAAAATCAAACCAATGTTAAGTGGAATAAGTCACAGTTATTTTGCTTGTCAGAACCTGGTTTGTTCAACAAACTATGGCAGAAACAAACCATTTAGTACTGCATATAAATGTAGAAAGTGCTACCTCAATCTACACACTAGTTTTTGCAGAGAGGCTTATGCTCTTCTTAATGAACTGTAATAAAATCTTCCTTCCCAACAATGGAAATGGATACAGGGCTTCTGATTTTTTTTTTTTGTACCAGAGAATCTGCATTTCAGCTGAAACCAATTTGCTCCCCCTAAATTCTATGCCAATTTTTACATTCCTCTGGATATTTACTAAAGTTCAATTGATTTTCAACAACTGACATGCAGTGCTGTTTATATATGACAGTCAGCAGCTTAAGATACAGTGGTGCCTTGAGTTACATACGCTTTAGGCTACATACGCTTCAGGTTACAGACTCCGCTAACCCAGAAATAGTACCACGGGTTAAGAACTTTGCTTCAGGATGAGAACAGAAATCGTGCAGCGGCAGCGCAGCAGCAGAAGGAGGCCCCATTAGCTAAAGTGGTGCTTCAGGTTAAGAACAGTTTCAGGTTAAGAATGGACCTCCAGAATGAATTAAATACTTAACCCGAGGTACCACTGTATCATCTTCCAGCCTTCCTCGCCCTGGTGCCCCTGCAGATGTTTTGGATTACAGCTTTCAGCATCCTGACCACTGGCCTGTTTGGCCAAGCCTCACAGGACTTGTAGTCCAAACATCTGGAAGGCACCAGGGTGGGGAAGGCTGTCATATACGTGCCTTCCAGAATTAAAGCTGGCAAAAGCCGATACATCCAAAGCATGGAATTTTATTTTCTATGATTCAGCAACACAAAGTAAAAAACAACAAAAAACCAAGCCATTTTCAAATCCTCTTACCCTCATCTCTTAAGGTGAATCGACCCATCTGAGGGAAGTCTTTGAATGTCTCAAGGCAGATAGTTCCTGCCGTCCTTAAACGGGCAATACATACTTGATCTTGTTTAACAAAACGGGGCCGTGTCTTGCTTTTCTCTCCTGATTTTTTGTCTACCAGACAGATTAAGGCCTACAGAAGGAAAGAGAAAAGATATAAAACATGTGCTCTCTTTTTCCAGCAGAAGCCCTGGTCCTTTAATAGCTGTTTTTGAGGTGTCCAGCAGGAAAAACCACAACAGTTTCATTGTTATTTGGTTTTTCCCCACCCCCTTAACCTGAAATAAAGCCTCTCTCAAAAGAAGCTCAACACCTCAACTGAAGCACAGGAAGAATGATAGGTTGTATCCAATGCTAGCACAATTCAGAGCAGACCCACTTAAATTACCGTATTTTTTGCTCTATAAGACTCACTTTTTCCTTCCTAAAAAGTAAGGGGAAATGTGTGTGCGTCTTATGGAGCGAATTCAGGCTGCGCAGCTATCCCAGAAGCCAGAACAGCAAGAGGGATTGCTGCTTTCACTGCACACTTGCTGTTCTGGCTTCTGAGATTCAGAATTTTTTTTTTCTTGTTTTCCTCCTCCAAAAACGAGGTGCGTCTTGTGGTCTGGTGCGTCTTATAGAGCGAAAAATACGGTAATAAGCACAGCTAACTTAGGTCCATTAATTTTAATGGGTGTACTCAGAGAATAACTTAGTTGGATGTACCACTATATATTCCTTTCACAAGGAGTTTTACCCTATGTTACTTCACCTGATACACACTTTCAATATTCTTAGTAAAATACTATTTCAAAACATAATGATTTTGAATTACATGAATGCACTGGGCTATTAAATCAGGCATGCCCAAAGTCCATTCTGGGGGCCTAATCTGGCCCGCCGGTCGGTTTAATTCGGCCTGTGTGGCAGTTTATTTCCTGGGGTAAAATCCTTAAAAAAGCTTAACAACTTTGGTCGGCCCTCACGGCCCTTCACTTCATTAAATCTGGCCCTCTTTGAAAAAAGTTTGGACTGCATTTAGCCATAAGTCATAACAACATGATGCTGAGACCATCTAATGGTGGCAGTGGGAGATTACTAAATACACAGCAAAAACTGAGATAAAAAACCCCCATTTGCACAATTAATAGACACTTCACTCAAACCTTTTGCCACCACTGTGTATCTTTTAATCAAAGAAGATGAGAGAAATACTCACTGTGATCTCAACTTCTTCAATACAGGTATGAATATGCAGCACCGCATTGTAACCTGGGCAGATGATGGATTTATGCTCAATTATCACTATCTGTAATCAATAAGAATAACTAAGTAAACATAATGTAGAAAAACACCAATTTCTTATGGATATTGGGTAGTAATTCCCTCATCTCTCTTTCCCTCTGGAGGAAGATATTGCTTCAAGCAGAAATATACGCTAGGAAAATTAACTAACTTGCAAGCAAACAGAATTTCTTTTCTAGAAGGTGAAGACTTTCAAATCAAGAATTAACAATTTAATTCGCACATTGATACCACTGATTTCTGAACAAGATTTAATTGCTGATATACCCTCAACATATGCATATCTGAATCAACCAACTCTAGTATTATTCATTTATCGGTTGAAAATCAATCATGGTTTTCCAACAAACATACCTGAGCGTCAAAAGTGCGTCCTGAATGACACAGGTTATTAAGATCACAGAGTATAAACCCTGGGAGGATCTCCTCCTCTTCAATTCCTTTCAGTCGAATCTTCAGATTTTCACCTGGAGCTACTGATTCAGTTTCTACATCATCGGAAAGGATCCCAAGGACTTCCACATTATGCTTCAAGAAAGCAACGTTAAGGCTTTAAAACGTTTTTATTTATTCATCAAACAAAATTTATATAACACTTGGTTGCAAAAAGCCAGATAAACATTTAAGTCATTTACAGCAACATAAACTTAAACATTAGAATTGATAAAAACAGTTATCAGGAGCAGGTTGGCAATAAAACACCCACTGTTAGTGAAGTTAACGTTTTTCAAATAAACCAAAACAGCACAGGCCTAGTGATCCCAGCAACTCTTCCCAGTAGGTCTTGCCCCAATGAGGCAGTAAAGTCCCCACCTTCTCATAGCTGCCTAAGGAGGAATCCACACACATATATAAAACGTTCTGAAAATGCTTTTTAAAAAAGCGTTTTTAAAAAAATACATTGAACTTTCCATAAGGCTCAGCATCACCATCTAGTGTCATATTGTATGTTGCACTTAAAACAATTAAAACCTTTTATTTGCAGCTCGCAAACTCCTTGCCAGTTTTTTCCAAGCCACCTGAGACTTCTCTGTCTTTGCTCCACCCTCTTCATATCTCTTCTCGTTCTGGGAGATCAGGAGGCAGGGGAGCTGGCTTTTATATTGTGTAGTTAACTCCTCCCCCCCTTTAAAAAAAGTTTTATATATTTGTACATTTGTACAAAAATACTTTTTAAAGTTTCCTTTTCTATAATGCAGTATGTATTCATTGCCCTGTTATTCAATTTTTATATATATTTAAAAATCCTTCATTAAAAGTATATTTTAAAAAGTCTAACACAGAACCCCACATAGTGGGATCACAAACCACCACAGTATGCCGGCCTATTGATGAACACACACAAATAAACTGATGGGCATTCTGCAGAGAACATTCATGTTTGCTTATGCTCAAGGCAAGCAGATTTAATTCTGCTGCTCCAGAGTTACTGGTGAAGTAACTGAATGCAATAGCCAGGAAGTCACTAAATATTTGCAGTCAGCAGAACATTTAAGGCAAAACTATCATATCCTCTTCTCCCTGGCCTTTTGCAAGGAAAAAGCCAAATACTGTTACAGAAGAAAGTGATTTGGGAGTGAATCACATAATACAGGGTGCCACTTTCCAAACATCTTCACTTGCAAGCTAGTCAAACCTTTCCTTGCTCCAGACCACACTAGCAATTTGCAACATTTCTCCCTCCCCCCAAAGTTGCTTACAATAATTTAAATACATGAGGCTGTATCCATTGCTAGTTTTACTCAGAAGACCCACTGAAATTAATGAACATGATTTATGTAGGTCCATTAATTTTAAAAGGTCTGCTCTGAGGAAAACTCCATTGGATACAAGGAAGGGCTTGGTAAAACTAAACTATCAAATCCAGAATCAAAAAAAACCCTAAACAAAACAGTGCTTCCCCAACACATCTACTTTGCTCATCCTCTACCCTTTATAGGTAAAGGTAAAGGGACCCCTGACCATTAGGTCCAGTTGTGGCCGACTCTGGGGTTGCAGCGCTCATCTCGCTTTATTGGCTGAGGGACCCGGCGTACAGCTTCCGGGTCATGTGGCCAGCATGACTAAGCCGTTTCTGGCGAACCAGAGCAGCGCACGGAAACGCTGTTTACCTTCCCGCCGGAGCGGTACCTATTTATCTACTTGCACTTTGACGTGCTTTCGAACTGCTAGGTTGGCAGGAGCAGGGACCGAGCAACAGGAGCTCACCCCGTCGCGGGGATTCGAACTGCCGGCCTTCTGATCGGCAAGTCCTAGGCTCTGTGGTTTAACCCACAGCGCCACCCGCATCCCTTCTACCCTTTATACCTCGCACCAAAGGATCCTCTCCTCTCTCCCAGAAGGCTCCTCTATTAGCTGAAACTTCACTTCCCTCTGCCTCTCCAACCCAATGACTATTAACTTAATCTTGCTATTTGGTAAGTCTAGAAACACATTTAAAATTTGTATTTTGAACGTTACCCCCCCCCCCAAAAAAAACCCAGCCTCTGTTTTGTTGATGACTGGAGTCATGAAGGTAAGCAGAGAAAACTGGGTGTTGGTTATTTATATCTCTTGGAACCAGATGCCCCACGCTCAGGTTTCAGACACAACATGAAACCAATACAGGGTTGTGAAACAAGGCAACTTGCTTGGAGGAGTATTTCTGAGAAACACCTGTTTTGAAAGGAGCCAACTCATGCCAAAATCAGATAAATCTGATGGTTTGTAGCAGGGACTTGGAGTTCTTAACATATAGCTTTTAACTTTCCATTGGTCTGTTAATAATGAACAGGGTTCACATAAAGTATGCAAGGCAGAGTAAGCTGGGTTTCAAAAGTTGCTCCAACAGATACAGAATTCAGAACCACAAGGTATGAATTTTACATGGGTGCGTGAGACCCAAGCTCTGGAAAGCTTCCAGGAAAAGTGCAACAGTGGAATTTTCTGCCTTAAAGACGGAAGAGATTGGTGGTTTAGGATGACTTGTTTTTTACTTTTTCTAAGCAACCTTTTTTAAAAATGGAAAATCTGAAATGTTTTAGGCTACCTAGCACAGATAAGATATTTGAGCTGAAACTTAGCGAGCCTATGCATAAAAAGTAGCCACAGCATACACTCAACACTAAAGGACAGCATATTTCAAGCAGCTCAAGAGCTTGTCTGCGTTGGTGGCAAGATAAAACAACCCAACTCTGGGCAGGGTAAACCACAGCATTTCCGACTAGGATCCTGCTAACTGCAAATTAAAAAAAACCAGCAGCACATGTTTCAGGAGTTCCTCAAACTAAAACTAGGCTGATCATGTGCATATTTCTGCTTATTAGTGCCTAAGCACGCTAAGCCTTCTCAAGAGCAAAAAAGAAACCTCACAGGGGAATGCCGATTTTCAACCTCAGAATTATTCTGTAGGCTTAACACCAGAAAGTTAAGCTTCTTAAGAGGAAAACGTGCCGTACCTTGTTTGGCATCATCACAAGCTGCTGTCCTTTGCAGATAGAGCCTGATTCCAGCTTTCCCAGAACTACCGTGCCCATATCCTTCAACATGGAAAGAAAGGTTGTTTTTTAAATCAGCAAAATAGAGCCTACCGCGCTTTACAAAAGAGAATATCTGGCATGGTGCTAAGGAATTTCAATCAAAGCAGTAAGGAGCTTTTGCTGGAGATAAATTAAACCCAAGGGGTAAAATATTGGGAGTAACCACTAGGTAACTGTATGCTCACATCTACATGTTATCACCCTTATATTTAAGATCACACGAGAGCACCTCCTTACCACCAGCAACTGCACCTTGTTAGGTGGCCACACAGACACTCTGAGGATAGGGTAGGGTGCAAAGACAAATCTTAATCCTTGGGGGAGGGGAGAGAGATTTATTTGGGGCTGAGGTTTAGGAATGCTAAACTTCAGCTGGTGTTAGCTGAATTTTAGCTGGGTTACTCGTTTTTGTGAGACCTTCAGGACCTGGTGGATTTAAACAGGTAAGCATGACATATTACCAACTCAGCTGTGGAATTTATCAAGTCTACCATAGACTAATGAAAGTCCTGCAACTATGATGCCAGATAAATGCACTGGATTGGATTCCAAAGGCTCCCGTCCCTCATTCAAGGGGGACTCCCTTTGATAGAGGAAGAAAATCTTTGTATCCAACTCCATGTGTAAGCAACTCTCAGGCAGCGATGCTGTCCAATTTTCAGTAGACACTTAAGACAAAGCTACGCCATTTTTAGTCCCACTGATACCAATGGGGAAAGTTTAATGTTTAAAATTCTGCTTAATTCTCTCATTCAGGTGAATGGGACTCAGTACTCAATGCTTGCTGAATCAAGTGACACATGCATTTCAGTTCATCTCACAATCTTTTCATTGTGAGAAAATTACACATATTGCTGTGACACTACATTTACAGAAAATGGAACCAGAAGAGTGCATTAAGGGTGCACGCATGCACACTCCAGTTCAGTCACAGAATAACAAAGTCTTCAGCTTCAGAACTATAGGTTGCATGTTTTAATAATTCCACTGACTGCAGGGAAATGTTCTGAAATATTACTATGAGTTGTATTCAATGTTGCACTAAAGAGATCATTTAGTAAGTGCAAATTATCTCTCCTCTCCTCTCCCTGCACATTCTTCTAGGGCTTCTCTCCCAGATCTGAGGAGGGCCTGGGGGTGTAAACGGGGGAAGTTCTATCACGCTAGTGGAAAACTTTGTGCTAGCGCAATGAGTCAGCTGAATATGGCCCTATGTTCTTAACACTCCCAGTTGTCATATGTCACCAAAACAGGTTAAGGTACAGTACCTAGATAATAAAAGAACAATTCAATTGCATTTTGCACATTTTAGTCCAATGGCAGGCTTTGGAGTAACATATTTGGGGGGAAGAAGGAAGCAGCCATGAGACACAGCCAACTATAAATGAGAAACTGAGCAACTAAAGCAATTGTGTCATATCTTCAAGGTAGCTGTTATTTGAGTACCTTATATTTATCAACAATTGGCAGCCTGATTGGTCCATCAACCGGTCTGTTGAAATTTGGCAAGTTATCCAGATATGGAATAAACGGTAGCCCACTGAAAAAGAGAGGAGGGAAAATAATGTCATGCAAATCCATGGTATGTCTTTGTCTTGTTTAAGATTTTGACCTATAATGGTTCTTGGAGACAGTTACCTTCTGATACAGTAACATTCTTCATGAGATGAATATACCTGCATCACATTCATGAATTACCAACTTTTAAAGCCACTGTATAAGCATAAATTCTACCAAATCTGATATAAAGTTATTTTCCCTACCATCATAAAGAAGAACTGTACAAAGGTTAGAAGACTAAGAATTCTCGCTTGCCATCTTAACTGAGGCAACAAAAAATACAGACAGGTGGCCTAGCTTTGATAATGGTTCATTTGAAAATGTAGCTTCAAAAATAGTTTGAAGCTACCAACCTACCAGCAGTGCTTAAGTTTTAACCTGGATCAAATCTGCAGATAATCAAATTTTAACAGAAAGGATTTGCAGAAGGGCTATTTGAGCAGCCACTCGCCTTGTGATCACATCAGTACTGGCCTGATCGCTTTTCTTCAGGCACACAAAACAAATATCAGCTCACAAACTGGGGTGCCTCTTAAGTAGCCTGCAGCACTCTCTCCACCTCAGAGCTCTAGGCAATCACTATGAGGCTGGCCAATGGCAACCTTCCCATGGGCCTGCTCTCCCCAACACTTTGAACGACTACCTGGGCCTAAGCTGAAACTGCCTGTTTCAGAAAGTTTCCTCTTGACCCAGATTGGAAGTGTGCTGTGAAAGACACCAACAGGTCTGTCAGGCTTGCCCTCGTCAATGATGGTGATGATGATGATGATGATGATGATGATGATATAACAACCACCACCACCACCCAGCCAGCCAGCCAGCCACTCTGGGCAGCTTCCAACATAATATAAAAACACAGTGAGATATCAAACATTTAAAGCTTCCTGATACAGGACAGCCTGCAGATGTCTTTGGAAAGTTGTGTAGTTTAGGCAGGTGCTTGAAACTCGCTTGTTCAGGCAGGCCTTTTACAGTTAATGGTGGTGGCTGCACTGAAGTGTGAAACTGTTTTGATTCTCTGCTGCTATGTGGGTCAGTAACAGCTATTTTTATTAAGACTACTTAAATATGATATTACAGGGTTTTATGACATGTGGCATTTTGCATTTGCTGCTTTGGAACTAGCTCTCCACAGAAAAGCAGGGCATTACATTAAACAAAATAAAGATAAAGATACATACATATACCAAGGACAGAAGTCCGATTGTTCCTTGAGGTTTGCTCCAGTCAATCCAGAGCAGGGCATGAAGTGAATGTCTTTTTTCGGATTGAAGCCAACTTTCTTCAAGAATGGCACCAATTTCTCTTTACATTCCTCATACCTGAAAGTTTCACCCAACAGAAGAAAAACTTTAACAGACTTTGGATGGTCTTGGAACAGCTATGTCAAAGGTGCTAGGGTGAGACACTGGGGCCAGGAGTTGTGTGATACTGCCAGTTTCTCTTTACATTTCACCTTGCAATGCTTTCTTGATGGATCTGAGCTTGAATCAAGTTCAAGTGAACATCTTTCCCAAATAGCAGACCTCTAAAACCACCTGCCTTTATCCAGAAACTTTGATGGAGCTGTTTATCTGCCAACAATCATAGGCACCAATGTAGAATGGAGACCACAGAGAGCAGGGGTGGGCAGACTTGTTAGATCTGCTTTGAATTAGAATCTGAAAATCTACCAGCAAGAGCCAGATGGAAGAGACACATGCCAAATGAAAGAAGAGGGTGTCTCTATGTACATTCTGATCCTAGGATTCATTTTCAGCACCAGAACTGAACTGACCTCAGGGTTCTTTCATACAAAAGCCCACTCCTGGTTACCCTTTCTTCATTATAGTGGGCTAATGGAAAGGGAAGTGAGGCAAAAGGTCCCTTTTTGTCATTGTTAAGCAATTGGGAGCCACAAATCCTTGCCAATCTACTGTAAATTCCGCAGGTATCTTTGCCCTCCTCTTCTATAAGGGATAGTCCTTGTATAAACAGGGTAAAAGGTTTGTGGGAATCGAGGAAAATGACACTGTGGTAGTCCCTGTAAGACTGTACTGTGTCGGAATGCACATGGGTGAATCTGGCAGTGTTTTTTGCAAAGCACAGGCTTAGTATGTAAGGGGGAGATGTGAATTAGCAATTGTTCACTTATACAGTGGTACCTCGGGTTAAGCACTTAATTCGTCCCGGAGGTCCATTCTTAACCTGAAACTGTTCTTAACCTGAGGTACCTGAGCTAATGGGGCCTCCTGCTGCTGCCGGAGCATGATTTCTGTTCTCATCCTGAAGCAAAGTTCTTAACCCGAGGTACTATTTCTGGGTTAGTGGAGTCTGTAACCTGAAGCGTATGTAACCTGAAGCGTTTGTAACCCGAGGTACCACTGTACTAGGTCAGACTATTCATTCAGCTAGCTCAGCAGTGACAGCAGGTGCCCAGTCTCTCAGACAAAGACAGGGGTCTTCCCCCATTACTTACTACCTGAACCTTTAAAGGGGATGACAGGAACAACATCTAGGACCCCTGAGCTATTAAGGTAAAAGGTAAAGGACCCCTGGACAGTTTGGTCCAGTCCGCTATGGGGTTGCGGCACTCATCTCACTTTCAGGCTGAGGGAGCCAGTGTTTGTCCACAGACAGCTTTCTGGGTCATGTGGCCAGCATGACTAAACCGCTACTGGCGCACGGAGGACAATGACGAGTGCCATGAGCTATTATAGCCCTTTCTACAATATTCAAGGAAATATACAGTATTTAAACTTATTGTGAAGGCAAAAATGACAGCATGAGAACTTCCTTGACCATCAGCAGACCTCCTGAAATAAGCTGCTATAGAAAACAGCCAGAGATGGGCTCTTCATCATGTCTAATTTGAGGGATTATTCCAAATTCTAGGGGCCATTCCAGTGAAGTCCTTGCTGTCCCCATTCTAACTAACTACTGTGAGGGCATATAAAAGATGGTTTGATGATCTGATCGCCACATGAATACTAAGGTAGTAAAGCCACATGCAGGAATTTTAGTTATGGGTCAACAGGGCCTGTGTGAAAAAGAGTCCTGTATTTCTGCAGCATGCATTTCAGTCATGTAATGGGAGTGATCTTACACCCCAATGTCAACATTTAATCTTCCCTGTAGCTCTGGAACAACTCCACCTAGGTTTCCAGAATTTAGGACACCAGGGTATATTAGGTAGGAGAAGACCAATCCCATTTCTAATACAAAAAGATAACATACACACTGTAGATAAAACACGTAAAAACAAAACAAGAATTTAACAAGAGTTCTACTCACCTTTCATTGCTCCAGTTCACAGTTGGATCATCCATTTTATTAATAAGAACTATTAAATGTTTTACGCCTGCAGTTTTCGCTAACATGGCATGCTCTCTCGTTTGTCCCCCTTTCTCAAAACCAGTTTCAAACTCTCCTTTCCTTGCAGAGATAACCTAGTTGGAAGGGAGATAAATCATCAATGTTTGAATTATTAGGGCTATAGCTCAATTCCTTGCTCTTCTCCAGTTAGAATTAAGAACTGTCAGAGATTTTAGGCCTTGCAAGGTGACCTATGTTGAGGATTGCTCCTTTAAGTCAACTGTTCAAATAATCTCAAGACTACAATTTTTATATAAAAAGCCATTATCTTACAACTACTAATTCCTTAGGAACGGGGGTGTGGAACCTCAGGTTCAGGGGCCAAATGTGGCCCTCCAGGCCTTGATGTGTGGCCCTCGAAACTTTACACAAGCCTCACCATTCATTGTCCCTGCTTTCCACTCCAAATGTTTTTGTATGGTTAGAAGGTGTTCTTGAACTCTACTAACGGCTCTTTCTCATCCAGATGGAGAATCGAGATGGGTGTGCAAACAAGTGCAGAAAGTTTTCTACTATACCAAGGTAAAAATTAAATTTGTTGCTCCGTTCAATTTTGCCTCTACACCCACCCCTGCACTGGCATGTGACCCCAGGCTGAAAAAGGTTCCAGACCCCTGCCTTAGTTGATGCATACACAAAGTAAAAAATGAAATAAAATGAGACCATGAAACAGGTCCCTACAGCTGCAAGAAACGTACTTCAGTAAAAAACAGTAACAGGTCATCAGCTAAACATCTACCAAGGGCTCCTTAACCCAGAGAAGGACTGAATGATTTCTTACCAACACAGCTAGATCAGCTTGAGAAGCACCACCAATCATATTTGGGACAAAGCTCTTATGCCCTGGAGCATCTAAAATTGTGAAGTGTTTCTTCTCCGTTTCGAAATAGGCACGGCCCACTTCCACTGTTTTACCTTTGTCTCTTTCTTCCTGGTTTGTGTCCAAGGCCCAGGAGAGGTACCTACAGGGAGAGGGAAAAGAGTGATCACACTAGCACTGTGTGGCTCAATGGTTCTCAAGAGTCAATCTAGACACACACAAAAAATGTATCTGAACATTCCCGGAACTCACAAGAACTGGGCAAGGCAGCTGAGTGTGCTTTCAAAGCCCAGCGTACTAGCATGCAACTGAAGTAAAGGAGAGCATTTCTAGAAAATGTGTACCCACTTGCCTGCTAGCCATCTTCAGGAGAAGAAAAGGTTAGGAAGTAACCCCTACATAAACCCAGAGTGGAGTCCCTAAGGAAGCTGGATGGCAGCTAGATGGCATTTTGTACACTTCCTTCAGGCAACTCCTGCAGCCAAGCTGGTGCTGATGTATTGCTTTCCTTTCCTTTGGACCACATCAGTGAGGCTGAGAGGGGAGGTCCTGTTGTCTGGGCAAGCCAGGACCTCCATATACACTGCCCAGACTTGTGCCCTAGAGACGTCACTTCAGTGCTGCAAATGCAGCAAAGTTACTCTGAGTAGGACTAACAATGGCTGCAACCCATCAACTACGACAGGTAACAGAGGCTCCTCCTCACTCAGCCCCTAAGCTGGTTATTCTCCTAAGTCAGAACCTGCTCTCCAGGAACTTTATCTATTTCTTGCCAAAGAGAGAGGGGAAAAACAATCCACATAGGTTAAAGCATGTTCATCATAAGATGTAGGGGGTTTCATACCAGGTTTCTCTGTTTTTTTCTTTAGCTTCTCTTTCATATTTTTCAAGTGTTCTTTTATCAACCATGCCTGTCAAGTACCTAGAAAAAATTAGATTTGTATGTTGTTTAGAATGTAGAAGCTGCCTGCAGAAAGCAGCTTTATTTTTAAGGAGACAGAATGAGGTGGTAAATAAACCATCAGAAAGGTAAATAAACCATCCATACAGCTCACTGCTTCGTTGGCATACACAGCAGCATATAAAGATAGCCAATCCACAGAAAATAGTTAAGACAAGCTGTTTTGGGACTACAATTCCCATCATCCCTGATCATTGGTTCTAGTAGATAGAAATGGGAGTTATAGTCCAATAACAGCTGGAAACCCAAGTCTGGGAAACCCTGGACTACAGTGCTGCATGAGAAGCAGGTTTTGATCAAACATTTACATTGAGAAACAGCATTTAGTATGGGCATATGACAATTTTGTAATCTGTATCAGGACTGGGGAAACCTGTGGCTCTCTGGATGTTGCTGGACTCCAACTTCCATCATCTCTATTGGTCATGCTGGCTGAGGCTGATGGGAGATGGAGTCCAGTAACATCTGGAAGGCCTCACGTTCACCATCCTGGTCTAAACTGTAGAACTACAGGAAAGGTTAGGAAAATGTCTATGGGCATTTACAATAGACTTCACAATAGAAAGAAAACAATTGGAAAGAGATTCAGACTAATGCTGCACTGCAGGTAAGTCTACGTCAACAAAAGCAATCAAGCACAAACGTTTCAAAGATTTGATAAATTAAGCTGCTTACATTATTTGTCCTCCAATTGTTGATTTGCCAGCATCTAGCCAAAAAAATGTAGAGAGCAATTTTTTAAGAAAAATGGATTTTCAAAGTAAGCTTTCCCCAACCACCTAAGCTACTTCTCTCATTCCATTAAAGTGTTGGATTTCCCCATCATGATGTTCTTTTGTCTTTCATATTAGTATCACCAATGTTGCGAGGTCAAAAATTGTCTGTGGAAATGCTAAGAAAAATCTTCCATTGTTATAAATTTTCCTTTTCTAAAAATGCATTGCTTTATAAAATGAACTAGCAACAAAATGAGTAGATCGAATAACGGAGTTTAACTGGGCAGTTTGAGAGTTAAGTTGTTCAGTAAAGGAGGATGTAATGAACATATGAAGGCACACTAAGTGTGCAAATGATTTTGAAAGGATGTGAAGCAAAGTATGCCCTTTTCTATTCTCTGTATGCTGCTGCTTCTGTTTTTTTTTTTTTAAAGTCCACAGCATTAGTTCTAGATGTCAGCGTCCTTAACAAGCGTTTTATTTATTTTACTCTCCCTGCAAGGAGACTTATTATTAAGGGGAAAGAGCCCAGACACCACGTCATATGAGCAAGCAGGAATTCTAATTAGCAGTTCCTCCCCCCTCCCTGTTGCATTATGCATTAATCAACCATTTTAATTGCAGGGTTATCAGCTTTATGCGTAACTGCAACCAAGTCATTTAATTGACAGGCAATGCCTATGCTAGAGCAAGTGTCGGAAAACTTTGGCCCTCAATGTTGCTGAACTACAACTCCCATCAGCAAGCATGGCCAGAGATGATGGGAGTTGTAATTCAACAACATCCGGAGGGCCAAAGGTTCCCTGCATAGCCAGAGGCATTCCTGCATAGCAGGTACCACCAGACCTACCCTTACACACCCACTTGAAAGGATTCAGTAGCAAGCACTGAAAACACTGCTGCCTGAGACTCTAGAGCAGGGGTTGGCAAAGTTTTTGTGGCTTGGGCCGGTTCATGGTCCTGCAGACGCCACTGTGGGCTGGAGTGCACGCATGCACAAACACTATTTCTGGCACTCCTTCCAGCATGGAGGAGGCGTGTGCAGCTTCTCATTGGCTGCAGGAGCTTCCTGTAGCCAACGGGAAGCCGGTCAGCATCATGGAAGGCGGTCCCCGCTCTGCTATGGTTTAGCGTGGCGCACGGGAGCCGACCGAGCGGGCGGCAGGGGTCCATGGGCCAGTTAAATGACCCCCATGGGCCACTTGTGCCATGGGCCTTAGGTTGCCGACCCCTGCTCTAAACAGCTGCTTCCAGTCAAAGAAGATAATACTGAGCTAGGCAGACAAATAGATTATGACAGCTTCCTATGCTTCAGATGTCTACTCAGCAGTAATCGTAAATGAGTCACTCTCTGCTGCACCTATTTGTTTTGGTGAGACATGAAAGAAAGGAAGGGTTGACTATGCACACTATTCTGAACTCTTCCAAGGAGGATAATTATTAGGTTGCCATCCTATAAAATTCTCTGGGACCAAGTCCCACTGAACTTCAAAGAAGACATGCCTAAGCCTGCACTGTCACTAGCAAACTTACTATATTCTTTAAACTTTTGCCAATCTGTATGAAAGGCAAACCTGCAATTTTATATAGAATCTAACATTAGCATCTAAAAAGGTATACTCTGAAAGCATTAAAGATGGTCCCCGTAATAAGATCAGGTTAAAAAACATATAATGCACCCACCCTCCCTGCGCTTATCAGCAGCTTACCTACATGTCCAATGAATACTACATTTACATGTTCTTTTTTGGGAGCACCTGGTGGTGCCATCATAGATTTAGGTTTTGGTAGTTCCTCTTCCTCCTCCATCATTTCCGGGGTGCCTTCCTCGGTAGGTCCTGCATCTCCAGAAGGTCCACTTGCTAACTCAGGTTCAATAGCTTCTTCTTTGTGATCCCATGATTCTTCAGGGGACATTTCCGTTTCTCCGTTTTCTACTGGAATTTAACAAAGAGTTTATCTGAACAAATGGAAAATTTTCATCTGCTTTCTTTTAGGAGAGAACAAAAGGTTAGCGGTACTTCAAAGGCAGGTATGTTACATCTAAGCAGTTAAAAGTTCTACTGCTGCAAGTTCCATCTTTTCTGATCTTGTTCTGCTGGCTGAGGCTTCTTTTCCAAAAGCTTTGTTCTAAACTGGATGTTACAAGTCATTTTCAAAGCATGCTACAATTCATAGGTATCAGCAGACTATTTTAAGACAATAGAATTTTCAGTTGCAGAACACACACAAAACACATCAAGATTATACAGTTTTTGAAGAGATTATACAGTTTTTGTATACCTATATTTATTAATTACTACTCAGTTTATGAGGATGACTGAACACTTGGTCCCTTCCTTCCTCATGTTCAAAGTGTTTCAAATATAATAACAGAAATGGAAGGGACCACAAGGGTCATCTAATCCAACCCCATGCAGTGCAAGGATCTTGCCCAACATGGGACTCGAATTTACAAACATGAGATTAAGAGCCTCATGTGCTACCTACTGAGCCAAGTTAAAATTGCCAATGAAAACTGGTCAGTCTACCTAAAGTATGAGACTATTTGAGAATTTGAAGCCCGACATCAATATACTCTTACTTGACATTCCACAATAGAGGTGGGAAGAATACGGGTAGGCAGATTTCAGGTGTTTGAAATCTACTCATTGTTGGGACTTCAAAGTGCAGCAGGAGACTGGATGAAAACCCTTTTGGAAACAGACCTGTGCTGCTCTTTGAATCTTTGGTTTTTGAAGCTTTAAAGAGCAGCTTGGGACTGCTTGCAAAACAAAGGGCTCTGCGCTGTTTGAAAACTCATCAGCTTTTGCAAACAGCCCCGCACTGAGCTTTGGCTGCATGCGCACAGTCAAACCGAGCAGGGTTTAACCCCTGTTCACCAGCTGATGAGCAGAGTTAAATCCGGCTCAGAGTTTGGATATGCACACTCTTCCACAGCAGTGGAATTGGGGTGTACAGTCAGTGAAGAACCAACCCCCTGCCCTGCCCACTAGCTGGCATTGGATCGACAGCATCTGTTGGGTAGGTAGGTAAGGCTTTAAAAGAATGGCCTCACGGGCCTAATTAGACACTCTGGAAGACATAAGATTGGCTCGTGTGCCAGAGGTTCCCCATCCTTCAACAGAGGCAGGGACAAAAGGGTGGCTTGAGGGAGAGTACAACACACTTGGTGGTATTCAAAGTTCTTGCTTCATTCAAGGAAGAGTATGCTCATGGAAGGGGTTATTGTGTGAATGGAAGCTTCTTCTGTTTGCAGAATGAAAACATTAGATACCATTCACTTAAGGAATTAAGGAAAATGCTTGACCACATGCTGATCCCAGAAGGAGTTTGTTTTCTGTATGAGATCAAGGTCATTTTACACAAGAATTCAGTTCCATTCCCTCTCCTCAACCTGCACTGCTTTTAAAAGTCCAGTTTAAAGTGGAAGAAACCCTTCTCAAGACTATCGTTTAACAAGTGGTAGTCAGAAACCTTTGCACACCAACTTCAAATCACCCAGACCTTTTGGTAGATGTTCACATCTACCTTCTGCCCACTGGCTTGAAAGATTTTCAAATACAGGTACAAAGGGGCTACACTATGTTCTGTCACAATAAAACAGCAAAGACTCAATTAGCAGTATCTTCAATTAAACAAGTCAAGTGCTATCAAACAGCACTTCTAGCTGTATTACGTAACTGCACTTACCAACTGGTTCTGAGATTTCCATACTGACTGCAGCATTTGACCCTGTTGAAAGAGAATCAAATACAGAATGTTAAATATGTGACATTAACTCAAGATGCCATGGTTAAACATGTGTTTAGAACACAGCATGTTAGCAAAAGTTTAACAATGTATCCTAAATCACATAATTAGATCCACTTTAGATTTTCCAGCAAACACATGCATATTACCTTCACAAGGTGACGGTTGTTCCTCTTGTGAAGATTCTGCTGATGCCCCTTAAACAAATAAGAGATTCAGCATTGATATAAATACAGAGATAACTGCCTTCAATAAAAGCTCAAGAACCAGAAAAGCCAGCCAATCTGAAGTAGATACAAGGAAAGGGTTCTAGGCTTTTCACCCTACTGTTTGCCCCCTTCCTATTCCCTGAACTCCTTAAAATTGCACGTGTTGAGACATGCACAAGAATTTGTTCGGTGAGGTTTTTGGGACACTTTGCCCTGTTTTGCATGCAATGCTAACCCATTGTTTAAAGCAGCAGAAAGCCTTGAAATTGTGTGCTCTCTCTCCCCTCTTCCAGCAATGCCACAAGGACATCAAAAGCAACCACTTTTAAATGAACTAAAGTTCCCTGTAACACTCAAACTCAGGGAACTCTGGTTAGCCAGCAGTTTGCTAGCCATAGATTAAACTAATCAGTCTTGATATTATGTGGAGTTCTGGTCAATTAAAAAAACCCTTCTGAACATGCTTGGGTGGGGGTCCAAGACCAAGGCTCACTGCTGCTCATTCACGTAATCCTAAAACATGGCTTACTGTTGCCAAATGTGCCCTTTAAAATTTGCCAATTTAAAAACAATCTTTTTTTGCAATGTAGCACACAAAAAGCTATCTATTTGCCTGTATCATCAAATGAATCAGACTCCAGAGGTTGTGATTCTAATGACCCTGTTGTAAGCAGAATCAAAGCACTTTACAAACATGTTGAACTTTGAAGCACCACAGCGGTTAGGAGTAATTTTCCAAGTATCATTACATAGGACAAACATGCAGAAGGGAGATCTGGTGGTTTGTTTCCCAGATTCCCTACTATCTGGTTGATCCAAATACGAATTTGAAATGCTTCTGAAGCCCTCAAATTTCATTTTAATGCATTTGAACTTAGTTAATGTTCACTATGAAAATTATGCATTATTTAAAGCGAGCAAGATCAAATACAGATTAGAATATTCACATAAAAGAAACTAAGTGCCAAAACAGCAAACTGAGAAAAAGAAAATACAAAAATGCACAAAAGCACCAAACTCGGGGAGCAGATTTCCGTAAGCCATAGGTAAAGGTAAAGGAACCTCTGACAATTAAGTCCAGTCGCGAACGACTCTGCGGTTGTGGCGCTCATCTCGCTTTACAGGCCGAGGGAGCCAGAGTTTGTCCGCAGTTTTCCAGGTCAAGCGGCCAGCATGACTAAACCGCTTCTGGCAAAACCAGAGCAGCGCACGGAAACGCCGTTTACCTTCCCACCGGAGCGGTACCTATTTATCTACTTGCACTGTGTGCTTTCTAACTGCTACGTTGGCAGGAGCTGGGACCGAACAATGGGAGCTCACCCCGTCGCGGGGATTCGAACTGCCGACCTCTCGATCGGCAAGCCCAAGCGGCACAGTGGTTTAACCCACAGCATCACCCGTGTCCCTATCCATAAGCCATAATGCCCAGCAAAATATGGTTATATTTGGTACTCACTTACTTTTCACATTTAAAATAACAAATCTCTCTTTTGGTGTAGGGTGGGAATCAGATGTGTGCTTGTACACCCCGCTTAGCATTTGGCAGTAATTCAGAATGCTGGCTTACAGCACACCAGTGGATTTGTAAAGTAAACGTACTGTCTGCTCACACTACTACAGGAACCAGACTCTCAGCCACTTTTTTGGTTCTGCTTGCGCTGCAGGCTCCAAAAGAATAGAGCAAAGCAGGCCATGCTGGCAGAAGGCCAATATTACAGGCATGAAGGGTGAATGCAGGTCAGGCAGAGCAGAACACAGAAGATACAAAGGCAACAGCAATACCCTCTTCAGGGCAGTAATTAGAAATGCTAGATGACACTGGACAGAGTGTACAGTTGTGCGGGAAGCGGCTGGCACTAATGACATATCCTCCAAGGGTAGTGATGTGAGTTTTCTGGAAAATGCTGCACTGGAAAAAATTCTGGAAATAAAATCTTGATATAAATTATAGTAATGTGTACAGTGGTGCCTCGCAAGACGAAATTAATCCATTCCGCGAGTGTCTTCGTCTAGCGGTTTTTTCGTCTTGCAAAGCAACCCTATTAGCGGCTTAACGGATTAGCGCTATTAGCGGTTTAGCGGCTATTAAAGGCTTATCGGCTTAGCTGCTAAAAGGCTATTAAAGGCTTAGCGGTTTAGATAAAGGGGGGGAAGCGGAAAAAAAAATCTCAAGACTCGCAAGACATTTTCGTCTTGCGAAGCAAGCCCATAGGGAAATTCGTCCTGCGAAGCAACTCAAAAACGGAAAACCCTTTCGTCTAGCGGGTTTTCCGTCTTGCGAGGCATTCGTCTTGCGGGGCACCACTGTAGTGGGTTTTTAAAAAACTCTTTAATGCCCTAGAGCAGGGCTTCCCAAACTTGGGTCTCCAGCTGTTTTTGGACTCCAATTCCCACCATCGCTGACAACTGGGTCCTGCTAGCTAGGGATGATGGGAGTTGTAGTAAACAAACAAACAAACAAACAAACAAACAAACAAAAGAGCTGGAGACCCAAGTTTGGGAAACCCTGCCCTAGAGCCAAGGAATCCAACATAGTGCCTCCAGATGTTGCTGGACTCCAACTCCCATTATCCATACCATTGGCAATGGTGGCTGAGGCTGATAGAAGTTGGGAGTCCAACAACAGCTGGAGACAAGCGCTTGGCTACCTCTACCCTAGGGAGTGTTCTAATTCAGCATGTTTACTTTACCTTTATTTAGTAAACAAAGCTAATGAAAGTTCCCCACGTTAATTTTATGCCCCAATGCAGCACAAGTATTTCACCTGAAATATTTGAGGAAGCAAATTAAGGCACACTTAATGTGCTTTAAAGATGCTATTAAGGAGGGGGGGTTGGATAGACCCCCCTATGCAGGGATGTTTGGACTTTTCAAGTCTGGCAATGGGCCGTGAGATGTTTGGGGTTGTGGGGGCTCTTAATTCTGGAGGGACTTTGAAACATGTTTTTAAATACCACATGGAGTTTAGTGTGGACTATGGAAAAGGGGCTGATTTGTCGAGAAGGGTCAAAAACACTGTCAAGTTGGAGTTCCCACGAGTGAAAGGAGCAGGAGACAAAGTAAAGTACAGGTATAAATATGAAGAAGAGCCGCGGAAGGGACATGGAAGAAACTTAAGGGCCTCGGACATAAGATCACCAGGTTAATGCGCTAGATTGATGGGATAGAAAGGACTGACAAAACCCGGGACCAGGAGGAAGAGACGCTGGATTGGAAGAATTTTTTTTTTATTATTATGATTGTTTTATAAAAGTGATGAATGTCAGAAAAATGTTGGAACGAAGTTATTTGGCTTTAGCAAAAATGTTTAAAGAATTATGTAAGAATATTATGGTTATGAGAAATTGGTATAAATAAGATCTAAGTTTCAAGTTTTAAGGTCTTTTATAGTAAGATAAGATTAAAATAGATTAAGGTAATGTAATGACAGAATATTATGAAAAATGGAAAGGATTTGCTGTGACAATTAACAACTAGGATACAAAAAAGGGAGGAGTGAGGAGGTCAAAGAAAGAAGGTAATGACAGTTAAGGATTTGAGAATATTGGATTTGTTTTTAAATGTTTGTGGCTTATTTTTGTCTTTTGATTGTGTTGTGTTATTTTTTGATTTTGATCAATTTGTATTGTTTGATTGTTGTTTGTTTTTCTTTTGTTTTTTCTCTTTTTTCCCCCTTTTTTTGTAATTCTAAAATTCTTAATAAATATCATTAAAATAAAATAAAATAAAGATGCTATTAAGGAGAACCGAACTGGAATACGTGCTTGTAAAAATCTAAATACATTATCATGTACTTCCCTCATTTTGTTCAAGCTTAAGAAAAACAAACAAAAGTACTGAAAACCATTGGCGCAATAAATTTCAGCAACGCAAAGAACTATATGCAGTTTGCTGACTTGCATAGGGACAATCACCTGAAAACATTCATTACAGCTATGAAAACGACAGGCTTGCCTAATATTCTTCAATAATGCTAATATATTTATGACATTGATCCCCCCCCCAATAGTGATAATAAATCCTTGCCTTGGAAATTTGCCCACCCCACATCACTGTCCAAAGGTTTAAACAATTTAGCCAGCAAGTCTTAACACGGTGTGCTACAACAAAATAATGATCAGGAGGCCCACATTTAGAACAGAGGAGAGGGCAGGCTTCCTCCAGAGAATCAACTCTTCCTCCTTTGCAATTTCATGGAGCCAATTATATGGGGGATGGAAGAATGTTCACCTCTTGAGGATCGGATGCTGGTAACAAAAGGGGGAAGTCATGACATCCACCCCTTTATCAAGAACACAAAGAAGCATCCAAATTGCTGCTGCTGGGGAACATAATCCTAGGCCCCATCTACACTATACAGTCAAAGCAGTATTGTACCACGTTAACAGTCATGGCCCCCACTAAAGAATCCTGGGAAGTGTAGTTTATCAAGGACGCTTAGTGTTGTTAGGAAGCCCCTATTCCCCTCACAGAACTACAGTTCCCAGACTTCTCTGAGAGAAAGGACTGCTGTCGAATCTCTGAAAATTGCAGCTCTGCGACGGAAAGAGGAGTCCCAACAACTCTACACTTCCCAGGATTCTTAGGGGGAAGTCCTGGCCTTCTATGGGTTTGACATTTAGGCAATCCATTTGTCATTTCCTCCCTCATTCTTTGTAAGTCTCTGCAGGTCTAACCATCCACAGATAGGAGAAAGCAGTAAGAAAGAAAAACCAGCTGGCTTTTCAATTTGTGTCTCTCTTTTGCTTCAAGAGCAGTATGCGGCCATGAGAACCACTGCCTTAGAATAAGACAGGGGAGAAGGAAGGAGTTAATGCTACATAATCACTAGGAATGTAAACTGAGCGAGCTTAGAAATGTCGCAATCCTCTATCATTTGCACAAATGGCAGTGAATTACTAATCCAAAAAATACGTTAGGGACAGGGAACTACTTTAAGCCACAGTGAAGTGGCCGAACACGCCCAGTGGGATTTAACATTTCCTTTAAAGAGCAGGTGCCCATGTCATGCCACTACCTGCTTTTGAGAGTCCCCTTGTTTTCAAGAGCGGTTTACCACATGGCACACTGGTGCTGCTCAAGAACTGCGCTTGTGCATGCAAAACTTTGGATGCAGGCCTATACTTATAAACATGGAATCTCCTGTTCTTGTGCAGTTACAGTGGTACCTCGGGTTAAGCACTTAATTCGTTCTGGAGGTCTGTTCTTAACCTGAAACTGTTCTTAACCTAAAGCAACACTTTAGCTAATGGGGCCTCCTGCTGCTGCCGGAGCACGATTTCTGTTCTCATCCTGAAGCAAAGTTCTTAACCTGAGGTACTATTTCTGGGTTAGCGGAGTCTGTAACCTGAAGCATATGTAACCTGAAGTGTATGTAATCCGAGGTACCACTACTGTAAATATTAATCATTTTTTTTAAAAGATGGAGAGAAAACAGGAAAATTAAACCAGAGTAGAGGTCAAAATCTTACTTCGAGCTTATGATGAGGAGAATGAGACTTTGTGCTGACCATCAAGCAGTGGCTTTTTCCACTTGCCTTGCTCCACCCTCCAGCCTTCATAAGGGAACTGTTTCCAGAGGAAGAACTGTGCGGAGAATGAGATTTTGTGCTGGCCATCAGGCAACGGGTTTTTCCACCTGCCTGGACCTTGGGGCCCTAGGAGCCTTCAGAACAGAGCTGCTGCCATAGGCATTATGTGTATGTGTCTTTTGATGAACTGAGTAGAAGATTATGAGTTATGGGGTGAGGAGAGAGAGAGAGAGAGAGAGTGAATTCAAGAGTGCTTCGTTTGGTTTTGGTTGTAAGATTGTAAATGTTAATTTTGTTTTGTGAATTATGAGTGCAGTAATGCTTTGTGAATCTTACATGACTTGTTGTGGTTGTGCTGCTTAGCTTATTTTTTTAGTTGTTTTATTAATAGTCTTTTATAGAAGGTGGTTGTTTTACTGATGATTTGTTACTTATTCTATATGATTTATGTTCTAACTGGGATGCTCTACTATGTTATAGTTATTTATTGTATGTAAGCCACTTTGTGATTTGTGTGTGTGGAAAGCAGCACAGAAATATAATAAATTAAATAAAATAAATTTAGTAACATACAAAACTATCTAGTTCTAGTTAAACCTTTCTAGTTCTGGATTTAAGTACTTCTTCCAATAGCAACTGCATGATAAAAATAAATAAAAACTGTAGAATGCAGACCAAAACTACTTAAGCCTTTTTTGCAGCCAACTCACATTGCTGACTCATATTCAGTGATGAACTACAAATCCAAAACCTTTTTCACCTGTACTTTTGCCAGATCACGTTATCCTGAATCCTATAGCTGTGCATTCGATTTCTACCCATACCCCAAAATGCAGAACTGCTGCACTTGTCTCTGCTGGATTTCACGTTAGTTTGGGTTGAGTTTTCCACTCCATCAAGGTCATTTTAGAACTTTATTCTGTTATGGAGACCCAGCATTAGAATAAGCACAATCCTTACAAGAATCCTTGAAAAGCTCTCAAATTCTTTTAAAATAACATTAAATTTCTAAGGCAGGCAACCCATTGTTTCCCACATTTGTAACTTTTTGGAAAGGCTTTCCTCCTTGCTTACGTCATAGAAGTAGTTGTGATACCCACATGACCCAACTTGCATCATGTTGAATTAATGAAAAGTGTGTGAGGTGGTGGGGGGGGGGGGATTTAAGGTAAATGTGGTTAGCAGAAGCGAATCCTTCCCCCTAGGCCATGGGTTGGCAAACTAAGATCCGTGGGCCGGATCAGGCCCAACTGCCTTCTAGATTCGGCCCGCGAACAGTCCGGGGATCACCGCGTGGATTGCCAGCACGCGCATTCTTTCCCTCTCCCTCCCTCGGCGGCGCTTTTCTCCTCAGGGACGGAGCAATCTTGTGCCACGCTGGGCACTGTCAAGGGTCGGCTCGCCTGCCTGCCCGCCTCAGCAGGGCGGTGCTGTGAAGGGGGCGTGTGACGCCAGCTGCTGCTGCGTTTTCCGCCTGCTCCTCCTCCGCCTCCCCCAGTCTGCTCTTCCTTCCTTCTCTGCGCCCCTTTTCCACACCACTTCCTTGCACACTTTCTTTGTCGCCGCCTGCCTCCTTCATTCTTCCCATGGCGTTCAGGTGGGTCACTTGCAGGTTGGTGGGCAGCTCAGTCTTCTTCTCCGCAGTGCCTCTTGGGAAGCAGCGGAAGCAGCAGCAGCAGCTGGTGGTGGGTAAAAGCTCCGGTGACGCCCCGGTTCCCCTACCTCCGTCTGCGGCTCCTCCGCTGGGGCTGCTGCTGCTATCTTCACCAGCCGACGCAGCCTCCTACCCGTCATGGCACCTGGCTGGCTGGAGAAGCCCAACTGCAGCTTTTGGGATGACAACTGGGACAGGTAAAGCGAAGCATCTTCAGGCCTCTTTGTGGGCGGGTGAAAATCATTCATTTCCCCCCCCCCCAAATATAGTCCGGCCCCCACAAAGTCTGAGCGAGAGTGGACCGGCCCCCTGCTGAAAAAGTTTGCTGACCTCTGCCCTAGGCTGTGCTTTCCTCCTCCAAGCTGCACAAGGAGAAGGAAAACTAAGTAATTCTGGGGGAAGTTCATTGTCCCTCACATCCATTCCTAATGTGCTTTAAATCCCTTCTCCACGTGGAAGCCTTGGTATTTTTCCAAGGCCTTTTAAATTTTGATTTCAGTCAGTCTGGTGCTGGACTTTTTGTTTGCTGTGCCATTTTATTTGTGCTTTTTGTTTGCGTGTGCTTATTTTATCATCCTAAGAATTCTGTTTTTTTAACGTGCATTGTTTATTTATTTATCTTTGCATTATGAGCCACTTTAGGCACAAATCATTGTGGAAGAGCAAAATATAAATAATAAACTTTACCATAATTGAGTGTGTGTGGGAGACAGAGAGAGGAGAGAAGTGTACATAACATATTAGCAAACTCTTTGCCCTAAATATTCCCCTGGAGATTATGCTCAACTATCGTTGTACACTTCAGTTGTGACTGTTACAAAGCCTCCTTTAACTCTGATGACTGCAACAGAAAGCCAAACTTGCTGGACTTTTCCATCTTTTTACAAGGGCAAACTTTGGTACTGCTTTTGGACAACGCCCTATTAGGCTTGTAAACAACTACTGTACTTGCTTGCCTGCCTGAGGCAAGTGAGTATCAGCTCCCTGCAATCTGGCAAGGCAACTCAACTTTCCCCATTTCAGACTATCAGTGGATTATATGGTTACCTGCTTTGGGAATTTGGAACTTCAGAAATTCTAAATAAACTACTAACAAACATGGGCAGATAATAAACACACAAATGTGCACTAGTAGCTTTTCAGGTAAGGCTGCACATGCGGTGTCTCTTCTCATAAAAAAGAAACAATTTTTGTCATCACCCTGTACTGTAACTAAGCCTACATACATGTAACTGAAATACACACACATTCCTCTTCCTCCTCTTCTCTCCTTCCCTTGTATTCTCTGTGCTGAATTACAGGTTGTGGAAGCCCCTCGGAGCAAGCACCTATCCTATTATACTCTATGAATAATCACACATATTGATAGCACAGAGAAAAAAGCTCACAGGGTGTTCAGCAACAAACACTGCCTTATCTGGTAAAGCTATACAGGGAAGCTACAAAACAAATTACAGCAAAATTATTTAAATGTAAGCAACATCGTTATCACCAAGGCACATATGGACTCATTGGGAAAAAATCCTTATACAGGCACAATAAGAAGGAACTATCCTAAATTAAAAACATGACTGTTTTAGTAGCAACAGTAATGGGTGAGAGAGAAATCCATTTTGTTATGTGCAGTTGGCAACACAGGACAGACACCACATATTCGACAAGGATAAACAAAAACAGGAACCTTTTACATCATCCCAATTATTACATAATCAAAAATATGTGGTTCTGAAAAACTGAATCATATGTCTATAACAATGGGCTTGCACATATGAAGGCAGTTTCTGCTAGTGCTGTAGTGGAAAGTGAGGGGCAGATGGGGCTCATCAACCTGGCAAGGTAGCCCATCTAGGAGAACAAAATCGCTGATCCTAAACCTCCACTGCCTTGTGGGATATATTTGGGAGAAGAAAAGGCTATGGAGTAAACCCTACACAAATTTGGAGTGGAGTCCCTAAGATGGTTGGATGACACCTTGCATGCCTCCTTCCAGAAACTCCTGAAGTCAAACTGCCGCCAAACGTTTTGCTCTGCTTTCCTCTGGACCACATCAGCGATGTGTCTTGGTGTCTGGGCAGCCCAGGACCTCCATACACACTGCTCAGGCATGCATCCTGGGAAGGTCACTTTGGTGCTGCTAACACAGCACTTTGACTTCACCCCTGGAAACGCACTCCATTGCCCCTTGAGACAGATAGATGCCATCACCAACACCCTTACACTGAAACTTGTATCCCAAGGTAGAGGCCACAGCACGCAATTTTGAATTCAGACTGCTTAACTATACAGTTGACTCTCAACTTACGCAGGAGTTACATTCTGGGGTTGGTGCATGAAGACAAAATCACATGTAGTCAAAGCATATTCTCCAAAGGCGAGTGCAATGGCAGGTGGGATTGCTGACACACACTCCCCGACACCTGCCCTCCTTTTCATTTTTTCAGCCAAGTGCATAAAGCTGAAGTCGCACAAGTTAAATGCACTTAAGTTGTGAGCTGACTATACTACTTTAGATGTCACCTGTGGCTCTTGATTTACCACACTTCATTTATTATACTTCATAAAAAAAGACTGTGGAAAATAATACAGGGCAGAGACTACAACAAAAGGGAGAACTGGACATTCCAGATTGGTTCCTGAGAAGTTCAAAGAGCACCAAGAGACATTATTACCTGTGTGGTTGTCAAGTAAACAAAGCAGTGAATGTCTCAAAAGGAAACCTTTAAAGTGTAAGGGCTTTTGTTTTATTTTTCTATAGCAACAATGCATGGACAGTCCAATCATGGAATATTTTCAAGAAGTCCTGTAATAAAACATTAGGCCACGTGGGCAGGGTATAAATAATAAAATTATTATTATTGCTTCCAAATAAACTTTCCAATGTTACAGGTATGCTTCTCTTAGTGCTGAATACAAAAAATGGCAGACACTGCATTTCACAGTTGTCTGATGTCCACACCCTCAGACCACAAAGCCTGTTCCCTATCTCAATTATTGTAATAATTAGATTTTTGCCACTCCCTTCTACCAAAAGAAGCCCAGATGTTTGTGGCCTGGTTGGCATAATTAGTGAAGAGGGAAAGGAACTAACTACTTTGGACAGTGAAACAAGCTCTGACATCTAACACATAATTGGGTTCAAATAAAGTCTATTTAATGTATACAGAAATGTAAAGAAACCATTTTGAAGAAACTGGTGAAACATGCATTTTAGAAGCTTGCAGATCTTCCAGAATGCTTTCTTTTTGTTTCTAACAATATCAACAAAAAATGTACTTCATGAGCCAAGGTATTAATCGGTAAATGAATTACATTGCCTACTGCTGACTGACACAACCCTTTTGTTTTCCCTGTGAACATTTAGCGAAGCAAATAATAAGCAATAATTAAAGTGAACTCTGCAATAAGGTCTGGGAGAAGACAAGGAAAGAACATTAAATATTTAACCGCCCAAAGACAGCAGTACTTGTTGAGCAGGAACTATGCCATCTCCTCGCTACATTCGGCCTTCCTGTTCAAAGACAAGAATGCAAGCAAGGTAGGATGATAGTCCCATCAACAGGCGCAAGATGAATCACCAGTTATTTTGTGTTAAGAGCAGTTCTGATCTCACAACACCATGTGGGCATCCCAGACTGCTTTTGTAGCACAGCAAGACTGATGGCAGAAATCAATTCCTGTAAAACACAACCCTAATCTATGCAAGAATGGGCAAACCCAGCATGCCTTTAACCCCAATCCTAACCTACAAGCAAGTGTTTTCCATCTAAAAATGGAAGCGTCACCTACTTCAAGTTTTGAACAGCTGAGTTGCCTCCTCGCCAGATTTAAGATGCAGTGAAGGGCTTTGTGTGAAAAGGGTTGCCGGACGAAAGAAAGTCAGTCCTTCTCCACTCAATCCTTCTCTTTGCTTAGTAGCCTTATACACAGAGTACAGTGGTACCTCGGGTTAAGAACTTAATTCGTTTTGGAGGTCTGTTCTTAACCTGAAACTGTTCTTCACCTGAAGCACCACTTTAGCTAATGGGGCCTCCTGCTGCTGCCGTGCCGCCAGAGCATTATTTCTGTTCTCATCCTGAAGCAAAGTTCTTAACCCGAGGTAATATTTCTGGGTTAGTGGAGCCTGTAACCTGAAGCGTATGTAACCTGAGGTACCACTGTACTCTAAATGGGAAGTTAGCATAAAATGTGTAACTGAATCAAGGCTGTCTCTTTCCAGGTTAGGGCCACAGCCTGCAGACGTGCCTAAGGCAGTGAAAGGCACTCTGGATGACACATGCTACAGGTGCCTCCAGTGGGAAAGTTACATCATGAGCACCCTCAGACTGAAACCTGCTGACTGCAACCCCCTTCAGAACAAGTTGGCCACCACTGACCTGGGGAGATGAACATCTGTCTTGTCTGGATTGAGTCTTTTAGTTTTCATCTAGCTCAGGCTTCCTCAACCTTGGCCCTCCAGATGTTGTCAGACTTTCAATTCCCATCATCACTGACCACTGGTCCTGCTAGCTAGGGATCATGGGAGTTGTAGGCCAAAAAACACCTAGAGGGCCGAGGTTGAGGAAGCTTGATCTAGCTCATATTTGTCCTCTTCTCACCAGCTTTACATAATGCCTCTTTCTTGCAACAAAATCCTATCTCTACAGCTCCAGACAACAAAATACTCATGATATTCCATGCTTTATGGCTATCATGTGGTTGAGCTCCTAACTGCAGGCCTTCGCTACAAAGTTTAGGGCAGTATCCAACTGAGCTTTACAGAGTAGACCGTTGAATTTAATACTTACGTTAGTAATGCTATTAATTTCAGTGGATAAACTAACAATCTGCTCAACATAGCAGTGAATAGTGATCTGGAAGTCCACTATCTCTCTTAAGAATTTCAGAACTAAGCATCAACAAAGATGAAAGAGAGAGCTGGCTGAGATAAGAGTGTTAAGAGATGGGACACTCATCCTCTATCAAGCAAGCCTTCCTAAACCTAAAAATAAAAAAAAGAAACTAGCCTGAACCCTCCAAAAAAGCCAAATCAAATATTGGAGTAAAGGTAGTTGAGTAGCTCTGTGTGTGTTACAAAGATTAAAGCAAAGATCAGGAATATAGTTACAAAGACATACAGAGTCGCAGTGGCATTGATGCAGCTCCTTCTCCAAGTTAAGCAGACCTAAGCCTGGCAAGTAACCAGTGTTAGAAACTCAGATATATGAGCCCCTTAAATCAGGGATACAGTTGCCAGACAGAATACCTGGTGGCTATTTTCGGGCTGGATGGCTCAAAAGCCATATTTTTCAATATGAGTTTTTGGTTCCTGAATTTCATTTTGATTGGGAAGATAAAATATAATGGATAGAATTCTACAGGGTGTGTTGCTAATGTGTGATAACAGGCAAGATCCAAGGATCCCCAGGCATGCAGCTCCAGATGGTGGACAAATCAGGCGCCATCCTGGGAAATTTTGAACACTGCAAGTAACCCATGAATGTTGCCTTGGGTTCTGGAGACAAAAAGTAGGATAAAAGTGAAGCTAGTAAAATAAATAGCCCCAGGCTTTCTATCTTACAAAAAATAGTCTACAGTAGCACTGTCAAATAAAATAAGCTCCTGCATCACGTTGCTTAATGAACTGACTGGGTGTGGGTTGGTGCTCCTACCAAACACCCATTCAGTAAAAATTTAAAAGCCTCCCTGTTTAAGAATCACTGCTCTAGAAACATTTTCCAGTGTTAAATTATGCCCAAGCAACTCTTCCAGACTGGCACTCTCCTAAGAATGCCACCTTTCCACAGTTCAAACAATGCTCAAGGCGGTTTACAAAGTGAAAACACATGCAACCTTACAAAAGTAGTCACAAACAGTAAAACAAAGCATTATAAAATACACAACCAAAGTGAACCACATAAATCACTACAAGAGCTCAACAGTGACAACAGCAACACCCCCCACAAAAAAAACCCCCAGCCCAGCCCATGGTACCATATTGATAATGAATGCCTAAAGCTTTCTTAAATACTCAAACCTGACTTAGCCACCACAAGCATATGTATATGAATTGAAACAGTAACTAACATCTTACATTCTGTATACTGTACAGAGATATATTCCAGGCTGTCAGAGGCTCTTCGATCACACAAGGATAGTAAGAAATTGAAGGAGAAAAAGTTCCTTACATCTCTGAACTTTCACATGTACGGTACAGTATAACAGCTGCTGCTACTACAGATCCTGATCCCAATCTATGAAATGTTATGCACGAGGCCACACACACCACAGATTATATCAGTATAGTGGCTTGGCTGCCTGTCAGCTAGCTGATATGAAAAAGACTTCATGGGAAGTGTTCATTTTCAGTCATTCCTAGTAATTAAGGGTGTCTTTGGGTACATATATATCATGTTTCAGCTATCAGTTGTGAAAGTACCCAAACAACTATGATATCCCCAGGAATATGTCAGTCAGTGTTGTCAAGCATCTTTATACCCATGTAGAGCAATATAGATATTCAACCAGTTAATTGAGATGATAGGAAACAGTGAGTGTGATGTTCTCAAGATATGCTTTACATAATACATGCAATATCTTAGCTTGGACAAACTTTTATTTTCATAGGTAAAAAAGCAAGAAAGCTTTGAATTTATGAAGCAGAGTGGCAATCAGGACTTATTTGGAACCCAAGGCTTCATCTCATGTATTCTTATTTCAACCCTGGTAAATGTGCAGAAATTACTAGACCCATCCCTCATAGAGCTATGTTAGTTATCTGCACCTCACTGACAACTTGAAATAACAAAAAGCCAACTTTCTCCCAACTAAAACAAAAAACACAAACCCTGCCTGCAAGCATTTTTTTAAACTTTACAAACGTTACCTAAAGAGTAGCTACTAGGAAGGATGTTTTTTGAACTCAATGGGGCTCACTTCTGAGTAACACATGCACAGGATTTTGCTGCAATTGAGCATCCCACTTCAAGCAGAAAGTAATCCAGGGACATTCCTTAGCTAACATGCTCAACTATAATTACTAGCTGCGATTTGGTCCTGACTACAAGATCATGTAGACACCCTATAAACACATTTAAGATTGGGGTAGGGGGAATAAAAACTTAAGCAGGTCTCAGTCTGGCCCATGACTGCATAGGAGACTGTACAAGAGCATCATGTAAGCTGCACTGAGCTTTCTGAAGAAAGAATGGGATACAGACTCAGAATCAAGCCTACCTAATAAAGTAAAGCCAAGAGGAAAGTTGTTCGAAACTGGATAATTTACATTAAGGCAGTCTTGCCACAAATACTGCAAATATTATGGAGATATTAGGAAAAGGCATGCTTTCCAATTCACAGTTCCCATTAGCATGTTGAACCATTCTTCCTGATTCACCTGATGACCTTGAAGCAATACATCTATCCCTTCTCCATGTCCAACCTAGCCACTGACTCAAGCACCCACAGTAGGAAACACTAAGATTTAAGTTAAGGGAAAGTGCCAGTAACAGTATCATGGAAGTATAAAGCAGCCAGAGTATTTCATGGCATTTTAAGCATGAATAAGCTTAATCAACCTATAAAATAAATAGCAGCATAAATCTGACACCATTAACTTGTTAAGTCAGATGCTTAGTACCACCTGGTGAAAAAGATGCCCATGTGCAAGATTCCAATTCCACCAGGGTTTTTGCCACCTAGTAGGTAATACATCTGGATTTAAAAAAACAAAAAGGGCACTACCAACAGTCCACAAGGACCCCTATATGAAACACAACATCTGAAGTGCACAACACACATTCAAATAAAGTTTTTGCTGATCTGATCATTCTACCCGCTACCAATACTGTAAGAACTACCTTTCAAGTGTAATTCACCATGTTAAAATCTCTCACCTCATCTGCTATATTACTTCTCCTGTGTATTCAGATTACAATATCCTCTTTTCTGCACTGGTTGCCTTCCTTATATTTTGCTACCTTGGAAGACAACCAGTGTAATGTAGTTGATAAGACTGCTGAACTAGGGAGAATCCATTTCCAGCACCCTGGGTGACTTTGGTTTGCTATTTTTCAGCCTAGCATACTGTGGGAGAAAGCCTCCTTAGAGGAGGAGCAAGGGGGAAAGGTAACAGCCTTTTTTTATATATTAAAACCCCGTCATGTTAACAGGTGGTTTAGGAACATAATGGCATCAAGGAAGTCTTTCCGAGTGGCTTTCATAGCAACTCTTCTAATAACCGGAAACAGACTTTTCCCCTCCTCTGCCAACGTAGGCAAGTGACGTCCTGCCTTGCATCACAGCCACTGAGCTGCCCTGAGTCACTCCTCATTTCTGCTTGTCCCAGTGCAGTCGGCATGGCTCCACACTACTGCCAGAAACAACCACAACACAGGACCTCTCCCTACCCCAATCTCTCAGGTGTTCAAGGTTCCCCAAGGGTCACCCCAACCCCATTCAACTATCTTTCAAACACATACACTAAGACCTTCCCTGCTGTTCCCCTCATGGGCACATTGCTAAGTTGGCCCACGTTGGCCTTGCCTTCTCAGATCATAGTCAATTCCCCGTTCCCCATCTGCTACCACCCGAAGAACATGACCACCTCTCTGCCCCCATTTCTAAAAAGTTCAAATACCATACTGGGATTGCTCCTTTCCTTCTCCCTAATCTGGGCTCCTGACCCAACAGCCTAAGTCACATTCTCCCTAAAAAAAATCTCACACAACGCAGTAGGGAGGGTAGACCATCCAGCTGGGAGGAGAGAGGAGGCAAACATCTCCCACTAATGAAGATCTCTGGTTGGCCTTGGGCTAGCTGATCCTCTCTGAAGCCTACCTCGCAGGATTGTTGAGTTAAGCAGGTGAAGGGGGGGTGGCGGCGAGGGAGAATAAATATACCACTTACTTACAGCTGGCTGTAATAAGGAACTGCACGTGATCTGAGCGCAGGTTGTTGTTTTTAAAATATATATATTTGATCACTATGACTGTATTTTCATAGTTGCAATCCCACGCACGACTTACCTGGGGGCTCAACAGGGCCTGTTGAAACGCCCCAAAGTTCAAGGCCTCCAGAACCGAAGCGACCCCCCCCCTCCGCCCCAACCCCTTTTCCTTCCTCCCCGGCGAGGTTACCGTGTGGCAGCGACGTCAGGGGCGGCAGGCCCGGCGGGGGCGAAGGCGGCGGCGGGAGTCCCTGCGCGGGCGCGGAGGACGTGGAGGAGGAGGAGGAAGGCGACGACGAGGAGGCCGGGCCTGGGCCTCCCCTCAGGAAGGCCGGCACGAACTCGGCGGCGTGGACATTGGGCACGAAGGGCTTGGCGTTGACGTTGAGGTGCCGGCTGAAGGCCGCGCCCAGCAGCTCCTCCTGCTGCTCCGCCGAGGCGGCGTCGAGCTGGGCCGGGCTGGGCACGTCGGCGGCGGCAGCGCCGGGGGCGGAGGAGCCGGCCGGGCCAGCGCCGGGCTCGATATCCGCCTGGTCCCAGCAGTCGGGCGCCGAGTCGCTGCTGCTGCCGCTGCTGCCGTTCGCCTCCATTTTGTCTCTGCCCGCCCCCCCACAAGCCTCTGCGCTTCCCGAAGCGGCTCCCGACGTCCTGGGAGGAAAGCGGGCTGAGGTGGGGGGCGGCGGCGGCAGGAGGGGAAGGGGCGGGGGAGGGGAAAGCGCGGCAGCCGGGAACGCGGCACCACCGTCGTCGTCGTCGTCTCCGCGCTCGCTCCGGCCGCTCCGCGTGTGCGCCCCACCGCCGCGACGCAGGATGGCCTCCTCGAGATGCCGTACGCCCTTCTCCTCCCGCATCAGCGCCCGGCCGCCATTTTGGTAGTTCTCAGTCAGCCCCGTGTGCCTGCCTTCGGTAGGCACGCCACCGGGCCTGGGGACTACAACTCCCGGGGGGCCGCGCGCCGGGTGACGAGGCGACGCGAGGGACGCCGCTCTCGCCCGCTTCCGCACCTCTCGCGAATCGACCCGATGAGAGGACAACAACTCCCAGCGGCCATTGCGCAGCCTTCCTGTTTCAATCTCCAATCACCCCTCTCACTGGTAAGAAGAGGTCTCGAAACGTAGCACAGAGGAACTACAAGACCCAGAGGGCTTTGCGCTTCGCATTCGTAGGCGGGATCATGCGCTTACTCTCGAAAGGAGATGGGGAATGTAGTTTCGTGGATGTATAAGAAAGTTGATAGAAGCATTTCGTAAAAGGGAGGAAGTATAGACAGGGATATTCCTTCCACACTCCTCGCACAGAGGAGCGAGAAAGAACAAGTGGGTGCCGTTACCGAAGAGGGAAGGAGTAATAATAAATATTTTCCAATCGAATGAATCAGATTGTGTTCCACGTGGTTGCTGCACAGCACGTGCTTGATAACATAGTTTGCCACATGGACAGTGTTATATATTGAATTTCTATCCCACCTTTTCTTCCAAGGAGCTCAAGGTGATGTACCTGTTCTTCCCCTCCTCGTGAAATTCTTCAACAACCCTGTGGAGTAAGCTGAGAGGCTGTGACTGCCCCCCCAAGGTCACCCAGTGAGCTTCATGGCCAAGACCCAACACACTAACCACTATACCACACTGGTTCACACTGGTTTTCAACCTGCCTCTTCCCAGTCATTGTAATTAAACCAGTAGAGGCTGGTCCATTAGTGTGAATGGGGCACTGGCTCACCCACTTCAAGCCAGCCCCCAAAGTGTCTGTCTGCTTTCTTGCTTGCAACCAGCCCAATGGGTAAACCAGGCTGTCTGCTTCCTGCTCCTTAGGTTATTATTTATTAAATTTGTATACCACCAACCTCCATCTGTAGATCTCAGGGTGTTTCACAACATAAAAATACAAGATTTTAAAAACCCATAAAATACATGGTGTGACATCTACCATTAAAGTACATTTTAGCACACATTTAAAACACATAGCTTCCCCCAAAGAATCATGCAACTGCAGTTTACCTCTCACAAAGCTCCTATAGGTCTCCCATGTTGCAAACGGCTTGGCAACACGCTGGCTCGGAGCAGACGCTCTGGCACCGTTTCATACTCTGCTATCACCTGGTTCAATGTGTTGTCTGATTGTATCATGCAACAGGGTTTCACCCAAGCGGTGTGTGATGGCAGTTACCAGAACAATGTCGCCTGTACATGAAACCTAACAAATTAGCTGTGCGCGGAGTAGCACAAGCCTGCTTCCAGGTGCTGTTCTTACCTGTGGTTCAGTAGGAATATTTCTTCCTGTACACAGCTACTGTTATCTGATTAAGTTCTGGGCGGCTGCATCCAGCACGTTTCTGCATCATTGGATAAGCACCACCTCCACTTCTCAGTTAAGCATGCAGAATCAGATGCTGGGCTCCCACATGTAGCCCTGGGCAGTGCTCCACAGCAGTGCTGTGCCAGAAGACCTGTCCTACTACCATCACATTTCAGCACAACATCGCTCCAGTATGAGAAAGGCAATGGCAAAAAAGAGGGCATTGAATGACATGACCTGCTTGAACTGTAATAGGAGTCTCAGGTAGCAAGACACTATGGTGCCTAACAGGTGCTTTTACAGTGTTGGTGAGAAAGTACTTGATGGTCCCTTTGATATTGTTGCCTCTCCAATTACAGGGTGAAAGACTGATGAATGATAGGTAAGAGGATAGGGAATTTTATTCTTATTATTATTCATTTATGTATTACCCACCCTTTACCCTAAGGTCCCAGGGCATGTTACAACATTAAAACACAATATTTAAAACAGTTTAAAACAAACAATTACAAAAATGAGATGGGTTCTTAAAATATATACTTCAAGTGTCAAAAGCCAGGGTAAAAAGGCGCACTTTCAGCAATCTCCAGAAGCTGTATATTGAAGAAGCCAGGTGCACCTTTAGGAAGTGTGGCTGCATACACACCAGGCATTTAAAGCACCCTGTTCCAATATTGTGTGAGTGGTGCTGGGAATTGTAGCTTTGTGCATTTTGAGAAACGCCAAAGATTTCGCTGACTCCACCCTGCCCACATCACACAAATGGTCATGAGTCTACTACTGTACCTTGCTTTGCTCCTGGACAATTTGAGCACACCCTTTCCCAGAGCTTCCTGTTCCAGGGAAAAGAGGAAGCTTGTGGAACAAGTCTGGGCACTTTGGATAGTCCTGTCCTTCAAGTTTGCAAAGGCCTCAAGTATTCCCACTAGGATGGATGATTTGTAAAGGACTAGATGACAGCTGTGTTTACGCAGCCCTGTCCTTTTCTGGCTAGTTGGAGGCAATGCGACACACCCTAATATTTTTCCTGTCCTTCAGTAATTGAACACGTAGAACAAAGCTCGTCACTTCCTTGGAATATCCCCTATTAATTTTTTGCCCAGGCCTGCATGTATTGCTGTACAGTACTGCCTATGTGTGAAAGGTCATGTATTTAAGCTCTGGGTAGCAAAGCAGTCAGATTTACAAATTCGGGTGTGTGTGACAAACCCCAGAGGGGCTATCCGATTTGGCGGCAATAGATTGTAATGGATTGCACTGGTCAGTTTAGTACCAGGCAGTGTGGGAATCGTCACCCACCCACAGCTGCCCTGTTCTTTATTTTGCCAGAACAAAGGTGGCAACCCTATCTACCACCTTGCCCTAGAATGAGATATTGGAGACTGGCCGATTAATTATCTATTGCAGTGGGGATCCAGGCAGGGCTTTTCCCTTAAAGGTATCACAACCGCTTCCGAGCACAATACAAAGTGTTGGTGTTGACCTTTAAAGCCCTAAACGGCCTCAGCCCAGTATACCTGAAGGAGCGTCTCCATCCCCATTGTTCTGCCCGGACACTGAGGTCCAGCGCCGAGGGCCTTCTGGCGGTTCACTCGCTGCGAGAAGCTAAGCTACAGAAAACCAGGCAGAGGGCCTTCTCAGTAGTGGCGCCCGCCCTGTGGAATGCCCTCCCTTCAGATGTGAAGGAAATAAGTAGCTATCTTATCTTTAAGACATCTGAAGGCAGCCCTGTTTAGCGAAGTTTTTAATATTTAATGCTGTATTGTTTTTAACACTCGATTGGAAGCCACCCAGAGTGGCTGGGGAAACTTAGCTTGATGGGCGGGGTATAAATAATAAATTATTATTATTATTAACTACCTGACATTCAGAAGACATCTGAAGGCAGCCCTGTTCAGGGAAGTTTTTAATGTGTGACATTTTAATGTATATTTAATCTTTGTTAGAAGCCGCCCAGAGTGGCTGAGAAGACCCAGCCAGATGGACGGGGTACAAATAATAAAATACTACAGTATTACTATTACTGCTTGGGGAGCGCTGCAACCCCGCCTTGTTGCAAGGCGGCGGCAATTAACACGCAAATAATGAGTTGGGGGCCCAAAATCCGGGAAGCAGAGGGAGGGGAGACTCTCTGCTCAGAGCGACTGCAAGGAGAAGCAGGAGGAGGAAGAAAAAGACGGAGCAGCATGGTTTTACCCCACCCTCGCCGCCATGGAGACTACAATTCCCATGACCCCCCGGCCTGAGATGGTTTCCGGGTTCTAAGTGTTTTGCTTCCGGGCTCCTTGAGGATCACTTCCGGGTGGAGGGGCAATGTGCTGTGGAGTGCTGGTGGCTTTGACGGGAGGGAGGAGCCCCGGCGGGAGCGGAGGAGGAGTCGGAAAAGTCGGAGGGGGGATCCCGAGGCTTTGCTTGCCCGCGGAGGGGAACTCCGTCGCCGGCCATGAGCGGTGAGTGGAGCAAGCTTTGCTTGGCAAGGGAGGAGGAGGTGGATGGGCTGGCTCGGTCCTGCTCTTTCGCACAACAACAGCAGCAGCAAGGGTGGTGCTGGGGTGGGGTGTTAAAGCGTCCCTCCTCCCACCTTTCTTAATGCCGCTCTGTGCATGCTCAGACACACCCTGCTGCTCTGCTGACAGGGGAGCAGCAGCATCCCTGGAGCCAGCAACTGCATCTTACCATGACAAAAAAAAAAAGAGAGAAAAGGGTGTTCAGATAACGCCTTCCAGCGACTAATTTCCGATTGCAGTTTTTTGTTAACTAGCGCTTGTGTAGCTTGCTCATCGACGAATATTTCTCGTGGCCAGGGCTGCGAAAAAGTCAGTGTTGAGAATGCAACAGGATCCTACCTCTACTCTTGTGGTGGCAGATTGTTTTAAAACTGTTTTTGATGTTGTTGTTTTGCTTGGTGTAACCTGCCCTGGGGCTTGATGGTGAAGGGCAGGCAGGGAATTGAAAGAATAGCAGCAGCAGCATGAAATCAACAGTAAATGACAATGCAAACTCAAACCAAAGCCCACCTTTCCTCATGACATAGTGTATGAAGTTATGCAATGCCATAACCCTCAATGAGGCTGCATGGGGTGGGCTGGGCTATAGATGCATGCAAATCAATAATGAAAGCTGCTAGCAAGGTAAATCTGGAATGGAATTAAAAGCACTGTTGTTCTTTTAGAAGTATTAGGACATTGCTCTCTGGCACTGGGTATTCTGTCCCTGTTCAGTAGTTTGCTGTCCCTTTCTCTAGACATTCCCTGTTCAGGGAAGTTTTTAATGTGTGACATTTTGATGTATTTTTAATCTTTGTTGGAAGCTGCCCAGAGTGGCTGGGGAAACCCAGCCAGATATGCGGGGTACAAATAATAAATTATTATTATTACAGTGGTACCTTGGGTTACATACGCTTCAGGTTACATACGCTTCAGGTTACAGACTGCTAACCCAGAAATAGTGCTTCAGGTTAAGAACTTTGCTTCAGGATGAGAACAGAAATCGTGCTCCGGCGGTGCAGCAGCAGGAGGGCCCATTAGCTAAAGTGGTGCTTCAGGTTAAGAACAGT